TGACAGATTGGTTTAATTAGCGTATGTTTTATTTAGGGCCGGATAACAACCCACTCAAGCTTGATATGTTAGTATCAGCTGAAAAGCATTAATCCGCGAGTCCATCAACCAAGATAAAGCAATTACTTCTGTAAGATATCAGCTCTGTTACAGTAAGCCAGGGGCTCTTAACATTTCGTTTAGGATACAGATGTTGATCCTCTGTTCCTGAAACAGGCACATTATAGTTACCCAGTCCAACCAAATAGCCCACAATATATTGGAATCAGTAGCAGTGTTGTCTTTCCTGAAGTGGAGACCCCTATAAATCACTGGGGACAGAGTAGAGAAGGTGTTTTGTGGCATTCATTTTGTTATATATTACACAATAGTTTAAGAATATGTCACAGAGTTAATTTTAAGATTGAAGAATGGGTGATCAGTGTACATTAACCAATGGGACCTATACATCAGGACATTGAACTTCCACTTTCTTCTAGTGATTAAATAAGCCTTATGTGTAAGTTTCAATTGCAGCTTTTTTTTTACCATTTTTTTTAACACATTAAGTTAGTACTATACTAACGTGTTTTTGTTTTTTCCTTTCCTTCCCAGCAATTGGATCTTCATAGTTGTCCTAAGCCCATTGTCTTCATCATCCATTCTTTCCTATCAGCCAAGATTACCAGGCTGGGCTTGGTGGCATGAGAATGCCAAAGATGACTTATGGAAAGATCAAAGGAGGTGCTGGAAGACATTCTAAAGCTACAACAGGCCATAGGTAGCATCTACAAGCTGCATCATGTGGCATCGGACATTGGTGTGGAGAGCTTAGTTGAAAACATTCTCTTTGACTTGACCATATGTTCTCCAGTCACAGAATCCAGAAAGACACTTCTGAAGAGAAATCAAGCATTGGATCAATGTGCCTGGTGTTGCTCTCAAGCACTTTATATATGAAAGAAACATATTTTGGAATAATCTACGTCTACCTAGGTGGTAGCTCTGTTCTGTTGCTTGAAATATCAACTCCTTCACTCCAGCATCGTGATGCAGGCCCCTAATTCACAGCTTTGTGCATACAGAGTTTGTTTATAGTATGACAGATTCTCAGTATCAATTAAATTGCCATCCCTTCCTTTTTTTTTTCCTCTTTAATTATGATCATCATCAGCTATCTAAAAATGCTCAGAAAGGACAGGAGATTTGCAAGGTGCTAACCCCTGAGATGGCAAATAATTAAAGGGCTGGGTCTTTAATCTGTCTTCCGGTTGCTACAGGCTACAAGAAGGGACTATTGACATTATCAATAGGAATATTTGGTAACAAAAAATATAGAATTAATAGTAGAAACAACCTCTTTTTTTTTATGAAAATGTTATATTGCTACATCACTAGCTAATTTATCTTTACCAGCAAGGGCTAAATAGTTTTCTCCGCAGTTATGGTTATTACAAAAAAATGAAATAAATACAAAATATTCTGAATTATGTAGTAGAAAAATGCAAATATAGAAAATATGGACATTGCCTTTATAGTCACATTGCTAGGAAGGAACTGCATGGGCAAGATAAACATTTTAAACATTGGTGAGGCAAGTCCAGACAAATAGTTCTACAATTGGGTACAAAAATGCATTTTTGAAAAATGATTATGGCAAACTTTGACATTTCAGATATCTGTGGGCTACATTTCCCTCAGTCTGTAGTTGCAGTGCCAAAATAAGCCAGCACTGCTTTAGAAAAAACACAGGTTGTGAGTACATTATCTCTCTCTCTCTCTCTCTCTCTTTTTATTCACTGTGAAAATTTCTTTTGAGTGGATTCGACACATTTGTAGTATATGTATGAAGGGAGGCCAGGCTAATAAGTTCAAACCTTAGTGCAAAAACACAGTTTGCCTACACACAGACTATACGGATGCCAATTTTGGAATTGTATAAAATAGATGCGGCAAAGTGTAATTCAGCCAGAAGTAAAACAATGCCGACATCATCATACAATTATAGTGATTATTTTATTAAATTCTTCTTTCCCCAAACATATTTATGCACATTTTTTGTTGTGAAAATTTGAAGACAATAAAATGATCTCTGCCTGATAGCATTAACATAATGCTATTTCGTGTAACTAAATTGATGGATGAAGTCAGCCAACACTCAAGTTATACATGTAAAAAGCTGATAAAATAATGGAGGGCTTCTACAAGGGAAGCTAGTGAATAATAAGAAACAATGATGCAGTGTTCTTCACTTTGACAACTTTTGATTTTGAAGCAACATTTAACCAGAAATATAGAAATCATTACAAAAAGTCCCAGAAAGTTATAAAAATGTAATTAAACTGTATGACAGTAAATCCGATAATACACACTACACTTAGAAAAGACTGATTAAAAGGGATAGATATTATAACAATATAGTTATATTTGTGGAGTTTGTAAGATAAAGGAAAACATAAGAATTAGCATTGTTGGTAGTCTTTAATATTAAGCATCAAAGCTGTGGACACTGGAAGTATAAGCCGGCTAAATCTTGAAAATGTATTTAAAGAAATTTTTATTTTCGCTGTATCTTCACTGAAATCAGAAAGGAGTATCCCTAACAGAGATTTACATTAATTTCAATTGCCTAATGGCTGTAAAAGTATTATGGGAGATGAAGTCAGAGTTTCGAGTTCCCTGGCCTAAACCTGTACTCACAATGAAGCTTCAACTGAAGTGTCCAGATTACACTTGTAAGAGTGCATTACAATTCTCTCGGAAATCTGGAGTGGTAACCAGGGCCGGTGCAAGGATTTTTGCCGCCCTAGGCAAAAAAAAATTTGCCGCCCCCCCATGTGACATCACAATGCCCCGCCCATATGCTCTGTCATATGGGCCAACGCCAGTCTTCACAAAGTGTCTTTTATCTGAAAAGACAGAGTGTTTACATTAAAAAGCCTACAGGCACAGGCTATAGACACCAGAACCACTACATTAAGCTGTAGTGCTTATGGTGACTATAGTATCCATTTAATGTGAGGTAAATTAGAGATTAGTGCCACTAATAATATATTGGATTGCCTACTTACCACCAGGTGAGGACAAGAGGCTGATGATGGGCTCTGTCTGGCTCCACAGGTTTGGTGTAGAACAGGAAGCAGCGCCATTTTGGGGGCCCCTTACACAGCTCAAGGTCTGGGCCCCCAGGGCTTGACCGTGAGTATGCCTATAATGCCCACCCATAAATCCACCTACATGGCCCACCCATGAGTTCTCTCACAGGTAGTGGAGTGTATGTGTGTAGGGGATGTTTTATGTGTTATTGTAGAGGATGCAATGTGTGTCTGTTCTTATAGAATGTAGTGTATTGGAATACCAATTTGTGTAAGGGATGTAGTGTGTGTATAGTGGATGCAGTGTGTGTTTGCGTGTAAGGAATGCATTGTATGTTTCTGGCTGTGTGTGTGTGTGTGTAAGGGATGCAAGGTGTGTTTCTGTGTATGTAATTGAAAGCAGTGTGTGTCTGTAAGGGGTGCATTGAGTGTGTAAGAGATGCATTTTGTTTCTGTGTGTAAGAGAATGAGTGTTTGTGTGAGCGTAAGGGATGCATTGTGTGTTTCGGGTGTGTCTGTGTGTGAGTAAGGATGCATTGTATGTTTCTGTGTGTGTGGATCAATTGTGTATGTGTGTAGTGTAAAAGAGAGGGTTTTGTGGGGTAGGATAGGGACTGAGAGGGGAGCAGCTCTTTATTTTGTTCAAAAAAATTCATAGTGCTCACCCCTCCTGTCAATTAGTGTTCTCCCTTTCTGTCCCTTAGTGCTCTCCATTGGCCCCCTGTCCCTCTGCAGTCCCCCCTTGGTGGTCCTCTCACTCCTCCCTGCCCCCCTTTGGTGGTCCTTCCCATCCCCCTCCCCCCCTTAGTGATCCTCCTTCTGGCAAACCCCCTCCTCCCTCATAGGTCCTTACTCCTCCTCCCTCAGTGGTCCTTATTGTCCCCCCTCCTCCCCAGTGATCCTTAGTGTCCCCTCCCCCTCCTCCCCCAGTGGTCCTTAGTGTCCCCCCCTCCTCCTCCAGTGGTCCTTAGTCCCTCCTCCTCCTCCCCAGTGGTCCTTAGTGTCTCCTCCCCAGTGGTCCTTAGTCCCCTCTCCCCAGTGGTCCTTAGTCCTCCTCCTCCCCAGTGGTCCTTAGTGTCCCCCTTCTCTCCCCAGTGGTCCTTAGTCCCCCTCTCTCCCCAGTGGTCCTTAGTCCCTCCTCCTCCCCTCAGTGGTCCAGTGTGTCCCCTCCTCCTACCCCCCAGTGGTCCTTAGTGTGTCCCCCTCCTCCTCTCCCCAGTGGTCCTGGTGTCCCTCCCTCATCCTCCCTCCAGTGGTCCTTGGTGTCACCCCTCCTGCTCCCCAGTGGTACTTGGTGTCTCCTCCTCCTCCTCCCCAGTGGTCCTGTGTCCCCCTCCTCCTCCTCCCAGTGGTCCTTATGTCCCTCCCCTTCCTCCTTCTCCCTCTCCTCAGTGATCCTTAGTGTTCCCTCCTCCTCCTCCCCTCAGTGGTCCTGAGTGTCCCTCTTCCTCTCCCCAGTGGTCCTTAGTGTCCCCTCTCTTCTCCCCCCAGTGGTCCTAATGTCCTCCCTCCCGATCCTTAGTGTTCCCTCCTCCTCCTCCCTCAGTGGTCCATGGTGTCCCCCTCCTCCTCCTCCCCAGTGGTCCTTGAGTGTCCCCTCTCTCCTCCTCCCAGTGGTCTGCATGTCCTCCTTCCTCCTTCCTCCCTCGTGATCCTTAGTGGCCTCCTCCTCTCTCCTCCCTCCAGTGGTCCTTGAGTGTCCCCTCCTCCCCAGTGGTGGTCTGGTGTGTCTCCTCTTCTTCCCCCAGTGGTCCCCTCTAGTGTGCCCTCCCTAGTGGTCTAGTGTTCTCCCCAGTGGTCCTTAGTGCCCCCCCTTCTCCCCCAGTGGTACTTACCCTCCTCTTCCCTCCTGCCAATGTAGCGTGGCCGGGCGGCGCGGGACAGGAACCTCCGTTTCCTGTACCCGGCACTTCCTGTCAGTCCGCCGGCGGCCGGGTACAGGAAACGGAGGTTCCTGTCCCGCGTTCCGCGCCGCCCGGCCACGCTACATTGAGAGACCGGCGGGAGGGAGCGCACTGCGCTTCCCTCCTGCCGGTCACTCAAATCCGGCCGCCCTCCACAGCAGTGCTGCTCCGCCTGAGGCTTGTAAAAGCGCTCAGGCGGCGAGGCATGAGGAGCCGCCGGGCCAGGGATCCAGCGCCCCCTGTTAAGGTGCGCCCTAGGCGGCTGCCTCGGTCGCCTTACAGGTAGCGCCGGCCCTGGTGGTAACGGACTTTCACCAAAATATATTGACCTTTTACAATGAGCGCTATTAGAGGCAGAAATTACTGGGACACTTAACACCTCCAGATCATCCTTGGTAAATGTCCAGCTTGCCCATACCTTACATGCCCATAAGAAAGACAAAGTTTAGATCCCCCTGTAGAACGCTGTCCGGTGATTAGTGTAGGCTCAGGCTTGTTAAAGCTTGTACAAGCAGATGTGGCAACAATTTAGTTAGATCATACATATTGTACAGTAGACGAGCAAATCACCTACATCAGTTATAATTAATATTACGTACCAGTCCAATAAATAATAATGTAATAACTACCAAAATAACTGTAAAACACAGGGATATTTACTAAAGTGAGAATTGTCAGGAATTCAAAGAGAATTTTAAAGTTTAGCCCCAACTTTTGCCTAAAGTTCTACTACTAAACATTTTATCATGTAATAAATACAAATACCGGTACCACTTTTTGAAGACATACGAAACTTAAAGCAATCAAGTATTTTTACTTTTATTTTCCATGTTGATCTTGCAGTCTTAACACTACATGTTTCACGTGTAAAAAAATTGCTACTGTAGTTTAATTTTTTAACCCTTTAAATGCTGAATACAATTAATGACTACTTGATGTCTTCCTGAAAATCAATGCACAATTTTATTTTTTTTGCCCTGTCTTTTTTCACCAGCGCTGAATTGTTCTCTCATCGGCAAGGTCTTCTAATGCGGTGGATAACATTGGTACTTTAATTTTTAAAGATTAAAATAAAAAAATAAAACGACTAATGACTATTTTAGAAGTTTTCGATGCTTTAAAGAAAAGCTTTGTACTGGATTAGAATTGTAATTTTATGGATAAATATAAACAGTTTTCCTTTCACCTGGCAATATACAATTATTGTAAATAAAATGAATTTAAACATTTAAATAGTGAATTATGGTATTTCAGCTGATTATTTGTATGTTTGTGATTTACAGTTGCGATGTACGGTTGTCTTTTTTGGGGGGAAAGGGGTAAGCTGGGTGATCACTCATCAAAATAGCGAGTCATCAGGTAAGAACACTGTTGCATATTGTATTCCTAATGTGCCCAAGGTATGTTGTCCCCAATTGAGACCATAACTGCATGGTTAAAAAACGGAACTGTATATTTCCCGTAGCCCTAGAAGCACAATAATCACAATAGTTTGATGTTCTGATTATAGTGATTTAAAAAAAAAATTAAGTTTTTCCTTCACTAGATTAGACCATGGCAAAAAGTTGCACCAGTCAAAAATGGAGCTGAATCCTCCTTCACATCAGCACCCACACCCAGTCATTGAATGACGTGAACCCAAGGTGCATGCTCAAAATGCTGAAGAACTTGGACAGGCAATGAGGAAACGTCCTATTTATGACATCAAAAAAAAGTTAGGTGGGCTTTGAACCCAAGAACAGGCAAGAAGGAACATGTTCTATTTATGCCATTACAAGATAAAGTAGTGGGCTTTGATCGCTGAATACAGCGCATATTTAGTGCTTAAACATTGCTGGCATCATAGCCACTTTAACGGATTGAAAAGTTTATGGTGCCTGGATGGTTAGTTACAGTTTAGCAGAGATGCTATGTGCCTGGCACAGAATTATTATCTTTATTATTTTATTAATTTATATAGCGCCAGCAAATTCCTTACCGCTGTACAATGGGATATGACGATATGGTGAGCTATGCTTCCACCTTGCCATTCCAATTCATACCAGGGATTACCCCTAATATGGCATGAAGCGGGACTTCCAACATGTTTTCCTAACACTATATGCCCTGTAGATTTTTAGGTGTCTGGCCTCCTCTGGAGTGCTTGAGAAAGGTGAGATTTATTTAAATGTTCTCACTCACTTTTCTGCTCTCTCCGTGGCCTCCCCACCTCCTTGGCTTAGATCAACAATCTTGTGGTGAGGCATTGAAAGGCCAGTGCATATGCATTGCAAATCGCAATGCTGTGCCTATCAAATGCTGCACTAAGTGCAGTATCTGATTGAGAACAGGGTTTGGCTAGATTCTCAACTTGGAAGCACCTCTGGAAGGTATGCTAACTCTGCAATAGAATCATCGCAGTTTTGTAGAAACTGCAATGTTATACATTACAGGGCTAAAATGTCAGGACCATTGCACCCAGACCACGTCATTGTCATATAGTTGTCTGGGTGAAATTAGTAATCCTTTGATATAAAATCGTCATGCTTAAAGTAAGCTATTTACTGCTGTAGGACATTGTACAGCTTTGTAAAACAATTTTATTGAATAGACTACACATTCAGCTTGTCATTAACCTATGAATAAAACATCGGATTCATGTTGATCTGTTAATACCACCTGCAACAAGAACACAATGGAAGCAAATATTGTATAATATCTCAAATGGGGAAAACAAAGTTTATATCATATTACCCACAATACAAAATATGTATTCAAAGCATCAGACTCCTGGGATGTAACATCATTAAAACTTTGTTTAATGTAAAATGGTGAGATTAGTGGTTAAAGGAGTCCGACAGCGACCATTGATTAGATGTGTATAAAGACATTACATTCTAAGAATGCATAGAACTGAAAAGATATGCAAGATTAAAAATGAACGAATAATCAGTTACAATGCCAGTAAGTCACGTATTGGGTACAGTTTGTAAAGCTATGCCAGGCAAAAGTAGGATTAGTAGAAAGGTTTTCATTGTGAAAATTAAAAGGACACTCAAAGCATCATAGAGCTATTTTTTTGAAATGATTTGACAAAATCTACAGCTTTATCTAAAACCTATGAAGCATTGTTTGAGGACTAGAATCTGCAAGGATTCTTGCTAGTTTTACATCTATTAAAGTAGCAGAATGTACATAAAAAAAATAAATAATGTCTCTTTAATAGCCTCACTGGCAAAATCTTGTGCTTACTCTAAGAATCATCTCCCGGAGAAGAAACTTTAAATTAGTAAAGTGTCGTATAAACAATTTACATTTATTGGTGATGATTTAGTGGTTGTAAAACGTGCTTGTTGGACTTTTCTGCCAGCATTGCTCGTGCAGTGCAGAAACATGCTAAAAAGAGGAGGAACAAAAATTGGGACAAAATAGAATTTAAATATTCTTTACACCAACGATCTCTCCGTAGCAGTAACTGGACTGCATCCTCTAAAAATCCCAGGGGGGGGAGGGGGGGAGAGGGGAGGGGAGTCCTTCGTGAACCCAGATTGGCAGTCAGACATCTCCTTGCATCAAGAAGCTATTGCCCCACAAATTAAAAATTATATCCCTGAATATTATGTTTTTGCAAGTAGTTATCCAATTGCGGTTCAACCCCTTAAGGACCAAGGACCTCCTAGGTAGGTCTGACAAAAAAGGGTCCTTAACAACCACGGACGTACCTAGTATATCCTCAAAGTCCTTAGTACTTACCCGATAGCCATTGCTCCTGGTCTGGGGGTGGGGGGAATGCCTGACAGCCCAGACAGTCCCCTCAAAGCAAATTTTGAAAGAGCGTTCACATGGCTGCAATAGGCGTCCATAGTGCTGCCTGAACTGACATGCAGTCTCCCTGCATCTGTAAAATAAAAAAAATAAAAAAAATAATATATATATATATATATATATATATATATATATATATATATATATATAGCGAGGGCTTGCACTCCTGGTGTAATCCTGTGGTGCCCGGTGCTGGTCTGGCAAGGATCATGTAGACATAGCAGAAATGACCACACTCCAAGGACTTTATAGAGATTTTCAAATAAAATTTAGCTTTTATTCAATCCATTTAAAAAGTCAACGTTTCAGCTCCCACATGGAGCTTTCATCAGGACAAAATAGGACTAAATTTTATTTGAAAATCTCTATAAAGTCCTTGGAGTGCGGTCATTTCTGCTATGCATGTATATATATATATATATATATATATATATATATATATATATATATATATATATATATATATATATATATATATATATATATATATATATACATATACACACACACACACACGATATATATACATATGTCTGTGGATAGTTAATACAATGTTAAACAAAAATCTGCACACCAGTCAAGCTATAAGACTTGCTTTTCCCACAGAAATCACAAATTTGCAGTGATGTTACTACCGCAAAGGATTCTGGGTGGGCATATGCAAATTAGTTCAAAGAAATTAAATTTTGCCTCATTCCATTTTAAACACGGATTCATTTTAGTCTGTGTTTGCTGTATACAACAGCTTTGGAACCAGCCAGTGAACCACTCGTGGACAGCTGTTTCATTGTTAATGCAAATCATCAGCATGAGGTTGGTTACTGGCTAGCTTTGAGGTACTTGTGAAACAACAACCAAAAGTTAGGTGGGGAAAAAATTGTGATTGAAAACCCCTTCCACCTGAAGTCTGTGGATAGTTAATACAATGCTAAACAAAAATTGGCACACCAGTCAAGCTATATATATATATATATATATATATATATATATATATATATATATATATATCGCTCTCTCTTATATATAATGTTATACTAAGTGTATTTTTTTATGTATACATATATTAATATAAAACACACACATATATATATTTATTATTAAAAAAATAAATAAAAATATATATATTTTTTAAAATAATCTATGTAATTTTATTCTAAGTGTATTTTGAGATATATATTATATATATACACTGCTCAAAAAAATAAAGGGAACACTTAAACAACACAATGTACCTCCAAGTCAATCACACTTCTGTGAAATCAAACTGTCCACTTAGGAAGCAACACTGAGTGACAATCAATTTCACATGCTGTTGTGCAAATGGGATAGACAACAGGTGGAAATTATAGGCAATTAGCAAGACACCCCCAATAAAGGAGTGGTTCTGCAGGTGGTTCTGCAATAAAGAATCCTTTGCGGTAGACCACAGACCACTTCTCAGTTCCTATGCTTCCTGGCTGATGTTTTGGTCACTTTTCAATGCTGGTGGTGCTTTCACTCTAGTGGTTCCATGAGACGGAGTCTACAACCCACACAAGTGGCTCAGGTAGTGCAGCTCATCCAGGATGGCACATCAATGCGAGCTGTGGCAAGAAGGTTTGCTGTGTCTGTCATTGTAGCGTCCAGAGCATGGAGGCACTACCAGGAGACAGGCCAGGAGACGTGGAGGAGGCCGTAGGAGGGCAACAACCCAGCAGCAGGACCGCTATCTCCACCTTTGTGCAAGGAGGAACAGGAGGAGCACTGCCAGAGCCCTGCAAACGGGTCAAACGGTCAGAAACAGACTCCATGAGGGTGGTATGAGGGCCCGACATCCAAAGGTGGGGTTGTGCTTACAGCCCAACACCGTGCAGGACGTTTGGCAAATTTGCCACTGGCGCCCTATACTCTTCACAGATGAAAGCAGGTTCACACTGACAGACGTGACAGAGTCTGGAGACGCCGTGGAGAACGTTCTGCTGCCTGCAACATCCTCCAGCATGACCGGTTTGGCAGTGGGTCAGTAATGGTGTGGAGTGGCATTTCTTTGGGGGGGCCGCACAGCTCTCCATGTGCTCGCCAGAGGTAGCCTGACTTCCATTAGGTACCGAGATGAGATCCTCAGACCCCTTGTGAGACCAAATGTTGGTGCGGTTGGCCCTGGGTTCCTCGTAATGCAAGACAATTCTAGACTTCATGCAGCTGAAGTGTGTCAGCAGTTCCTGAAAGACGAAGACATTGATGCTATGGACTGACCGGCCCGTTCCCCAGACCTGAATCCAATTGAGCACATCTGGGACATCATGTCTCGCTCCATCCACCAACGTCACGTTGCACCACAGACTGTCCAGGCGTTGGCAGATGCTTTAGTCCAGGTCTGGGAGGAGATCCGTCAGGAGACCATCCGCCACCTCATCAGGAGAATGCACAGGCGTTGTAGGGAGGTCATACAGGCACGTGGAGGCCACACACTACTGAGCCTCATTTTGACTTGTTTTAAGGACATTACATCAAATGGATCAGCCTGTAGTGTGTTTTTCCACTTTAATTTTGAATGGTACTCCAAATCCAGACCTCCATTGGTTGAAAAATTTGATTTCCATTTTTTTATTTTTGTGTGATTTTGTTGTCAGCACATTCAACTATGTAAAGAACAAAGTATTTCTGAAGAATATTTAATTCATTCAGATCTAGAATGTGTTATTTTTGTGTTCCCTTTATTTTTTTGAGCAGTGTGTGTATATGTGTATATATATATATATATATATATATATATATCTCAAAATACACTTAAATATATATAATTTCATTCTATGTATATATAAATAAAAATAATACGAAATATAGTGTAGTCCTGTATTTTAAATCAGTTTTGATTATATATAGAATGTTAACCTATTTGAGTACTGCTGCCCCTAGTGGTCAATTGTGAACTTGCGTTTGTTTAGCCACAGAATTGAAATTACACCTAGACCCACTTTTCTTATTGTAGTGTGGATACACGTTTTCCTGTTTTTGTTTTCTTAACTCTCTCTCTTTACTTTTGCACTCCACTTACTTGCTAGATTGAAGACACAATAGGGCTAAATTTCCACAAAGTGTACAGCATGGTTGCCAGACTACAGTCTCTGATATTGATAGACCACATCATTTCCAAAATGCTTTAATGCAATAAATAGGCAGAGGATTAAGGTTGCTTAGTCCGGGAGGCTGGAGTCTGACAAACCTAGTGTACAGTTTAAGGCAACACACGCTATGAAACCATGAGACAAATAGGAAGCCATGTGACCACACCAAAGTAGTGACTCCACCACTGATCATTTTTAAATTGTTGTTGGTTTAATTACAATAACCTACTTAGCACTAAACTTACAAACACATATTTTAGAGGAAGCACTCAGAAACTTTGTTCCATATGCTGATCTGTCTGTCGTTGAGCTGAAATAAAAGGTGTATCATGAAATCGATGCCAATGAGTTCCCCTCTGTTCCTCTGCTAAGAACATAACACTTGCCATCATTCCAAGTTTAGCTTTTTAAAGAGCTTCTGCAACTCTGCCCTGTGTTAATGTGAGTGACTTAACGTTCACACTTACAACTTATAAAGAAGCAACACTCTGTTGGGAAAGAGTTAAGACATTGCTAGCAGCCATCCACAACTAACTGATGGTATCTATTGGAGAACATTAGGTTCTGGGGAGAAATAGGAAGAGTCCTGAGCTGTGGAACACAATGAATAAGAATGTTTGCACTACAAAACCTAGAGGATGATATATTACCATCTCTGAGCAGAGAACATTTCAATGAAAGACTGAAAACGGTTTGTTAAAGGAAGAAAATATAACACCATTTATTTAAGAACACACAAAAAAAAAGTAAAAGCCATTTAAATCTAAATATAGCTTTATCTCAGAAACAAGTACAGCCAGTTTTTGTAAAAAAAAAATCAAATAAAAAAAAAATCAAGTATTCCCTCCTTTACCCCCCGCCCCCCAAAAAAACACACACACACAAAAAAAAACATATTATATAAATACAATTTAGATCTTTCTCTTGGTGTCATTTCTTCTTTGTCTTATCCAATTCCCATTGAATGACCTGAGGGAGAAAAAAAAGAAAGATGATTAGTCGAAAACCAGAATCCTAAGAACTGGTTATATAGCACTGCTGTTATTGTCAGGCTTTACACACCAAAAAAAAAAAAAAAATGGAAGAAAAAGCTAAGAACACTCGTCAAACGCTTGGGTGAACAGACGAGTATAACTAAAGTAGACAGTGGAAGAAAATTGGGCACAAACAGTGCAGGCCCCGAACCTAGACAGATGGACTCTATGTCAAAGCTGGAGCTGAAATTACTCATGCAGATCAGACAGGTTAGAAGGTAACAAACTAGGAGTTTCTACAAGATCGATGATAATGTTTTGCCTCATGAAAAATTGGCACACTACTAAATATTCATATTGTAGTTAGCTGGGGTTAACACTGATAACTGGCTGTGAATGTTTGAGCAGCTGAGAACTAGTTTAGGATCAAACAGTTACAGGTATTTGGCACCAACACACTGGTTTGTTAGGGTATCCTCCTTTTCCATTCTCAGTGATAATACTAAAACTTAAAGAGAGCATATTGTCTATATCATATCATATCTTCACATCATGTGAATGCAAAGTTCGCATTTAGCCAAGAATAATCTAATCTATATACTGTTCTAGCAAAAAACAAAAAACAAATACATTCTCTTTCATCTCTTCATCTTCTCTTTCTCTCCATTCACAGAAATGACATCCTAGATCAAATTGAGAGGCTGAGCACAGACACGCCACTTCGCCACACCCTGATCTAACAATTACGAGCATCAAGGTGCACATTGGGTTGTGGAATGTAACTTATAGGAGGTGTAGGAATATTAACTGCCGAACAGCTGTTGAACTGTGGACTTACTGGAATGAACCTAATAATCTAGTAGCTTTCACAATGAATCTGTCCTGTTATTTGCATAATAACCAAAGTTCCAGGCTGCTGATGTCAATTCTGTGCATAAAAGGCATCTGTCATCAGCATGCATACCATTCTAGCAACTGCTGAACAATGGCAGCATGGCCCTCTCCTCGTGTCATCCTATGCCCTACTTTAGCCCTGCCTCCTGGACAACCTTCCCTCTGCAACGAGTGAGGTCATGGAAGGAGGGCAAGGCTACAAGCAGTAATTTGCACTGGTAGAGGTTCGCAAGTAGGTTTTGCTTTTTTTTTTTTTTTTTTTTTTTAAAGGGCGGTGGGAAGGTGGAGAATGTGCAATCAAGATTTATTACATCAAAAAGGGTGTTTTGTTAAAACATTGTTTTCTTTGGAATAACCTTTTTTTTTTTAAATGCAGTGCAAAGGAATAGTATCTTAGGAAAATTAACATGTATATGGTTAGTAGGGCCCCTGAATTACTAATGAAGCAAGAGAACCAAGCACATGCATTAGCACCACAAAACATAGGAACACTCAGGCTTTGCACAGACATTTCATTGACCCACAGGTCAATTGCTATTAAATGATATTAAGGATCAGAGCATGACCTGGCTGTAGAGAGTCTCCAGTGTGTAACATTAAGAAGGCACAAAAATGACAAAAGATCACTCGTCAGGAGTTCCACTCAATAGACAAGTGGTTGACTTTTAGATAAACAAAATGAACATTGTAGTCCCTTTCCTAGCAACACTGATACATAAAGAATGTAATAAAACCGACCTAGATGGGCCAAACTCCAGAAAATAGGGTCTTATAACAACAAGCTTGTATACTATGGTGATAACCAACACAGCATACCAGAGTCATATTGTGACGAAAATAGACTTTGAATTCGGGACTTTTGTAAGAACATTCGTTATTTTCATGTTTTATCTGACTCATTATCTACAAAGGGAACTGTCAATTGGGCGCTCTCTCTGGGTGGCCGCCGTTCATATAGCCGAACGCCACGTAGCAGAGAAAATGGCGGCCATCTTGTTTTGAAGAAAGGAGGCAGCAGACTTGGTCGTCGAGTGTCTGGAACTAAAATCGGACACTCTACTTCCCGAACACCGCAAAAAATATGCGAACATCTGCTTTCTTTCCACGAACAGCTAGGAGAGCACCGTTCGGTAGTTTAGTTCCCACGAACAAGGGGAACAATCGCTCCTATGAGCCATGGGGCTCCGTTGGTGCTTTCATTCGCTTATTTTACTTTTTCAAAATAGACTGACTGCACATACTGAATTCATGGAACTGTTTTGGACAGGAGCCTCGTGTGCGGTCGGTAAAATATGACTTCCATACTTTTCGAAAACCCCTGAACCGATCTGGGTGATTTTTTAATATGTTGGTCACCCAGATCAGGGCTATCAGGGGATATGTCATTTATGGGGATACCATGTATTTTAGGGTACTTTTTTCTGCCTGGAGATAATTGGGTTATCCTTTAGCTTACTTAATTATCTCACAAGCAGAGAGGAGGGGATTGTATGCAGTGGGAGTGTTTCACTTTGTCCATGTAATTCTATTGGTTTTGTAACTTTTGTGTCCTGGTGCCCAACAAGGTCCCCTTGCATGGGGACTTGCATAAAAGCCAGTGTGGCATCAATAAACCTTAATTCCTGAAGTCTAGGCTCATGTTTGGGTAACTATCTACTGGCTGGGGAGAACCGTCTTGAAAGCTGCATTCGTCTGGAACTATTCATAACTACACCTGAGCTGCAGCTATAATCACTAAGGCTCAGCAGTTCGGGAGGAATAGGCGAACAAGGTACCATAACTAACAGCGTTCGTAACACATATCAAATAGTTCTGCAAGGAAACGCATAGTCTAAAGGGTGAAATGTCATGATGCAGTGCCACTATCAGTTCTCGAACGTGAAAATATGTGTTTATGGGTTTAAGAGTTAAAATTCAAAAATGCAACTGAATCCGTTCTGGAGTATGTATATGTGTACATCTAACAATATAGTATCATTCACTTCAGCCATTACAACAGTCTACTTTATTGGCAGCAAGTGAAGCTATTAAGTTTACATCCAATTCTTTTTCTGTTTACCAACAGGAAGATACCACCAAAAAGTAAACAAATTATTTATTTTCTTTTTTTAAATCAGTGTTCTCTTTGTAATGAAACAGTTCTTCTAGATTGAAATGCTATTTACTCTATGACAGACTATTTGCATGTGTACATAGATCTTCTGCAAACCCTATATTGCACATTATTAAAGATCTGTGGGGTGGATAACAGCAACACGAAAGGAGAATGAGATGGTACGGACTGCTAAAGAGACATGCTCAATACCCAACAGGTATGGCCAACAGCACACTACCATGGAGAAGGAAATGCTAACAGCCAACCAGCATGGAGGTATGGGGCAAATGGATAACCACACATCTCATTCCACAGGATGACTTGGGTAAAAATATCCACCATATGGTAATAATGACAACATAGGATACAAAATAACCATTAGCTTATGTAAGAACTCTTGGAAGAATCAAGATAACGAAAACTTGTATAAAATTGTAATCCTATAAAATGTAGGTTTCTTCTTATGTGTGAGTTTTCTAGGAGACTGAACTTTATTTTAAGAGACCAAGATGTGTTCCAAATTATCAGTATAAAATTATGGGGTTTACAAATCACATGGAGTGGTTATTCTATCAATTCCTCTTTTCCACCGCAGGAGCAAATTTGAACTGACCTGTTTGGCATTATTATTTGCAGCCTTTTTCATTTCATCCAGGAGACCTCTTGAAGTTTTCAGATCCTAAATCACATTAAGAGGCAAATATTAGTAAATCCAAAATATAATCCACAAGGTGTCCTGCATCAATTAAGCAAGCAAAATATAGATAGAGTCTAGAAAAGGAGCCATTCAAATCCCTTTCCGAAGAACATGCCATACTGTTTTAAAGAACAATTCTGAACATGCAACAGAAAAATGTCATCTTTACCGACCCTACGTGTTTACAGCATCCTTTTCTTCACAAATAAAAATGTACTTTCTTTTCTAATTCTTTAGTTCATGCACTGTGTTTACTGTTTAGATGACCGACCAATCTTTATCTCCTATGAATGTGTTTCTGCATTTTTATATGCATTATGATTGAGCATTAAACTTATTCATTAAAAGGCTTTTTTTTTATCTTGCAAAAAAAAAAAAAAGTACAAAAGTATGTCTATTGGGACAGACCATTTCAAGGACAACTTTGTTTGCTTTTAATTTCCGTTTAAATGTATGTAAATGTGTCATCCACACAAAGGGTGCACTTGAGTAGAATAACACATTTCAGCAATTTGTCTAGTACAACATATAGATAATTATATAGAGAATTAATGGGATGCCAAGTAATGTTTCAGTTGCATTTTACTCAGCGAGTGTAAAGAGGTAATAGAAACGTAGAATGTGACGGCAGATAAGAACCATTCGGCCCATCTAGTCTGCCCAATTTTCTAAATACTTTCATTAGTCCCTGGCCTTATCTTATAGTTAGGATAGCCTTATGCCTATCCCACGCATGCTTAAACTCCTTTACTGTGTTAACCTCTACCACTTCAGCTGGAAGGCTATTCCATGCATCCACTACCCTCTCAGTAAAGTAATACTTCCTGATATTATTTTTAAACCTTTGCCTCTCTGATTTAAGACTATGTCCTCTTGTTGTGGTAGTTTTTCTTCTTTTAATGGCTTTTTACTACGAACATATAGAAACTCATACAAAACCTTTAAGAAGAATTTGGAGATTTCAAAGAGTCGCTGACTGCATGATTGGAAGCACGGGTGGTTTTCGGCAATACCGTGTTTTATAAGTGTTTTCGATACCACTTCCTTCAGCATCTGAAGAAGAAGAAAAAAAGATGATGAATTGAAAGTGATGTTTATTTAACTTTATGTGAAAAATACCTAGGATGGGACTGAAACATCAATTGTTATGAAATGCTATAATCATAAATATATCCTTACGTACACACCTATGTTCTGTTGGAACAGACAAGTACTTAGTCAATAGACCATACATAGCCCTAGATTGTAAGTTTGTATGAGCATACCTCTCACGTGTTATACATTCCCACTACACTAATGTCCTGTGTTGTTTTGCTTTTGGTACGGACTTCTTTACTTTTCCAGGGTAGCTGAGATTGGGTGACCGGACTCCTCTATAAATCCAGTGCATTTCCTAAACGTTCCCAGACTGCAGATTTACGCGTCAGTTTAATCGTTTATTACATTTTCTGAACCTGCTGCATGCTGAATGGCATTATCACTCACCAAGAGGATCTTCACACCTTCAGAATTTTAATCAAACAATATAAATAAAGATTCTCTGTCTAAATCCTGGAACCGCCTTCTAAAATTCACGTACAGCAGTTGGGATATCATTACGCTGGGAAGCAAAGAGTTCCAAGAGTAGGAAACGTCCAACACGATTCTTTGTTAAGATTACATGGGGGTTGAAATACAATAGCACGTCTGCCACCTCTGAACTACTGAAAGCAGATTTATCCATGGGAGACAGAAAGTGCTGGAAACATAAATGCAACATCTGTTTCCCAATGTGTTGCCACAAATTAGACATAACCTAAAGTTAACGAATGGGTTAAACTGCAGTAAATTACTGGGTCTGTTTGGATGTGGAGACTACAAATACCTGTAGAGAGAATTGTAGCAATTCATCATTTCATTTAAATAAAGGTTGGAAGTGAATCCACTGGGACAGGAGAAAAGAAGAACATTTTATCTTCCTCTGAAGATCTAATTGGCAGTGGCTGGAGGAGTGATTTTTTTTGGATTAACAGAAAGCTAATATGGCAAAGGCAGATCTTGATTGATGGGAGTGTCCCCTCCTTAGCTCACTTACTATACAATGTAAGAAAACCTTTAAAAGAAACGAGAAGTCCTGTTTCAATAGCTCATTTGCACGTCACCTCTGTTTATACTCAAGCTTTGCCCAGGAGAGTGAATGAAAGAAAATCCTGCTTTGCACGCAGCAGTTGGAATAAAACAAGAGCCGTAGGAGTATATCGCAGAGTCTCTTCTTTGGTTAACAGACAGCGAGCTGATAAAATGAAGCAATTTAGTTTCGGGGGGGTGAAAGGGGTAATCTTTCTGGCAGTATTCACTAAATGATGAAAAACCAAGATTTAGTATTTTTAGAGGTCTTCAAAAAAAAACCAAACCCCCCCCCCCAAAAAGCAAAACCAAAGACCAAACGCCCCAAAAAACAAACAAAAAACAACTCAAACATAAATAATGTTCTAGTTGCCTGAAATGACCAGATATAGAAGGATGACTATATCGGAGGACTGGTCCGTTATTTATGTTTTTTCTTTACTTTAAGAACACCTCTAACATGCTGCTGATTCAGGATGATTTTACACAGAATTATCTGCAAAGTGATATAGTTAGAAATTACAAGCAAACAGCAGCTCGTTGGCCAGGGTTGGTCATACCCAGATCATGTGTGTGCACGCAAGGGGAGTTCCCAGGCACACACACACTATACAGGCAAGGTGCCAAGAACTGTATTCTTGTTCTTTCTTTCTGCAGCTTCCAATGACTATCTCAATATCGGAGAGCTTGAATAATTTGTTTTCTGTGTAGATGTTTTGTTAACATTTACAAAAAGAGCTGTTCAACCTGCACTGCCCCATAAATTATCATTAAACTAATACGGCAGGAAACTGTCAGAATGTAAAACTACAGCAAAAGCGGCCATCCAATGAAGAGAAAGTGTGCAACACCTTTAAAGGGAGTGAGCACGTGCTCCAAAGTGGATGCCTACAGAGACTAACCCTAGACTAGTGCTTTTTACATTACTTAGTTCTCTTTTGAGCTGTTTTAGCACACGGTGAATCTAGAGTTTCACATTCATTTAAAGATTAAATAAAAGGAGGAAAAAAAAAAAAAAACATAGCAACAACAGAAAAATGTACACAGTGACAAATCGTAATAAGTCAAATTCCAAAATCCCGTTTGCCCATCCTAACGTGTGAGAGTAAATTAACGAGTTTTATTGATGAGGCATGTGAGACTCTGGCAAATGCGTTGTTATCCTGGGGAATATCTTAGCTTCCAACGTTTCCAAATCAAGAAATAATCTAAACCTGGATGGCTCTTAAAACCTGCTTGTTATCAATGTGACAGCAGATGTTGTGAACACAATTCAGTTTCCAAGGAAAATACTTCTTCAGACACAGTGAAATGTATCATGTCACGGATTACAGCAGTTGTGCTTCCATCATCTTGGGCGTGAAACTTGCAGAGCTCATTTAGGTTAAACAGTAAATGTCATATTAGAGAATATCTTTACTTTGTAGAAATTATGAAATTCACATTACTCTATGGAAATATTTTCAAACTCCCCCGTGGGCAGCTACTTGGTTTTCAAACCATTGATTTAGTTAATTTTCCAATTTGTGTGGGTGATCATGTACCCATATTGTGATAGATGCATCCAAAACAATTAAATTGAGGCCTAATGTCCTAAACATTTTTGCTTCGATATCTTATTTTCTTTCACGCCAATAGCTGAACATACTACAGGCACGTAGTCCCCTTCACAACTGTAATATCTAGAATCTGCATTTAATGGACTCTTAAGGTTCCAGAATCACTGTACAATAAACTTGTATGCCACAATAAATTACTGAAATATTGGGAGAGAAGGGGCTTTCTGTTGATCCATTGTATACCATTCACTACCTTGGTATACTGAAAACGGGTGAGTACTCACTTTTCTTTTTTCTTTATATTTTTCATGCAAGTAAATCTCAATGTTTGCAATCATCTGATAAGAAAACCTTACCCTGTTGTGTTTTTGAGATCTTGACTCCTTGTTCTCTTGCTCGGGTTGTGAAATTTGCTTGGCTGGAGCTGGTTTACTCGATAGCGATTGTGATCGAGAACTGGGAAGATGACTAGTTGAAGACATAAAGACAGCTTTTTCCGGTCGCGTCCTGGTGACCCTGCACGGCTGCTGGCATCCACTGCTTTCACTTGTGTGAGACATCAGAGAATCTGAGCTTTCAGATTTTGCAAATCTATATGAAAATATTGAATTAAAGGTTTATGCAGTTTATAACCTTTATACAGTATGTAAAAGCTGTATAAAAAAAAAAAAAAAAAAGTACACATCTGAGGCCTCGATTATAAAAATGACCAATAAATGTGAGCTGAAAGAACACCAATTCTCCATTAAAATTACACTAAAGCTATGAAGGTTCTGCCTTCTTGTCACACTCTCTTACAGTCTCTCTTACCATTCACACATGTACAAGATTTCATCACCCAGGCCTATTCCATACATTTATAAAAAGAATCAAGAAACACATAGCAGGACTCCCAAACAGCGCAACAACATCAGGGACTCATTTATAGAGAAGTCTGCGGTCTGTATAAAGTGTATTTTGTGGAACACGTAGATTGGATTTTACTGCTGTTTGGTGCTTCACTGCTTGGTATATAGGCTTGCCGTTTGCTTTTCCTAGTTGATAGAATATTATATATATATATTTTTTTTTTTTTAAATCCCTATGCGCACAAAGAAAAAAAGCTGATTATTTTATTATTTGAGTAAATCTATAGCAAAGTACTAAAAGTGTGGGAATTGCCATAGATACCAACAGAACGTTCATTCAAACAAGTAAAACTATAGTATTATATTTCTAGGATTCATCGTTATCTTTTTGCTGTAGTTCCAGAGAAGCAAGATAGAGGTGAGATTATCTGATGGACAATGAGCTAACCACGAATAGCCTATTTACAAGTTTGACTGCCAACAAACGGGGAAATAGTAAACTCTATACAACTAAACAGGTCACAGACATGCTGGAAAAGTGATGGATTGCATTAAGAGTTTAGACATACACTACTGTACAAAAACATACAGTGTAACAGTGTAAAACAAGTCTGGGTATCGAGGACTTACAAAACCCATAGATCAACGGTGGTTAGTTCACCAAGTTATTTTGAACAACCTACCAAGATCCTTTTTAAGAAAACGGCACACCGCATTCTGGTAATTGATACAAATGCATTAACAGGTATAGTTATGAAAGCATTCTTACTGTATAGAATGTTCTAATACCTGCCGAAACATTTTTTTTGCAGTTGTGTAAGTACTAAAGAGGTGTTAATTAGACATGCATGTCTGGACGTACAGTATGACGACTGAGGACCTACGACAGTGTGTAACAGTGCCCAAAGAGAATAGCATTAAATACATTTATACCAGCAGGAGGAAAATACACACATCTACTCTATAGCTAGACTTTGCGGATACAATATGAAAATAAAAACGGGGACTTTTATGGCTATGTCCAGTGATATAGTTGGCATGACAGCAAGCAGTCCCACAAATTTACATATGTCTGAAAAAAGTTACTACTTTCTGAAATACTGGAAGCACAGATTGGGTGAACCCCATAACACTTCATAAGCGATGCAACCGGTAAACGCGATTTTAATTTGAACACATAAGGATTATTAAAGATCAAAAATGTAACAATATTATAAAGTGCCAGAAATGTTAGATTTTAAGTTTGTTTGTTTTTTACAGAAAGAAGCAAAGCAAAAAAGGGGATAATACTTACTGCTAGTACCCTTTGAATTGTTATTTTTTTGCCCTCCTTTAATTTGTCTACAGAAACCAACATGCAAGCTGATACAGTCGCTGAAGTCACTGAATGCATTCCATAAGAATGGCAATTATTTTTAGATCAAATCAATAAAGGAGAAAATAACTAGGCCTCTTGTATATATTATATCTGGAAATGAGTGTCTCTTGCTACTTCAATAGTAACAGAAAGTGGTCCCCTGATGAAGCCTTCATAGAGCTTGGGGTATGGGAGGGCTGTTAATGACATCATCATGTGCATGTAGCTTGATCAGCTGTGAGTTGGCGCTATGTATAAACCACATTTATACAAACTGGTTTACACTGTGTAAATCACAAATATATCGATGTGGATTAGAAAATTGCATATAAAATTGGCACTACCATATACGTTTAATAGTCTAAGAGGCTGTACTGGCCAATAGATAGTTTCTTATTTAGTAAAGCTGGACAGATAGAATACTGGACAACACAAATACTTCAAAATAAAAACTTGTGCTCCGCCTTATCAGAAACAAATAAAACTGGCAGCTAAACCCTGCATGCCCCAAGACGACATAGGGCACTAAATTCTAAGATACAATTAAATAAAACCATAAGGAGGTAAGAAGGCATATTGCCATGTGTACTATAAAAGAATCGTTTCCATGGCATATAGAAAATGTTTTCCATATGTAAAGTGTTAGCACTTATTAAAGGATGTAACAAGGAAGATATCTAGGGTAAGTCAAACAGAAATCAGTTCTTAACCATCACCTGAAACACTTTTACCTAAAGATGGCACCGAAGCCAGCAACTGAGAATGCCTCCTGAACACATCCAATGAAGAACACAAGGTCGTTATACAAATCTTCTAATTAGCTGCCCAATTCGTAGACATCCCCTTTGTAGAGCAGGTTTTGATGAAATGCAGGTGTGTAGCATGGCCAGCGATTGTATAGGTTTCTGAATTAGCTTCCTTAATCCACCATATGATATGATGGATTCTGATACAATGAAACCTTTCTAAACACTATGAAAATAATGGTCTTCCTGAAAACAGCAACATATTGTTTCAACATTCTGTGTAAGATCCAAACAAAATGTTTCTTTCAGAACATGTATTTCTGCAGCTTGTGGGAAAAACATCAAAGCAGGTAAAAGCCAGACTGACGACCAGATGAGGTAACTTATCAGAGATATAGATTGTTTTTAAAAATTTTAAAGGGACACTATAGTGACCATAACAACTTCAGCTTATTTATTTTGTTCTGGTGAGTATAATCATTCCCTGCAGGCTTTTTGCAGTAAACACTGTCTTTTCAGAGAAAATGTAGTGTTTACATCACAGCCTAGGGATACCTCCACTAGAGGTGGTAGAGGAGCTTCCTGGGGCAGTGCTGCACAGTATTCATTGTCTCACCCCTCTGCATGGAGACACTGAACTTTCCCCATAGAGATTCATTGATTCAATGCATCTCTATACGGAGATGCTGATTGACCAGGGCTGTGTTTGAATTATGCTGGCTCTGCCCCGATCTGCCTCCTTGACAGTCTCAGCCAATCCTACAGGAAAGCATTCTGATTGGTTCACATAATCACTTCTGATGATGTCAGCCAAACAGGCAGATCAGGGGCAGAGGCAGTAGCTGCAGACTTGAATACAAGGAAGATTCTACTTTATTTAGGCAGGCAAGGGGGGCTGCTAGATGGTGATTTTAACACTATATGGTCAGGAATGCATGGTTGTGTTCCTCACCCTTTAGTGTTCCTTTAAAGATTTGTACACAGACATCTAAAAGAACTACATAGATAAAAAAAAAATACCCTCCCAAAAGAAGACCTAGTCCCCTCTGAAGGGGTCTCAAGTTTTTACAAATTCGACAAAAGATAATCATACAGTCCCCTATGGAAAATGGAACGTGTGCACTGTCTTGGTAGAAAAGTAAATCCCTTTAGAAAAACCTTGCATCGCCAACAAACAAAACTTCAACTCAAAGAATCAATGTAAAAAAATTTGGAGAAAAGTCTACAAACATGACAGGTGCAGCAAGTTTCAAATGATCCAGTTGTACCATCTACTGAAAGAGAAACCTTTAGTGCAGAGCTCAAATGTCTCTTTCCATCATCTCAAGGTTCTGTTAACAGATTTCTTGAGGGAAAGGTCCCAATGTTCCAGAAAATGTGCTTCTACAGATCTGTGTTGCTTTTGCCCATGGGACTTGGCCTAAAATTTCAATACGTTTCCTCAATGAGCAAACTGGGATGGAATAACCTTTAGCTTTTCCCCATTTCACCAGAGATACAAATATTCTGACAAACAGTATCTAGAATCATTTCCATAAATCTGATTTCCCTAGAGATGCTTGGGTATGTGGAGTTTGGTTTCTGTTTTTATGAGCTTGTGGATTGAAGCTATAGGTGGAGCAAAAGTTTTAAAATATCTATCTTTAGGGTTTAGTAGGCTACTTGACCAGTTTCATCAAAGGAGGTGACCAACCAGATGTGAGAAAAGTCACTTTATGTAAATAAAAGTTGTTCACAGAGCTAAGTGTTGCATCTACTCTACCTGTGCTGACAGATATTCAAAGTCATTGTGAATTACAATGAACTCTCAGGCACGCAGTTTATGTATATTAAAGTTACTTTATATTACCTCTTGCTGGCGTACAGTCCATCAAGTTCCTTTGAACGTCTTTTCAGCCTTAATGGGTCTGCCCTGAGGTCACCTTGTAACGATTCCCCATCGGGCACACTGCCAGGCTCGGAAAGAACAGCTGGTGAGGCCAGGGGGCTTAAGGCAAATGGAATAGGGCAGCACTCTCGCGTACAGGTCGTCTGTGTTTCATAGCGAATAAGGCGAGACTGAAGCTCTGTAAACCCCACATCTCGATCCAGAGCTTTTCGGTTATCGAGACAATATCTTTAAAAATTAAAAAAAAAGGATCAGAAGTGAAATAAATAAATATATAAAAAAAACTTTAGGCACAAAACAATTTTAATCGATTTTTATTTACTTGTTTTAAGGGTTTATAAATGAAATTCTTATCCTCCGCCAAGACTTTTTAAAAACACCATACAGACCATTTGTTAACGCCTGTTCTGTTTCAAGTTACAGATGACAAAGTAACAATACAGCCTGAGAGGCAGTACATTAGTGCTAATCTGCTGGCACAAAACTGTACATTAGCAGCTGCAAGATGCAAGTTTGGCAAACATTATCCTCCAGCTGAGAGGCTACAACTCACTTTATCGTTAGCACTCTGCAACAGACTTTCCTAAAGATCTGCCATATTTTAACCAAATGCCGTAATTCCCAAAAATACTAGAAATTTGACACAAACATTTTTAATTCATTTACGAATTATATATTTGCAAATAAATTGTAACAATTTAAAAGGGAAACTATCAACTAAAGTCCGCTTTACAATACCCATCCATATGACTAAATAAAAGCGAACACTTTTAAGCCCCATATTAAGCATTGTGCAGATAATATTACTGCACGTAAATATATATACTTTATTTTTAATATAAAAATACATTGCTGCGAAGGTCCACCACTTTTTTTTTGCAGATCTCCAGGGTCTGCAGAGACCAGAGATGGTCTAAAATATTTTACTAGTAGAGTATTTTTATTCACCGAAACCAAATTAAACTATTAGTAAATATAATTATTATTGGCATTTATATAGCGCCAACAGATTCTGTAGCGCTTTACAATATTATAAAAGGGGGAGATTTAGCAATAAATAGGACAATTACAAAAAAAAAAATTACAGGAACAATATGAGGAGGAGGACCCTGCTCAAACGAGCTTACAGTGTATAGGAGGTGGAGTATAAAACACATTAGGACAGGAAATAGCAATCAAATAAGGTGGGAGTGAAGCAGAGCTGGAGGAGAGAGTAAAGTGTTGCCCTTTAGGAGAAAGCAAGAGACAGGTATGTGAGGTAGAGGTTACTCTGGGCGGCCATAAGCTTTCCTAAAGAGATGGGTTTTGAGGCACTTCTTAAATGATTGAAGACTAGGGGAGAGTCTGATGGCGGTAGGCAGGCTATTACATAGGAAGGGAGCCGCCCGTGAGAAATTAGAGGTAGGGCTTTTGCAAATTTGCCAAATTAGCTTAGGTTTTTATTTTTCACAGCTTTAGATTCTGTACCGGCCTTCTCATATAAAGCATTGGTTTTCTTTATACTAAGATTGAGAGTAAGATGTTTGGTATAACAATTAATAGGTAGTAGGTAGTAAGGAGACAAGAATAGGTAGTCCCTCACAACAGGAAGTAGTAGGTTTATAGTATGGGTAGACCAATTATCGGTTCCGCTGATTATTTGAGCCAATATTCTGCATTTTTACCAATAATCGGTCTTGTAATTCCCTGATATACTCATCTCTCCCAGTCAACGCATGCCATCCTCCAAAATCAGAGAACTCCAGGCGCCAGCAATGAGGAGTCACGTTGCAACCTAAATGTCCCCCCTATCCCTGTGAGTTCCTGCATTCATAGCTCAGCTAAAGGCATGGAGATGAGATAGTGAAACTTTTTACTGTAATTTACTGAGCTAGCTGCCTGAAAGTGATAGGAGTGTGATTGCAGACAGCAATGTTCCTTTAATGAGTAGAAATTGTGTTGCTTTTTCAAATGTTAAATGTACAGAATCTTGGCACAGGTTATTGGAATTAGCCCAAAAGGTGTCTGATCTGTATCGGCACCAGCTCTGGAAAAATTATATTGGTCGATCCCTAGTCTGGAGAATAGAATGTTTCTTTAAATAACTGCAAATCTAGTACCGTTCCTTTTTGGTATAACTTCATTTTTAAAAAAGGTGCTGGGAAAAAAAAAAGAACCTTTGTGATATAGACAATACATTATATTGAAATTCATAATCAGGAGAATAGTCAGCTTCCAAAGAGATAGCCTTCATCCCAATAAAACCATGTAAGTGGTAAATACCTCTAAAATGTCAAAGACAAACCAAAGCGTTAACAGCAACATTGGGAAATATTTAAATCTCCTTATTCTGAGCAACTTCTTCAGTACAGAAAACATATCGAGGATACTTACTCCAGGCCATGGTAATGGTAGGTAGCAGCTTTTTCAAAAGGTAACCCTTTCAGTTTCCGTGGTGTCAATTCCGGAGTTAAAATGAATGGGTTATCTCTGGAAGAAAATAAATAAAAAAAAGTTTACAAGAAAAACAGAAGGCTTGAATGTTTTTTACATTTATTGTGGTTCTGTTATGTTCTGTATAATGATCTTACAAGATGCAATACAGGGCTTGGGGATTTAAGCGTTCTGGCTTCTGATAAAGCATGTCAGGAGGCAAATTAATAGTGACAGATTGATCACTCGTTTGCTGCAAGATTTCTTAACAATAAAAATGCCCACTTCAGAATCATTTCTGCAACACTCCTCAAGATGTATCGCTTGACAATGCAATTTACAACAGCAGACTTACAATATTATAAAAGCATTTACCCACACTCATGAGCTTTGCTACAATTTCTTATATAGCTAGAACTAGAGTAAAACTGCAGAATAAAATGTTTGGTGGTGGAGGCAAGCATGTAGAGATTGTCAGACTCTCTTGGTATATCTGCTATCTTATTATCTAATGACATGATATGACAGCCTCCTGGCATATGTCTATCACAACAGGGTCAAAACATGTGCCTGAATGTTTTTGTGTGCAGCTGGAATTACAGGAATGCACTGCAACATACATCGTAACATAGCAACAAACACACAATTTCTGTGTATTTACACGTATTTAAAGGGACACTGTAGTCTCCAGAACCACTACAGCTGGTGTCTTTAGCCTCTCACTGCAGGTTTTTTTTAAAGGAAAAAAAACCGTGTTTACACTGGGAAAGAACTGGATTGGCTGAGATCATCTCAGCCATGGAAGTGGGACCAGCCGCGGTGAGATCTGCACAGTGTGGGACAAAAGTTGGGTAAGTTTAAAAACCTCTTATGAGATCTAAGGGGGCGGGTAGATGACCTAAATAGTTAAACACGCTAGTGTCAAGAATATATGTTTGTGTTCCCGACACTGTAATGTTCCCTTCAAATCTAATTGTGGAGATCAGAACAATGACATTTTAATGACACTGTGTTTAAAGAACAATTTGAAAAGAAAACCCAAAACAGCAATCAGGTAAGATTTCGGTAGTTTTCAGATCCATGTATAATCACTATCGACTTGGCTCAGGATTGCTGCTTCATGCCAAGTTTTTGTTTAATTATTCATGGAATCCTGGACTACTTATAATGCTCAGTCCTGTAAATACTCAAATTAATTTGATTTAAAAAAAAAAAAAGATCTCCCCCCATTTTTGATAACAGAGTTGCAGAAAAAAAACAACTAAACAAAACATAACACATAGCTTAAATGAGCAGATATTGGACTTTATCCCCATGCAGAATACTGTACAAGGAATTGTTGTAGATCTAAAGACCGCTAAAATTGCTAAATCAGCCATTTGATATTAAGCACATGTCAAGTGCACGTGCTGTCAGCCAGCGCAGACCAACAGTGTATTCAGTTTATAGGTGACCGCAATTAACAGAAGAGTCCAGGCAGAGATCCAATGGGACCTATTTCATTAACTTGTTCTCTTAATTACAGATAATGACAGACATTCAGTGTGTTAACTTTACTTGGGAGTTCAAAGAATGACTTTGGAAGCAAGTGAAATAAAATGCAGTTAAGGGCTAAAATATTATAAACACTGTGAAAAAAATAAATCAAAATCGTAAACCTCTTGAAATGTTTCTGCAAAGAAAAATGAAGGGGTAGTATTTTTTTACCCTTTTCCTTACACATTCTACAAAAATTTGAATTTAGATTTGGAATCCAGAAAGATAGACGCTAGGTGCCTTGAACTGACAAAGCCTTACAGAAGATGAAAAGTTAGCAACCCCAGACATATAGGAATGATCGCTAAATCCTTTATGATCCCACCAAAAGGACTTGCCCCAAATACATGACACTGAAACTATTCCGATTTTGTTTCACAGGAAGGAACGTCTTCAGCCAATTCTCCTTTGCACTGTGGTAACCTACAACAGTGACACAGCACCTGTGTCCCATCATAGCAATCAGAAAAAAGGTTCATTTTCACGTTTCAGCATACTGCAGGCATTTATAGCAAAATACTTCTTAATGTGTGGAGTTCACCATTGAATGAATAATTTCACCAGATTTTAAATTGATCAAATCCAAAATGTCTTTTTCTAACACTCTTCATAATAGTTTTCTCCACGGAGGCCTTTTGTCTCACTGTATATTTACCTTCTAGATTGTCAGCTCACATATGGTTCTTGCTTAGAACCGGATGTAAAAGTTCTACAAATGGCAAACTGGCAGGAAACTCTACACCTTCTTTGCCAGTATGTCATAATTCAGATTCCTTGGTGTGGATGAATGTCCACGATTATTTAGTCATTTTGTACGTGTTCTTGGGGGGTGATAAAATCTGCGGACGGGGCTAGCAAATTATGGTCAGGAAATGACAACATTGTGAGAAAGAGCGGCCAGGAAGTGCTCAGTTCAGATACTGAGTCGCTTATATCGGTCAGCTTGGGATACGGTAATGAGTTTGTTCAGCTAGAGATTGTGGAAACATGGCTGTCAATAAGGAATATAAAAAATAAAATAAAACTTAGAATAGACTTTTTCACTTCTATTACCTTACTAGTTTAAAAGTACTGCACACAATGGAAGTTTCTGTACTACTACATGTATTTTCTTTTCTAAAGAGCAGACCACATGGAGTAAAAAAAAACAAAAAAACAAAAAAAAAAACCCCACAAAGAATGAGGTTCAACAGCGACATCTAGTGGATGCTGCTTCGACCACAAGTCTTCTGTGCATGTCTATCTGCCAACAGATGGCAAATATTTGCTTTGCTTGCATAAAACTAAATCCATTGTTAATCCATTACTTTTTAAACGTGAATTGATTGCATGTTTTCACACAAGAGCGATAAGGGATGGTGGAATTGTATTTAATGGCACTGACCTTTGGGGTCTGTTAAGATGAGCTGGTTATGGTGCTTAAGGTCCCCTTTAAATGTCTCAAACACACACTACCAAATATAACATGATTTGTCACTTCTTTGTAAACTTACTATATACAATGTAAGGTTCATGAGCTATGCACACATTAAGTACACTATTAGCTGCGTGGAAACATTGTAGATGTAAAAAACAAAAAATTTGTATCTTGTAATACCTTTTTATTGGACCAACAGAATTTATTTATTTTTTTAATGACCAGCTTTGGGAGAACCTCCCTTTATCAAGTCTGAAGCATTTCGGAGCATGGACTAATACTTGGTAACATTGTAAATATACTTACCCTCGCTGAACCTGTAATGGCTGCAGCTCACCAATTGCTAAACCTTGCGGAGTGAAATATTTCAGTAACTCCTTAGCATCCAAGGTCACTGCTTCCTTCTGTCCATCTTTTCTCCCAAGTAACTGGTCTGCGGAGGTAAGAAGGATCGAGGCTCTGCAGCCAGAGACACAAAAATATTACGAGATATAGGGTATGCTACATCACAAAACAAAATACAAAGCACTTAATATAAAGGAGCTAATACACAAAGGAAATGTTACAGGAAACTGAGGGAGGAAGAAAGTAAGTTTACTTAAAGCTAGTTGGGCATAAAAAATAAGTTTTTGATCTGCACTACAATATGATAAGAAATAGATTTTTTTGTCATTTCTTTCATACCCTTGCTCTAGGTCTAGGTACTGGGCAAAGCTGTGAAACAGATCAACAGGAAAAAAGATAATGGGATGTTGACAAAATATATTCCTTATGGGGCTTGTAATTCTGTTATTTTGGAAGTGCTTTTTGACATTTGAGCAAACACGTTTTACCATCTGATTGCACTCTTCCTTCGATTTGTGTAGCTTACATTTCTATGGGAAGAGCATAGAGGCAGACTATTCACATACAATTTCTAAATTTTTCAAAACAAATAAATAAAAAAATAAAAAAACACATGCAGAGATTACAGCCTAAAAGGATAATTTTCATGTAGATTATGCTTGCCAGAAAATCACAACACATGCACTGTCCTCAACCGCTGGAAGCCATGCTGCAAGGAACCATGTAATATTATTGGCATTTATAGAACGCCAAGTTATTCCGCAGTGCTTTAGAATATTATAAAGGGGTAATTACAAAACGTTACAGGAACAATTGGTTGATGAGGACCCTGCCGAAAACAAGCTTACAATGTAACCACTGAATTCTTGCAACTGTGCAGGAATATAAACCAGGCCTATGTGGGATATTTCATAAATATTCCTACATAATAACAATACCTTTACATAACTTGCGAAGACCCCAAGTAAGATTACAAACTGCCATGTTACAAAGCCGCCTGTGTCTGAAATATGCGGAATTATAAACTTCTACCTAGACTATGCTTGCAATTTGCAGCAGTCCTTGCATTCAAAGGAGTAACAGTGGTTTTACCTTATCCTTTGCTTCATTTTCTCAAAATTCTCCAGATTCTGCAGAACATTTCTTTCTGGCCATTCAGCTGGATTGGATGCTGCCTGATCTGAGTCTGGAGAAAAAAACAACAAAGAAATGAAAACCTGATGCATTGCTCAAACATGTTTACAATCTATGAGGATTTTAGGATGGCGGATGTTCATTAGATCATTAGGACCATTTACTGGTAAGGTGGTCTGACTGCTATACGAACCTGGGTTTCCCAGTTCCGAGGCAGTGAAATTGTCACTGCTCTAATCAGCTGATCTAACTATGCAGAAGATCTAACTGTTCACATTCTGCCTAATATATCCCACCCCTTGACAGGTGCCATTGTAAAATATAATCAATGCTATTCACTTCACATGTCAGTGGGTTTAATGCTCTGGCAGATAAAAGTAAAAAAAAAACAAAAAAACAACTCATTACAGGATCCTTCAGCCATATTCATGCCTTTTGGGTCAGACCATGCATGAAAACCGACAGTCTCTTCTGTGCAGGGAGTGAAGAAGAGAACCAAACCTGGGACTTGGAGGTTTGAGCAGAAACTAAAGTTTATCAAAAGATACAGAAACTGGAACATTAATCTCAAAGATGCAATAGCTTTTTTGCAGAATACAGAGCCGCAGATAGAGATCAATTTGTAAATATAATTAAAATATAATGTACCTGCAGGATCTATTTCAGCTCTGGTAACATCCATATTATCACGGCTTGTGGACTGGTTTAAAGTCTCAAAAATGTCAAACACACCTTCTCGTGTCAATACCAACAGTTTCTTGAGATCAGCGATACTAGGAGATGAATGTTGGCAGGATTCTCTCCTCTCTTGAAAGAAAACAAAACAAAACATTGATATACTGAAAATATCTTTTTTTGTTTGCAAAAATGCAGTGAATACATAGACTTACGTAAATAATCTTTAACAGCTAAGGCCTGACACCGATCCACTGCTTGTTCTCTCATGATAATGGTGTCACCGTCATAATGTTGCAGACAACTTAGTGTATTTATTTTATTTTCTAAAAAAAAAAAAAAAAAAAGAAGTAAAAATAAATATAGCACATGCACTAACAATTTGCCTTAAAGGAAGAAAAACATTTACTTGAACAAATTAGCAGCAGTATTCACTGAAGTGAGAATTCAAATTTGAGGTCAGAGTAACCAAATTGAAAGCCTAGAGGTTTTAATCTTAAATTTGAAATTCCCTTGAATGCTCACTTTAGTGAATAACCCTATGAGTATTAAGAGAAAGAAAGAAAAGAAAGAAAAAAAAAAGGTTAAATTAGACAAAATGGCAAAAAAAAAAAAAAAAAAAAAAAAATACAACCCGACAACAAAAGCGAAACAAAAAAAAAAATAAATAAAAATACGTAAATAGTACATCACAAAATCCATAATGGATGAGGGTCTACATAACACGATCATTACTCTGCAGATTTTACACAGGAAAAGGCAATAATAGGGGAATTTACTTACGGATCTCATCGTGTGTAGAATTCAGCATCTGATAAAATAATGAGAACGACGCTGCACCATTAATCTGACTGGAAGAATGAAGCATCGTTGCTGTACATATTCCATCAACTTTGCTTTGAACAAGGAAATAATAGCCACAGTTCTCCCCCTTTAGCTCGACATCTGGAACTTTATAAAAAAGAAAAAATATTATAAATACATTTTTTAAAAAAGGTTGCGATAATATTTAAAAATGAGTCTTTCCTCAGGAATTCACACATTTAATTTATCAAAACAGTTTATTGATTCAATAAAATCTTTTTTTTATTTTTTTATTAACAAAAGCGTAAGTTACAGTTACTAGCGAGCTGATAAAATTCTACAAATCAACATTGTCTGAATCTTTGTTCACTCAGCTATTTTGACTCCGCTTTGCAATTTATCAGTTTACAGTTTGGAATAAACCTTTAATCTTACATTTAAAGACAATCTTACTCTTGATTTCTTTAGGTTTTCTGGACATATATTCTCTCCACTTTCTTGAGCTACATTGAGGTGCAGGTGGATTAGGCAAGGTGCAGACATTACACGGTAACATAAATACAGCCGCAACCTAAAAAACAAAACAAATATGTCATGTGGGTCAGCATGACGAGAAACTAAAATTACAATATGGCAGCCAAGTGATTTTATATGATGTGCCCAGAGACGTTCAGTGTTAATGGAGCATGACCGCGTCAGTAAATTGTTTTGTGTTGCTCACCCATTGTTACTATTGTTAATGCGGCTCTGTCCTACTCCTCCCGAATAAATCACATTTGGACAATATTAGAAACATTTTATCAAAGTTTAGTAAGTTCGACAGATATTATACTTTCTTCTCAGACTGGAGGTGGCAATCTTGGACATATATCCCAATTTCAAAATACTTCAATACAGCAAGAATGATTAGATTGTGAGAATTGTATATTTGAGATAAATTAAGCCGCGGTATATAGTGTGTAGGGGAAAGTGGAAGAGAACGCAATACTTCATACAGAATTCCCCTTGCAAATACCAGATTAGCGAATAGCTAGTACTAAATTTAAAAAATAAAATTAAAAAATTCTACCAAATTAAAAATAAATCTGATTTACAATTTTAAAAGTACAAATATGATTTGTGATCACAAAGACACTTTTAATATATTTATGTACTTTTCTCTCTTTCCAGTAGAATGCTCCCTGTAGTGTGGAAACCTAAATCAACCCCACCTCAAAAATTTTACCCACTGTTTCACAACAAAATACATGTACAGAGAGAATGTACCTTTCCGTTCAGTGAGTATAGTTGATTCAACATCAGTTTGGACTTTGTATGATGAGAGTTTCGTGTCAAACATCTAATGATTGTTAAGGATAGCATAAAATTTTTTTTAAACACACTCCATATTTACATATACACATATATATATATATATATATATATATATATATTTAAATGGGTTGCTAGATTTTACTATTGCATCCAGAAGGCTCTTTCTGGATGTGTCACTTTCAATCTGAATGTCCTTTACAGTTTCATCTAGACTTATTTTGTTATTTTATTTAATAATAATAAAAACAATGTTTAAACCATTACTTCTGGTAAAAGTGCATTTTATATTTTCCAGTAATGACTCCCCTCCTTCATTCAAGGTTCACATATTAAGTCAACGACGCGTGCAATTACCACCCTATTATGAAAACACATTTAATGGGACACTATAGTCACCTGAACAACTACAGCTTATTGGATTTGTGGTGAGTGTAATTATTCCCTTCATGCTTTTTGCAGTAAACATGGTCTTTTCATAAAAAAAATGCAGTGTTTACATTGCAGCCTAGGCATACCTCCACTGGCCACTCATCAAATGGCTACTGTGGGTGCTTCCTGGGTAGGTGCCGCATAGTGTGCAGTACTGCCATCCAATGTCTCCACCCCCTGTATGGAGACACTGAACTTTCTTCATAGAGATGAATTGACTCAATGCATTTCTATGAAGAGATGCTGATTGGCCAGGGCTGTGTTTGGCTTGTGTTGGCCTCCTTGACAGACTCAGCCAATACTATTGGAAAGCATTGTTTTTGGCTCAGAACTCCACTTCTGATTATGTCAGCCAAGCAGGCAGATCAGGGGAAGAGCCAGCAGTAGTCTGGAATAAAGGTACAGTTTTACTATATTTTGGGTGGCAAGGGGGTGACTAGATGGTGATTTTAACACTATACGGTCAGAAATACATCCTTTAAATTCCATTATTGGAGTACCAACATCTCAGCACACATAATCTGTTTCTATCATAATGGCTTAAAGCATAAGCCTTAATTAATAAACCTTGGTTTTGGGTGGATAAAGCCATTCATGAAAAACAATTTCTGTTTTACAGAACCAAAAGGGGATGCTCCCCTTGACATGTGTATCTCAGAGAGAGCACTGGAAGTTGGAGAAGGTGGGGTGCCAGATTACAAGGATACAGCTCAAACACACAATTTGAAATAAAGTAAGAAGGAATTTGTGAAACTTCCACCATCTGAACAAACTTTAGTGATGGGCCATAGTAGTGGAAGACCTGCAAAGACAACAATATAAAATGTAATAAAAAAATAGCAAGATTATGATTCATTATAATAACATTAAAATTTTTTTTAAATAATTCAATGAGTTTCTTTCCCCCACCCAAAACCAGACTTCAGCATTACTTAACTAAAACTACTTGAATAAAATCATACCTCTGGTGATAAAACGCTTCTCTTTTTATCCTTGTTGTCTTCAATGACATGGCTGAGTCCTGAGATACAGAGCCGATCTGTGTTATCAGAGGAACGTATACAAAATGCTGGAAATTCCACTTCAGATGCAAACTAGGGAAGCAATTTGAAGAAGCAGAGAATGAAACACAGCAATGTTAAAAACATGCATATTATTAAGACACAATTCATGCAAAACAGTCTTGGATAGGGTTTTGTGAGCTTAAAGGGACTCTGACGGCCCCTAGTGAAGTGGTCTGGGTGTCATCTCCCTCTAGTTGTAATCCTGCAAATGAAAATTTTGTTGTTGCAAGAATGGAATGTTTGCCTTGAAGGATTGAAATGCCTCTAGTGGCCATCACTGTGACACCCTGGCGCTTATTATAGAGACCATGTAGTTAGCACAGCATGGCCTTTTGCTGCACATGGACACTAGCCACCAAAAGCACTAGATTGGCTGACATCATCGATCTCAAGCAGCAAAGCAATGCAGGACAGACAAGTGCAGAAAACCAATTGTCCCATTGTTCATCCATTTCTGCCTGCAAGCATTGTATTCACTAAACATCAAATGCATAGGCGTGCGCAGCCTATTGCATTAGGGTGTGCACCCTAAAGCACAAACACACGCCGCATGTGTGTGTGTGTGTGTGTATATATATATATATATATATATACATATATATATATATACACACACACACACACACACACTGCTGTGTGTGCTGTGTGAGGGTGCTGTGTGTGCTGTTTGTGTGAGGGTGCTGTTAGTGTGTGTTTGTGACGGTGCTGTTTGTGTGTGAGGGTGTTTGTGTGTGTGTATTTGTCCTGTGAGGGTGCTGTGTGTGTGAGGGTGCTGTTTGTGTGAGTGTCGTGTATTTGTGAGGGTGCTGTTTGTGTGTGTGTGTTTGTGAGGGTGCTGTTAGTGTGCGGTGTGTGAGGGTGCTGTTAGTGTGCGGTGTGTGAGGGTGCTGTTAGTGTGCGGTGTGTGAGGGTGCTGTTAGTGTGCGGTGTGTGAGGGTGTTGTGTTTTTTTTAATGGTGCTGTGTGTGTTTGTGAAGGTGCAGTTAGTGTACTGTGTCTGTGTAGGTGCTGTATGTGTGTGTGTGTGTGTGCTGTTCCTGCAGGACTCAATCCACAGGCGTGCCGCGGGGATTAGGGTGTGCCTAGGCACACCCGGCACCCCCCGTGCGCACGCCTATGATCAAATGTAAACATTTAACCCAAAATACTATTATTTTACATATACGTATGTACAGACACACATGCCAAACAAAATAAAAATGTATACTTTACCTTTTTCTCATGGATCTCAATTGCCCCTCTCCATAATTCCTGGGGGTCGATTAAGGACTTCAGAGTCTCAGTGGGTATGACACTTGCAGACAAAAAGTTAGAAATCTTTTGCCACCTTAAGAGAGAATGGTAAACGCATTAAGCTTGAATTTTAAGATCTGATACAAAATGTACAAAACTTTTGCTGTACATGTTGTTGTGTACTATACAAAATACATTTTTCTTTGAAGGTCACATGAAGATCATACATCAGTTATGCTGGAATCTCCTGTCAATGCATCCAATAGAATGTAAGCGAGAAGTGCAGTGTCTTAACTTTGATAGGACTGGGTTTAGGGTCTCTTATTTATATAGCGCCATCAAATTCCGTAGCGCTGTACAATGGGTGAACTAAGAGACACAAAATTGCTTACATGTCCTATTATTTTGGTTTATTATTGATCTAATATTTTGCAGGAAGTACCCAGGGAATTATTTACTTTCCTTTAAAATAAATAAATTAGAAGTGATCACTACTCTACCAGGGGCCGAGTAACACAGAGGCCCCTGATGAAGATACTGATGGCATAATAAGAAACCTTTCCCATCTAAATACTGCTGTGAATTGTCTAACTGCAGCTAAAGCACAAGCAGTGTCCTTTCTTTTCTCTCTGTTTTGAATAGAAGGAGCTCCAGTAATGGGTAAGATACAGATTGCTCTATGCCTTGTATTGAAAGCTATACAGTAGTTGTGAGTAAGCTCGGTTGACCAAATACTTGACAAATTAACTTCCTGGTTAGTTCTGTAAACAATATGGCTCGTGGGTGGTGGTTGATTGCTTCTGCCTGATTCTGTTAACATGTACAGGTGGTTTCATTCAGTTTGTGTCCCCACAAATAAAACCCACTGATGCGGTAAACAGTTATTAGCATCAAAATTCATCTGTGAAGTATTGATCATATCGGCTTGACTCAAATTCAGCGTAGTTCTTTCAGTGATCCAAAGATCCAAATGGACTTACTAGTGTAAGACGTATTGGAATTAATTACACAAACAAGCATATATACAAGTACACAAACATGCATACATATAGCCTGTGCTGTCCATTAAATCACGTGGCAGCAGCAGCCAATACACATACAGTCTGGAAGAGAGAAGATATAGACAGATTTTTAAATAATCCCTGAATTTGCTCAATGACATAAGAAGGGGACATGTGGGAAATGAAAAGATTAGAAGGATTTTCTTACAAAAGCACTTTATATATTTCAGTTTTGCATGACTGCAATGAATCCTTACCCTTTGCTGTCTTTTGTAGCAATGGTTATTTTGGCAGTGTGCCATTCCTTGAGATGTTTGAAAGCACCGACTGCAGGAATGCAATCCTTCAATTTGGGAGCGTGAGACGATAGCAACAGCACATCTACTAGAGCTCTCCCTAGATAGGAACAGTTAGAATAAATTAAATTAATTAGTAAAATTAGGTTTTTCTTATACTTAATTCACATCCCTGCTGTCATTATCCCAATCTAAATTACATTTATGCAACACCCCCCCACCAGCATTTGATGGATTACATGCCCAACTCTTGTTTTAAAAATAACAGAAGGAAAGAAACTGCATTGTATGTATTGCAAGCCCTGATTCGGCCCACACTTGTTATCTCCTGTACTATTATGCCAATACTTAAAGGAACACTATAGGGTCAGGAACACAAACATGTATTCCTGACCCTATAGTGCAAAACCCACCATTTAGGTGGCTTACATCCCCCACCTTAGCCCTCTTAAAAGCAATTAAAACTCACCTTATTTCCCCAGGAAGAACCTCTAGCAGCCATCTAAGGTTTGGCAACTGGAGGCGTCCCTAGGGAGCAATGTAAACACTGCATTTTCTCTGAAAAGGCAGTGTTTGCATGAAAATGCCTGAAGGCAATGATTGTACTCACCAGAACAACTACATTAAGCTGTAGATGTTCTGGTGACTATAGTGTCCCTTTAAACTGGAGACTCTCTACAATTTTGCATAAACTATTTCTAAGCCTGTAAATCCTTTCAAAATGTTTTGTGTTTTAATCCATAGTCTGCGGTTTTTATTTGTAATTCTGTAAAGGGAGACTATAGTCACTACAGCTTAATGTAGTTGCTTTCATTGCTTTCAGGCATTTTTATGCAAACACAGTCTTTTCAGTTTACATTGCCCCAAGGGACACCTCCTCAGATGGCCACAGGAGGTGCTTCCTGGCTCAGTGCTGCGCAGTAGGCAGCTCTACCGTTCAGTGTCTCCACGCTCTGCATGGAGATGCTGAACTTTCCTCATAGAGATGCATTGATTCCATGGGAAAGCATTGCATTGGCTTAAATCATAAATTCTGATGATGTCAGCAAGGAGGCGGATCTTAGGAGTGGCGGCGCCAATGGACCCGCACAATGCTGAAAATAAGGTACATTTTATTACCTTTTAAGGGGGCAAGTCGCCAAAATGGTAGTTTTAACACTATAGGGTCGGGAATACATGTTTGTGTTTCTGACCCTAAAGTGTTCATTTATTAATACAGATAAAGTTTTGATGACATTGCCATTTTCTGAAATTTAGTTTCTCTCATGGGGGATTCATTAAGAGGACGGTCGGTGCCCAAGTTCATTTTAGTAATAAGCACAAGGATGGTTTTATGGTAAAAGGTAACCATGATGTACACATTAGAGGTACACATAATAAAGTCCTTGTTTTTTTTAAATATCTTAGCAAAAACCATAGCGTACCACAGGTGTAAAAAGGATAATCTTTATTGGTACAAAATATCAACAAATTAATATCCTTTCAAATTTATTTTCAAAGCAATGTAAGACACACGTGTGCATAGAGAGTGGAGACCACAGCCCCAATGTTTAGACTATGCTTTTTTTCAACGGAATAGAAGTTATAATAACTGGTATCTTAAAGGCAGTTTCAACCCCTATAGAAGGCACTAACTTCCACTAATGTTTTCATTGTGAAAATATTAGGTTTAATATAATGAAAGGCACTCAGAAACATTAAATCAATCACACCAAGCATATATATATGTTAAAGGGACACTATAGTCACCTGAACAACTTCAGCTTAATGAGGTTGTTCAGGTGAGAACTATAGCTCCCTGCAGCCTCTCTCATGTAAACACTGTACACAGTACAGTGTTGTCCCACAGTACATTTTCTGAGAAAATACAGTGTTTATATTGAAAGCTAGGAACACCTCCAGTTGCAGTCACTCAGAGTGAACAAAAGGGATTTCTGAGTTGATGGAGGCATAATATGCCTCCATCCACTCAGATCTGCTGTGCACGAGCATCCTGTGATTCAGTATCTCCTCCCACTGCATGCAGACACTGAACTTTCCTCATAGAGATTCATTGTTGCAATTCATCTCTATGAGGAGATGCTGATTGGCCAGGGCTGTGTTTGAATCATGCTGGCTCTGCCCCTGATCTGCCTCTTTGTCAGTCTCTGCCAATCCTATGGGGAAGCATTGTGATTGGATCAGGCTACCACTTCTGATGATGTCAGCAGACTGCTTGTTTTCTGAGTCAAACAGCATGCAGAGTTACAGCTTCTGGCTTGAATACAGTAATATTTTTACTATATTTATGGAGGCATGAGGGGCCCAGGTGGCTAGATGGTCGTGTTAACACTATAGGGTCAGGAATACATGAAGTTGCACTGGTGACTATAGTGTCGCTTTAAGTAAGGTTGTATTGACAATAAGGGGGATCTGTTTACCATAAGCAGATTTAGATACTAATAAACACTATGATCATGAACAAGAAAAAGCAATAACCTGGTGCGGGAAGTTTGTCAGACAGTTGGTGAAGCAATTCTGCAGACTCTTCAAATAAACTGAGTGAAAAGAGAGAGGAGAAATGGAATTACATTGTTTCCCCCCCCCCCAAGAAGTCATAGATTCTCATGATACTGCAAAATATCTTGCCAGCATTCTGGTACTGAATGACAGAAACAGCATTGGAAATATAAATACAAACTAATCAAACGTGTCTAAGCTGGGACTTCTACGCAAAATTCAAAGTTTACAAACACACATGGGTGGCGTCTTGCCTCTGTCCTCTGCTGTAGTAAGCAATAAAGCTTGTCCTTATAAGGCCAGAGATCATTTAAAAGCAGAATTGATAAAGTGACGGCATTTTACTCATCAGATGCTCTCTTGCACTGTATATACTTTTATAGCATCAACATAAAGAAATGTTATTTTACGTTGCTCTGATATGGAATATCGATCTATATTTCACAACCATGTTCCTCTTGGGATAACTATTCCACAGCAAGAAAAATAATCACATCACCGTATAATCTGCTCTCATACCTAGTTTGGCTAATAGAGTCTCTGCTGTCCTCCTCATCTTCCTCCTCCGAGTTGTGAATGGCATTTAAGCATTCTTCAATCGTAGTTGTAGCAGGATCAATGTCATCGTCTGATGCAGGAGGCGGAGACAAGTCTTCCCAGTCAGAGCTACAGAACTGAGAGAAAAAAACAAAAAAAAACATCACAGTAAACACGAGTACAATGTGAGAACCTTTACTCACACAATGGACTTGGAAAAGCACATGTATTTTACCTGGAAAGATCCATAAACAGCATGCAGAGCAAAGAACCACTTCCTTACCACCGGAATACCGGTCACTGAACAGGCTGGAAAACAAGAATTTGTGTAAAAGAACACCAGTTATTCTGAGAAATGTATTCATTTTCTGTTTTTAATCTTGTGGATTAATGAACTGTTTAAGAAATATGGGCAGTGCACGTACAACCACAGTTCCGAGTGTTCCATATACTGGATTTTAACGTTGGTTATTTACAAGTTGTTTAAAAGTGAATGTACCTGTGAATGTGTTTGTGTATTTGGCACAGTACTCCTTCAGTTGGTTATGAAGCTCCTGGACATTTGCAAAACCTAAAAATTAAGGGGGAAAAAAAAAGTTACAATTACAAACTTTTTAGTGAATAGATGACTCATTCGTAACAAGCAATAATGATTTCAGATATAAACTGTTTCTAAAAAAAAAAAAAAAAACGAAAGAAACAATCACCATGGAAACCAATGGAATGTTCTTGCTAAACAGGGTGGATGAAAATAAAGATTAAAAAAAAAAAAGAAAAAAGAAAAAAAAAAAAGTGACAACTCCAGCGGAAGTCACTCAGAGGCGCTTCATGGTGCACTGACGTTTCGACGTCTCCACTCTCTGCATGGAGGAGCTGAACGTTCCCCGAAGAGATGCATTGATTCAATTGAGATGCTGGTTAGCACAGCACAATGTTTTGCTGGGCATGTATGATAGCCTCCAAATGCTTTCCAATTGGAAAGCCTTGGATTGGCAGACTTAATATATTTTGATGATTTCAGCCAAGGTGGCATAGCGTGGGCATTGCTAGCCACAGGAAAAATATAAGATACTCTAATTTTCTACTTAACCCTTTAAGGACAGTGGCAATTGTACAAGTTTTGACCAAAACCTAGAACATGAGCTATATGTTCGTTTGACTATAATTTACCGCTTTCATATTAAGTGCAGCCACACTTATTACATATCATTTTGTTCAGATGAAATAAGGCTTTCATTTCACATCAAATATTTATATATGAAACGTAAATTTATAAAGCATTTTTTTTTTTCCACCCATACACATTAACTCCATTTTTGCAGAACATTTCATAATCCTTATAGGAGTTTGTACAATAAAGCTTCGGTATTTTGATTTAAAGGACCACTATAGTGCCAGGAAAACAAACAAACCAACAATCTTGTTTTCATGGCACTATAGTGCCCCGAGGATGCCGCCACCCTCAGGGTCCCCCTCCTGTGGCGCTGCGGGGGGGCGGGGAGTGGCGCTGGGGACTCTCCTCCTCCTTCGGTCGTCATCAGCTGAATGCGCGGCAAGAGCAGCACGCGCAGTCAGTCCATAGGAAAGTATTCTCAATGCTTTCCTATGGACGCTGGCGTCTTGACTCGCAGAAGCGCCTCCAGCGGCTGTCAATGAGACAGCCACTGGAGGCTGGATTAACCCTATTATAAACATAGCAGGGTCTCTGAAACTGCTATGTTTACAGCAGGCGGGGTTAACCCTAGCTGGACCTGCTGAAGTTGTCTGGGTGCCTAAAGTGGTCCTTTAACATGGTCTCTGGAATATAACCGTACCACCCTGTAGCAGTTTTACAGGATTTTGGGAAAGTCACAGAGCCACATTTATTAGTTGTCCCTTTCAAAGTTGGACATCCAGCTATAATGGAGTACAGCAAGCCTGCTGACAGCTAAGCATTGTGGGAGATGTAGTCCTGAGAGAGAGAGCATCCACAGTGGGTGATAATACAGTCTGTACCTGCAGGTATGAGCTTCTTGTCCTCCTCAACCCTCCTATCCCAGGCCACCACCAGCACAAAGCGCTCCATACACTGTGAATGGGGGTCCTGCAGTTACAGGGGGCTTTGGGGGAGAGCTGCACTCAGCCAAACTCAAATCTCAGCGCGAACACTGCTTTCCGCTGCCCACAGCTGTCATGTGACGCACAGAGCGCTAAACACTCACAGCTGCTCTGTCGCTTGGAGCGCGGGCGCCATGTTACTGTAGACCACGAACGCGCTGACTGTCACGCAGCTGGCTCCGACAAAATGGCTCCTGTAATGGAGAAGTACTGCGGGGGCGCTTGTGTTTGGATCTCTAAAGACAAGTAGTCCTATGTTTTCCCCCTCGGAAACAAGGAATATGAAATATTGGTTCCCAACAGGCTGTGACATGGGGGTATTAATGTGATGTGGGTATTGTTATTGGCGTGTTATTATAGATAAGGACACTGTCTGTATAGGAAGGCTCACCGCTGGTGCTGGCACTGCCTGGGAGTTCTGGGAGTTATTTCCGATGTTTATAAGGGGAACGTCCCTACTGGCTGGTTTCCACCTGGACTGTATTAGTGGGTGCACCAGTGGAAGCTGTCTGGGTCTGTCTGGGTCTGTGCTCATGGTGACCTCCTGGAGATGGCGAGTTACAGCAGAACAGCCCAGGTACATAAACACCCCGAGCAGGAAATCACTGGGAGTGTGATACATGGAATATCTCACACAGAATGTAGAGCCCTGTCACATATCACATGGAATATCTCACACAGAATGTAGAGCTCTGTCACATATTACATGGAATATCTCACACAGAATGTAGAGCCCTGTCACATATCACATGGAATATCTCACACAGAATGTAGAGCTCTGTCACATATTACATGGAATATCTCACACAGAATGTAGAGCCCTGTCACATATCACATGGAATATCTCACACAGAATGTAGAGCTCTGTCACATATTACATGGAATATCTCACACAGAATGTAGAGCCCTGTCACATATCACATGGAATATCTCACACAGAATGTAGAGCTCTGTCACATATTACATGGAATATCTCACACAGAATGTAGAGCCCTGTTACATATCACATGGAATATCTCACACAGAATATAGAGCTCTGTCACATATTACATGGAATATCTCACACAGAATGTAGAGCTCTGTCACATATTACATGGAATATCTCACACAGAATATAGAACCCTGTCACATATCACATGGAATATCTCACACAGAATATAGAGCCCTGTCACATATCACATGGAATATCTCACACAGAATGTAGAGCCCTGTCACATATCACATGGAATATCTCACACAGAATATAGAGCTCTGTCACATATCACATGGAATATCTCACACAGAATATAGAGCTCTGTCACATATCACATGGAATATCTCACACAGAATATAGAGCCCTGTCACATATCACATGGAATATCTCACACAGAATATAGAGCCCTGTCACATATCACATGGAATATCTCACACAGAATATAGAGCTCTGTCACATATCACATGGAATATCTCACACAGAATATAGAGCCCTGTCACATATCACATGGAATATCTCACACAGAATATAGAGCCCTGTCACATATCACATGGAATATCTCACACAGAATATAGAGCTCTGCCTGTCACATATCACATGGATTATCTCACACAGAATATAGAACCCTGTCACATATCACATGGAATATCTCACACAGAATATAGAACCCTGTCACATATCACATGGAATATCTCACACAGAATATAGAGCCCTGTCACATATCACACGGAATATAGAGCCCTGTCACATATCACATGGAATATAGAGCCCTGTCACTATCACACGGAATATAGAGCCCTGTCACTATCACACGGAATATAGAGCCCTGTCACATATCACACGGAATATAGAGCCCTGTCACATATCACATGGGGTGCAGAGCCCTGGCAGATATCACATGGGGTGCAGAGCCCTGGCAGATATCACATGGGGTGCAGAGCCCTGTCTGTCACATATCACATGGGGTGCAGAGCCCTGTCTGTCACATATCACATGGGGTGCAGAGCCCTGTCTGTCACATATCACATGGAGTGCAGAGCCCTGTCTGTCACATATCACATGGAGTGCAGAGCCCTGTCTGTCACATATCACATGGAGTGCAGAGCTCTGTCTGTCACATATCACATGGAGTGCACAGCCCTGTCTGTCACATATCACATGGAGTGCACAGCCCTGTCTGTCACATATCACATGGAGAGCAGAGCCCTGTCTGTCACATATCACATGGAGAGCAGAGCCCTGTCTGTCACATATCACATGGAGTGCAGAGCCCTGTCTGTCACATATCACATGGAGTGCAGAGCCCTGTTTGTCACATATCACATGGAGTGCAGAGCCCTGTTTGTCACATATCACATGGAGTGCAGAGCCCTGTTTGTCACATATCAAATGGAGTGCAGAGCCCTGTTTGTCACCTATCACTTGGGGTGCAGAGCTCTGTCTGTCACCTATCACATGGGGTTGCAGAGCCCTGCCTGTCACATATCACATGGGGTTGCAGAGCCCTGCCTGTCACATATCACATGGAGTGCAGAGCCCAGTCTGTCACATATCACATGGAGTGCAGAGCCCAGTCTGTCACATATCACATGGAGTGCAGAGCTCTGCCTCATATCACATGGAGTGCAGAGCTCTGTCTGTCACATATCACATTGGGTGCTTTTTTAAAATAATTTTCTGGTTAAATTTTTTTTTTTTTGTGGAAGATTATTGCATCAAGTATTCCAAGTGTACCACTGTTTCTGTATTTATTGCTGTGTGTGTGTCACTCTGGTGTATGCTGCTGGTAAAACAAACTTGCATATATTGATTGTAAATAGCACGTTCCATGAGGAACATTATTCATTGTGTACAGAAACATATATACTGGTGTAACGGATCACCTGGCACCCTGACTGGGTAACTCCGCTAAAGGATCACTTCCAAGCTGGAACAGGGGACAAACCCGCAGCACTACTTGCCCTCAGTCGCTGTAGCTTGACTGGGGCCCTGGAACCGCCACTTCCTTCCTGGACCCGAAGGGAAAATTAGCTCTGACACCTCCAGGCACTGGACGACACTGAGTCCTGGGAACTCTGGAACCGAATGGGGAATTAGCTTTAGTCCTTACAAGGACTTTCCCCGTTGAATCTCTGCAAGCTGGATCAGCACACACTTTTCCTCCAATAACTGGACGACACACAGTTTTGGAGTGTAAGCAGGAATCTCAAGTTTAATGGAACACACTGGCCTTTTATACAATTTTCCAGGCCAGAGGAACACCCCCTGGGCCTGATGGGGCACAGGAACACAAAGGACATAAACCAATCAGAACAAACATACAGTCTGTGACATGTACAGCACACAATCCCTCCCCTCTGCTTAGGAGATAATTGAGTAAAGTCCTGTTAGTAACTAAATTATCTCCAGGCAGAAAAACCACATTTTCACAAAGTTCATAAAGTAACCCAAAATCCAACATATCCCCATAAAAGTCACATCCCCTGATAGCCCCGATCTGGGTGAACAACATCCAAAAATCACCAAGATCGGTTCAAGGGTTCTGGAATTTCCTGGAAGTCATAGTTTGGACTGACCGCAAGCATGGGCCCATGCCCAAAACAGTTACAGGGAACTACCATTACATCACCTAACCCCACTCCCTCCACCACTCTACACTCATTCACACCTGCTACAGCAGAAGAGGTTTCGGCTCTGCTCCGGTCCACCCGCCCCACCACCTGTTTTCTCGATCCTATTCCTTCATATCTCATGCACACTATGTATCACTCTCTTGCTCTTCCCCTCACTAGAATTTTCAGTCTCTCCCTTTCCTCTGGCACATTTCCCTCACCCTTCAAACACGCAACTGTAACCCCAATTCTAAAAAAGCCCAGTCTTGACCCCAACTCCCCATCCAACTACCGCCCTATCTCGCTACTGCCATTTGCCTCCAAGATCCTCGAGAGAGTTGTGTACACCAGACTGACTGACTGACTTTCTCGAAACCAACTTTCTGCTTGACCCCCTTCAGTCTGGATTCCGCGCTGGTCATTCTGTCGAAACGGCTGTGACCAAAGTATCCAACGATTTAATTGCTGCTAAATCTCGCGGCCATTACTCTATCCTAATTCTCCTTGATCTTTCTGCTGCCTTTGACACTGTTGATCATCAACATGTTCTTCGCATTCTCCGTAATTTTGGTCTACGGGATACTGCTCTCTCCTGGTGCTCCTCCTACCTCTCCCAGCGCTCTTTCAGTGTTTCTCTGACTCTGCCTCTTCCCCCAACCACTCTGTCCACGTCCCCCAAGGTTCTGTCCTTGGTCTCCTCCTGTTCTCTATTTACACTGCCTCCCTTGGTAAACTCATCAGCTCCTTTGGCTTCCGTTATCATTTCTATGCGAATGACACGCAAATCTACCTGTCCTCTCCTGATCTCTCTCCGCCCGTCTTCACTGACTCTCTTCGATTTCCAAATGGATGGCTGCTCACTTCCTTAAACTCAACCTGTCCAAAACAGAACTTCTGGTCTTTCCTCCCTCAAGTGTTACTACCCCTGTGTCTGTCTCCCTCCAAGTCAACAGCGCTACCATCACCTCTACCTCGCAGGCTCGCTGCCTGGGTGTTATTTTTGACTCCAACCTCTCCTTCACCCCTCCTGTCCAATCAATCGTCAAATCCTGTCGCTTCCATCTCAAAAACATAGCGCGCATCCTCCCCTTTTTTAACCCCGCATGTGGCTAAGGTGCTGGCCCATGCTCTTGTTCTCTCTTTCCTGGGCTACTGCAATACTCTTCTCAGTGGTCCTACGTGTTCCCAGATTGCACCGCTGCAATCTATAATGAATACGGCGGCGAGGCTCATTTTCCTGTCCGCCCGTACTTCTCACGCCTCCCCGCTCTGTCAGTCCCTGCATTGGCTTCCGGTTAGATATAGGGCTCAATTTAAAATTCTGGTGCTTGCTTACAAGTCCCTAGATAATGCTGCTCCAACCTACCTATCCTCCCTAATACACAAGTATGTCCCATCGAGGCCCCTACGCTTTACCAAAGACCTATGTATATCCTCTGTCTGTACTCCCACCTCTAACGCTCGCCTCCAAGACTTTTCCAGGGCTGCAGCTCTTCTGCGGAACTCCCTTCTCTTCTCTGTAAGAATTTCACCCAGTCTCCACTCATTCAAAAAATCATTGAAAACTCACTTCTTCAAGAAAGCATATCAATTAAACTGTTAGCAGGTTTTCATCCCCCACCCTCCATGACTCCTCCCCTGCAACTGTCAAAAATTACCAACTAAGCCCTCAATTAATACTTTTCTAACAACCTACTTTGTACCCCTACTTTTACCCTTTGTGCCACTATACCCCACTCCCTCTAGAATGCAAGCTCATTGAGCAGGGTCCTCCACTTCTCTGTTCCTGTACGTCCAGTTGTCTGTTAGTCCACCCATTGTACAGCGCTACGGAGTCTGATGGCGCTATATAAATAATAAAATAATTAATAATAACAGGTTTAAGTTTGGTAGTCTTTTACAGGTTTCCCTGCAGGGCCCATAGTCCTCTAGGAGCTCGTGGCAAACTCACTTGAAAAAGAAGTTTGTCACAACCGGTTTATTGATATTTATGTGTTTATTTCACAATTTGATGATTTATGTGATCACTTGCTGATTGTATACTGAAACACATGCACAAATAACGTTGACAGATGTAAGTGCTTTCCACACTTTTGGTTATTTTTATTCTGAGTACTCTAACTTAGCATTAAAACCAGTTTAATGCTGAATGGACGGATGGTGCCAGGAGACTCCAGACACCATAACCACTTTAATGAGATGAAGACAGTTCCAGTTCCTACCGTATCCCTTTAACTTACCACTAATCCAGTGGTGAGAGGGTTCATCGGCACAGCATCATTCTGCCTCCAGGAAATCATCACAACTATTGCTTCTCCTAGAAAAACATTGGAACGCATGTCACTGTGCAGCAATTTGCCGTCATTAATAGAAAAACCTTGAAACCAATAGATCGAAAGCCTGGAGAGTGAAACAGCAAAAGCCAAAAACAAAGCCAGTTTCGATGAGAAAGTGTGAACAATGTGCTAAACTGTAAAGCAAGCAAGCTCAAGTACTTTAGTGGTTTGGGGTATATCTTAAATTCTTTTAACTTAAACATATTTTAATATTTTGAGTTATTTTTGACCACTCTATGGAGTTAAGAATAACTCCCCAATACTTAGCTTTCAAACTGATGCTCTTTATTGCCTTTTTAATGATGGCTTGTACGGAAATTGAAAATTGTCTGAAAGCAGATTCATTCCAATTTTAGTACCCAATTTGTTGTCAAATAGTGACCGATTCTGGAAAAAAATTTGTATTTGGTTGTGCATTTTTATAATTCGATTTGTATTTCAGCTGATTGGTTGCATCTTCATTTCTACGTATTGCAAAATCCTGACATTGAAAAATCTTGATAACAGTGTCCGGAGTTTGCATTCCACGTGTCCCCAGGTGGACGCAGATTATTTTTGCTAATCCAGACCGGGGCATTTGTCGTTCTAACTTTTTTTTGCTCAAATGTTTTCTTTCTTTTATTATCAATACAGGCAGAACCTGAAAAACAGTAGATTTAATAACAATAATTATGAAATTGTGTTTTTGCATACTCCCTGGGTATCAGGTGTTGTGTGTGTGTTTAAATTATAATGCATAATAAGATGATTTATTCATAATATTTTACAAACTTTTCAACATTTTGTATTTTATGAGAATAATGACCTAAGTCTTTTTTCTTTTTGGTAAAGCAATGGGCAACCTTTGCCAGGTCATGGTACCTTATTGATGGAAAAATGCAACCTCCTGGAAAAATCGCATCTCTCTGCGCTGTCCATCTTAAAGGGAAACACAAGCCAATGTACCACGCACTGAGTGAGTATTCACATACATCTCTCCACCATATTTCTGGTGTTGTAGTGGTCAGTTCCATTCCGAGTGACACAGGAAGGGCTTTAGGTACATAAGTGGGATTAATACTCTAGAGATTTCTAGGGCTGCTGTAAGCACCCATAAACAGTGCTCTGTAATGGTTTTTGGTGCAGTTTAAATACACCTAGACTTACAGCATTTTATCTTGATTAGTTTGCACTTTGATTATTTTGTTATATACAGATACCTTTTTGTTTAAATGGATACTCCAACCAAAAAGCAATTTTTTATGAACTGTTTTTCATTGTTGCAACCCTTGTTGGCATGATCCCCCAACCATTTTTTAAAATTTAAATAAAAGAAAACTCACACGTACTTTAAAGGACCACTATAGTGCCAGGAAAACATACTCGTTTTCCTGGCACTATAGTGCCCTGAGGGTGCCCCCACCCTCAGGGTCCCCCTCCCGCCCGGCTCTGGAAGGGGGAAAGGAGTAAAAACTTACCTTTTTCCAGCGCTGGGCGGAGAGCTCTCCTCCTCCGATCCTCCTTCTCTCCTCCCCGTCGGCTGAATGCGCACGCGCGGCAAGAGCTGCGCGCGCATTCAGCCGGTCACATAGGAAAGCATTATAATGCTTTCCTATGGACGCTGGCGTGCTCTCACTGTGAAAATCACAGTGAGAAGCACGCAAGCGCCTCTAGTGGCTGTCAATGAGACAGCCACTAGAGGATTATGGGGAAGGCTTAACCCATTAATAAACATAGCAGTTTCTCTGAAACTGCTATGTTTATAAAAAAAATGGGTTAACCCTAGAAGGACCTGGCATTCAGACCAGACCACTTCATTAAGCTGAAGTGGTCTGGGTGCCTAGAGTGGTCCTTTAATGCTGAAGCAAAGTTCTCTATGAAACTTGATCTTCCCTTCATGGCATCTTACTTATTTGTGGGGGAGCTTCCATTTTTGGAGAGTTTTAACATTCGCCGTCCCCAAACTCTTATTCCAGACTGACTGATACCGGAGGTGGACTTACTCATCTGACAGCAGAACTAAATATTAATCTGTGCTTCATTTTATAATAACAAAATCCAATCACCCTGACCACTTCAAAGTATTGAAAAGGTCATGGTGCTTGGGGTAACCCTTTAATTATACTCCTCTTCATAGAACTTGTTGAATTTGTATTCTCCACGTCTTTTACAGCGCTGATGAATGTGTTGATGCATTATAAATAATAATACAATATTGCAGGATCTCGCTGTTATCACATTTGTCCTCTTGGTGGCAGTATCACAGCACAAGATAATTTTACCAGTAAATTGGGAGAAAAAGAAGTGTTCAATTTCTGCATATACCAGTGAAAGAAAGTATTCAAAGATTGTACCGTGAGCAGTACCATGCTGCCAACAAGAGTGCCAAGTCAAAAGGGCAGGAGCCTGTTATGAATGCATATCTTAAACATTAAATACTCCATTATTAAACTTAATTTGCTTTATTATTCTATATTAACTATTTGCTGCTTCTTTTGGTTTGTTGCATTTTGTTTGGAGGGGTGGTGGAAGTATTATCGTCCCGTTGTAAGAATAGATTTACTTTACTATTTGTGAATAGAGGATGGACAACACAACAGGCAGTGGGGCCTCTATTTTGACTTTTAACAGTGAAATAGTGACAGATTACACCTGGCACCAAAGCCACGTCAGCGGGCTGTTGTGGTTATGGTATGGTATGGAGTCAGTTCGAAAAATAAATAAAAATAAGAACAGACGTTTAGCATCATCTTATGAATTGATCGTAGTGAATGAGGATGACTGATGAGTACTTAGAAAGAAAAATTGTGGAGGAAAAATTTGCAGAGATTTCCTCATGGCTGCCAATGCACAGGTGATCACTCCAGTGTTTCTGTAGAGAAATAATGGTGATTTAGTGCATTGTGTTTATTCACCACTGTTTGTGATGCTGATGGTCAGTTGTGTAGTGCTGTTTGTGCTGCTGATGGGCAGTTTAGGTTTGAAGCAAGCAATGTGCAATCAAGTATGCAACACTATCCATTAAAACACTTTACACACTGTAGCGCCGAGCTAACTGGTCACATTAATAGAGAGCTCCATGTGAGAATCTATTAAAACTTTCACAAATCAACTTTTGTTAACTCACCACAAAGAATTTGAATGCCGGAGAGGGTTGGTGAACACCCGAGCTACACCCGGCAGAGTTCTTGCATGCAGCCAAGCAACCGGAATGCAAAAATGACCTGCATGAGCATGAGAGAGGCAGCCAATCTCCCTGCTATCTGTCAGAAACGCTGAGGTGGCTGGGAACCCCATATCCCCCCCCCCAGTTGGTGGGGATTATCCCGGCATAAATCAGACAGGCTATGCCCCCAAGCTATAAGAGGTACCAATTAACTCACCCGCGCCTGAGGCATGCAGTCGGCGTTGAATCTGAGGCTAAAATGGCAGCTGCCGTGCCAGACATCACAGCACGAGGCTCACAGGGGACGCTCGAAGAGCGGCTAGATGCTTTATTCCGAACTTTCTGGTGGAAGCTGCGAGGTAGAGGGGAGCAGGCCAAGACCATGACTCTAGACGCTCCTTCCCTCCTGGCAGGAGCGGTGGAGAACATGAGATGGAGGACCCACTCAGGTTCCACATTGTCCAGAGCTCGCCACCGCTTTCCTGGGCTGAGGGCCCAGAAGGGGAAGACCCTGGTCCTAAACCCACACACTGGAAAAGGCGAAACCTCAATCCCAAGCAGCAACCACACTCTCCCGAGACCAAGGTCGCGGTGGCAAGACAGACCGGAGCAGTGGGACCTGCACATGGCCCTTGAACCGGTTCGTGGCCAGCAGCCCTGGATACACGGAACATTCACTGCTGATGTGACTCTGGTAGCCAGCACGGGCGTTGGGTGAATAGCAGCCATGTCAAGGGTGGGGGGATATGCATAGGCACTCTCTCCTTCTAGCTGCTTGTTTACACGTGTCCCTCACTGCCTGAGAGCGACCGCAGCGGTCCCATTCATCCGTAGAATATGAGCAATCTGCTGAAGCCTGTTCCCTGTTGTTAATTTAGTTAAGCATGCTTTATTATACTATCAACTACTTTATTTTACATGTCAGGGCATCTTCTAATCTGTCGGGGTTCGCGTGCTGCGCAGGCCTCAACCAATAACATAATTACCCTGCTTAGTACAGCGCTTCTATACTACTGCCTGTTAAGTGACACCTGTATCATTTACATGTATTATGCCAGCTTCTACCTCTACTCAAGCGACTTTTAACTAGACAAACATGGTTAGCCTGCTTATTATTATTATTATTATCATACTTTTTATTTTACTGAAGCAATGTCAGTTAGACTAGCCACACTGCTAATTCTTGACGCCATACTGATGTACTAACCATTCTATTTATTGATCAGCGTGAATTCACTTTAATGGAACGCTAACTATAAAGTTATTCCACTTCTAATCAGCAGGGGGTGCAAGTGTAACAGTTTAAAAAAAATAAAAACTTTTCCTATGTGACACTATTCACATTGACTTCTGAATGAAGTCCTACATTTACAGGTATTACATTTGCATATGCACTAGGAGCACTTTCATTGAGTTTAATTATTTAAGTGTGCCTTAGATCTGTCACACATACTCGCAGTAATGATTACTGCGTGCACATACATAACATCACGTGTCGTAAACGTATTGTCACTTGCTTGTATGCACAGTGCTGTTCCCATAGTGTTGTATAGTGTTGCTAGGGAGGGGATTCATGTCCCTTTAATTCAGTAACAAGACATTTCGGTCTATTTCCTCTTAGAACATTTTTTTAATATTTATTTATTACAAATAGACTTTAATGATGATTTTGATTGGTTCTATGTTAACCTGTGTCTTTTGACAATGCACAGTTGACATATTCCCTAAACCCATACACTGGAAAGAATTCAGTGATTCTTTACCAATGTGGTGGGCATAATGGCAAATCATATTGATCAGGTCTCGGTTTACTGCCCTCCCCGATGAAGTGGAGAACCATCTGACACTGGGGAGGGTCCAATAAATGTATTTATCATAATAAATTAGATTCATATGAGTTAAGTAGTTGTTATACGTAAACTGTGTCTTTGATGACATTCTTTATATGGTTAAAATCCATTCCATTACAAGGCAATCATTCACTATAATCCTTTCATTCCAAATTATTCATAATTGCTATTTATTATAGGTATTATCCCCAAGCCCTCTGCTCTCGATAATCTTGTAAACCACTGACTAAACCGTAATAATGTATATCAGATTCTACTAATAGGTAACATTTCAATTCCTGTGCTTATTGTACAAAGTTCCAAATACTTTCTAGCTTTTGGAATGCATGTAAATTTTACATTTTTAAAGGCAAAGACAGTTATCTGAAAAACATGTAAGAACATACAAGAGAAGTTATTAATGTTACCAGGAGCAAAGGATTCCACCTGGCCCTCTACATTCAAGTAGATTCCTGGCCCTTCTTTCTGACAGTTTTATCATAACTTCTGGACAGACGCCACATGCCCTACGGCTGCATGCAAAATTATTTTAAAGATACAGTAGTTTTTGTTTCTCTCCCATGAGACCAGATACTCCTTGAATAACTCTCATTGTCCTTTTAATTTCAATATGTCATCTCCTAGTAGATGTAAACACACTTAATTCATGAAGGATTATATATAAAGAGACTCTTTTCTTGCATAACCAAAGCTAAAATGCATTTATTAATTTTTTTCATATTTTGAAATTGTTTTTATATGGGAATATCGGCTACCTGTAGGAACAGAGGGCTTTTGTCATTATAAAGCATGTTTTCCAAACAATTACTATTCCTACCCCAGAGAAATGCGCTTTGTAATCTGCTCAACTAGGAAAGTCATAGGTTCTGATTGGCTGTTACTTACTGTGAACATGTCTTTTGACATAAAAATATATGGCTAGTCGTTATTCGTCTTCAAATAACCAGACACTGATTCTCAAACACACACTCATAAGTAGACAGTGCTGAGGCTTCAAGAGCCTGAGGCTGAACATGTCCATGTTTTTCGGAATTTAATTTGTTATTCTGGCATCTTGTGCTTCGAAAAACCTGAATCTGACCTTGGTTTGCAATTAGACTTTGCAGCTAAGCTCATGGAGGAAAGATAGACCTTTCTATGTCTCATACAGATTTGTATTTACTGTGCCATGTCTTTCAGTCCTTTTTTTTACATGATGCTTAGCCAGGCCACAAGCTATAAAACCTTATCACCCTTCTCTCCTCTGACTCCTAACCTTTTCAAAGTGAAAATGGGTAAATGGTGACGTAACGGCCATAGCAGGATCATTGTGTGCATCTCCTACTGTATGTACCTGCCTCCTCACACCCAGTTACAGATTGTATAATACAGAGCACATCATATAATACACAGATAGGATAAGCGCTAGAGTGTCAACTGAGTATAGATATGTTTTGTATTTTGCATATATATGATGGCAGGCTGCAAACACTAGTAAGGGTTTCCCTCAACCGTTTGCTGAAAGATATAGAAAAAACAATATACACAAAATATTGTGCCCATATAAAGTCCAATTAGTCTACAAATGCTGGAGTCTGTTCTCAACTGGTAACTGTCCTGACTTCAAATGGTGGGAGTATATGAAATAAAAGCAGAAAATAACAAGTCATGGTGCAGGACATACAACAATAATGTATCTGGTATATCACTCTTATTTGAGAGAGCTATAAGACCAGCTCTGAGTTTAACAGCATACAGCTGTACAATCCCGGTTGATGTATATGTAGATCTTGGGGCTAGTCCCTCAATGTATGGCTTTATATATAAAAGATAAAACCGTCAAACAATAGTGTTCACTGTGATCAATGTAATAATGGGTGGAAAAGTAAAAATATTCGACTCACATGTAGTGGAGCAGTAGATCCTGCTTAGATGGTAGCACTTAGGTGGTATATATGTAGATTTAGTGGCTGTTTCTGAGACATGGTATTATGAGAAAAATGACTGGGATATAGCAATACCAGGGAACTATTTATATAAAAAAGACAGAGAAGGCAAGAAGGGGGGAGGGGTGGTCCTGTATGTGAAGGATAGCATAAAATATAGCCTAATAAAAGTTAGTGAGGCGAACATAGTGAGTCTGTGTGGGTTATGTTAGAATTTGGTAATCACACAGTAACTCGTGTAGGTGTGATTTACAGGCCCCCTGGACAAATAGAAGAGTTAGATAATCTACTAGTTAAGGAAATAGCTAAAATGACAATGAAGGGGGAAGTTATCATCATGGGTGACTTTAATCTTCCTGGTGTGAACTGGAAATCCACAATAGCTGCTTCTCCCAGGAGCACACATATTCTAAACTCCCTACTGAGATTGTCTCTAAAACTACTCGTTGAGGAACCAACTCATAAGGAGGCCATCCTAGATTTAGTGTTTACAAATGGAGATTTGGTATCAGATATTACTGTAGGTGAAAGTTTAGGATCCAGTGATCATCAGTCAGTGTGGTTTAACATAAGAACAGTGACTGAGTCACACCACATAAAAAAATATGTGAATAATGACTCCTTACACAGAATATGTGTAAAGGAGTCATTATCAGACTGGATCAATTTAAATGGAGTCCAAGAGAAATTGGATTATTTAAATGTTGCACTGCTGAATGCAACAGAAATTGCATTAGGCTTGTCAGTAAAAGCAAAAAATTCAAGAAACCACTGCAGTATTCCGCAGATTAGGCCAAAATAGTAAAAAACTAAAAGTTAGCATTTAGTAATTAAAAAAAAAAAAAATACCCAAAGTAAGTAAGACAGACAGATCTATAGGATTGGGCAGAAAAATGCTAAGCAAGTTATAAGAGCCTCCAAATCACACACAGAAGAGAAAATAGCACAGTCTCTAAAAAAGGGGGATTAAAACATTCTTTAGATACATAAATGAGAAAAGGAAAGTAAAACAAGGATTGGTTAGATTAAAAACAAAAGAAGAAATTTATCTAGAAGAGGATAAAGGTCTAGCTGATTGCCTCAATGAATATTTCTGTTCAATATTTACAGATGAAAATGAAGGAAAGGGGCCTCAGTTAGGAAAAAGGACAAATTAGTAATTTGTTACATGTGAGTTTACAGAGGAAGAGGTTCTATTTCAACTGTCAAAAGTAAAGGCAAATAAGTCGATGGGGCCTGATGGAATACACCCAAAGCTATTAAAAGAGCTTAGTGGTGTACTAGCAAAAGCATTAACTGGTTTATTTAACCAATCATTGTTAACAGAAGTAGTCCCAGAAGATTGAAAATTAGCAAATGTTGTGGCTATTCACAATAAAGGTAGTAGGGAGGAATCTGGCAACTATAGGCCAGTAAGCCTTACTTCAGTAGTGGGAAAAGTGATGGAAACCATGGTAAAAGATAGGATTGTTGAAAATAACATGGATTTCAAGATAGGATTGTTGAAAATCACATGGATTTCAAGATCAGAGACAACATGGGTTTACTTCAGGGAGATTATGCCAAACTAATCTAATAGATTTTTTTTGATTGGGTAACTAAAATAATAGATCAGGGTGGTGCAGTAGACATTGCTTACCTAGATTTCAGTAAGGCTTTTGACAATGTTGCATATAGAAGGCTGATCAATAAACTGTTGAATGGATTAGGCAGTGGCTAAATGACAGGCAACAGAGGGTTGTAGTCAACGGCGTATATTCAAAGCAAGGTCTAGTTACCAGTGGGGTACCTCAGGGATTTGTACTTGGACCCATTCTCTTTAATATTTTCATTAGTGATATTGCTGAAGGTCTTGATGGTAAGGTATGTCTTTTTTGCTGATGATACTAAAATTTGCAACAGGGTTGATGTTCCAGGAGGGATACGCCAAATGGCAAATGATTTAGAAAAATTAGAAAAATGGTCAGAGCTGTGACATTTAATGTCTTATAAGTGCATGATAATGCACATTGGACATAAAAACCCAAGGGCAGAGTTTAGGATATTTGATACCCTACTAACCTCAACATGTGAGGAAAGGGATTTAGGAATAATTATTTCAGATGACTTAAAGGTAGGAAGACAATGCAATAGAGCAGATGGAAATGTTAGCAGAAACCTTGGTTGTATAGGGAGAGGTATTAGCATTAGAAAGAGGGAAGTGCTCATGCCATTGTACAGAACACTGGTGAGACCTCACTTGGAGTATTGTACACAGTACTGGAGACCGTATCTTCAGAAGGATATTGATACCTTAGAGAGGGTTCAGAGAAGGGCTACTAAACTGGTTCATGGATTGCGGGATAAAACTTACCAGGAAAGGTTAAAGGATCTTAACATGTATAGCTTGGAGGAAAGACGAGACAGGGGGGATATGATAGAAACATTTAAATATATAAAGGGAATCAACACAGTAAAGGAGGAGACTATATTTAAAAGAAGAAAAACTACCACAACAAGAGGACATAGTCTTAAATTAGAGGGGCAAAGGTTTAAAAATAATATCAGGAAGTATTACTTTACTGAGAGGGTAGTGGATGCATGGAATAGCCTTCCAGCTGAAGTGGTAGAGGTTAACACAGTGAGGGAGTTTAAGCATGTGTGCAATAGGCATAAGGCTATTCTAGACTTAAGATAAGGCCAGGGACTAATAAAAAGTATTTTGAAATATTGGGCAGACTAGATGGGCCAAATGGTTCTTATCTGCTGTCGCATTCTATGTTTCTATAATTCCCACTAGGGATATAATGTTTGGTAGATTCTTCAAGGAGTTGTATACAAAGTTTTCTTATTAGGTAAGTATTTTGGTGCCAGGAACAGAAGAAAATTAAAATAATAAAAGCAACTAAAAGCATACAACATTTAAGAAATGGACAAACACAATTAGTACAGAATGCCAAATATACTGTTGCTTTAAAAACAAAGTTGAAAATAACACAACGCATTTCGCCAACTGAAGTTTATTTATTTTACTGCCATCTTTACTGTCCGCAACTCACAAAGCCAAAGTCTGCTCATATATAGCTGTGAATGATACCTGTTTATTGCCATGTGCAGTGCTTGACTGAAATCCCAAACTTTGCCTCATGTAATATTGTAGGGTAAGCTTTTCAAATAATTTTATATTTTTAGATACATTTTTTTCAAATGATTTATCTACAAACATTCCTATTAAAGGGGTACTGTAGTCACCAGAACAACTACAGCTTATTGATTTTGTTCTGGTGTGTAGAATCATTACCTTCAGGCTTTTTGCTGTAAACACTTTTCAGAGAAAATGCAGTGTTTACATTACAGCCTAGTGATAACTCCACTGGCCACACCTCAGATGGCTGTTAGAGATCCTTCCTGGGTCATGGCTGCCTAAAATTCATCCAAACATTCAGTTTCTCCTCCCTCTGCTTGCAGACTCTGAACTGTCCTCGTAGAGATTCATTGATTCAATGCACATTGGACATGAGGAGATGCTGATTGGCCAGGGCTGTGTTTGAATCATGCTGGCTCTGCCCCTGATCTGCCTCTTTGTCAGTCTCAGCCAATCCTATGGGGAAGCATTGTGATTGGATCAGGCCACCACTTCTGATGATGTCAGCAGACTGCTTGTTGTTTTTGAGACAAACAGCGTGCAGATCTACAGCTTCTGGCTTGAATACAGTAAGATTTTGCTATATTTTTGGAGGCATGAGGGGCCCAGGGGGGGCTAGATGGTGGTGTTAACACTATAGGGTCAGGAATACATGTTTCTGTTCCTGTTCCTATAGTGATCCTTTAAATCATTTAAAAAAAAAAAGTTTATCAGAAAATATTTAAATTGTATACTCAAATTGCTGATTTATAAATAAATTGCTACATTTTGCACCAATAACCAAATTTGCATACAATTACCTGTAACAAATTCCCAAGTTGTTGTGCATTCATTTTATGTTATCCTTATTTAATTTTTTTTTTGCTACTTGTGTGAAGGCTTTGAGCTTATTAAAGTATCCCCAAAGGCAACCAGGCAGTATATTTGGAGTACTCAAACATCGTATTGGACATTTATCAAAGCAAATCTCTTAACTGTTCCAGGTATTGCCCAAAGGAGGATATTCTCTAATTTGTGTCTCCAGGACTCCACACAAGTTATATCAAGGATGATACAGGATCCCATGTGATCAAGCCTCTTTGCTCAATTAAAAAAACAAGCAAAACAAACTAAATATGTGTACTGATGATGGTATTTCAACTATTACACAAGAGAGGCTAGGAGGAATATTCAATTTTTTCATTTTTACTGAGTATAAATCTAAAATAACTATATTAAAGGAACACTATAACGTTAGTGTATTCTTAATGCTGTAGTGTCCCTCTGCCCTAAACTGATTGTTTCTCCCTCCTGTGTTGGAAGGATTAACCTCTATTGACAAGGTTCCTTAGTGCTGGCTTCTCTCTGTCTCCTCAGACTGTGCACCTAGACCACTTTAATGAGATGAAGTGGTCTGGGTGCCTATGATATCCCTTTAATTAATAGTTTGAGCTTGCTCAGTTAAAGGACAGATTTAGTTTATTTTTTTGGAAATATTCTAGTGCCTCTAGAAGATATCGCATGTTGTTTTGTGATTGAATTAACCTCCACTAAAGTGAGAAGGACTATTTATTGCATTATTACTTGTAGTGTATAATCAATATGTATAACAGAGAAAAAGGAAGAATTCCTGTGTATCTGTCGATGAAAGGGAGGGCCCAAAGATTCCATCAGGTGCCTGATTGCAACGTACAGCCACAGGTTTTACCCATGCAGAAAGTAAGCAACTCAAAAAGTAGGTAAATAACATCTGTTAAAAAGAAAAAATCTTTATTACGTCATCTGACATTAAAAACTAGTGTGAAAAAAAGCACAAATTGGTGAACAAACAAAATCAGTGCAATGTGTGTAGGTGAATAAAAAGGAAGGGATCTAACGGAGCTTACTATGATAGATCCATCATCTGACCATTTCGAGTAAAGTATACGTATGAAAGATACTTTTCAAATATGTGAGTATGCACATGCAGTAAAGTATCCTAACATGTATTTGTGTATCTGTTAGGGCTGGAAGTGCATCATATAAGATACCTTTAAGGTCAGGTGGATCTAGAAAGATCACTACTCAAAAGGTATAACGGCTAAACAAAGCCCAACGTATATATAGATGAGAGTAGATAGCTGTACAGAAAAAGTAGTATATGAATAAAAAGAGTAGAGTTTAACTGGAATACAAAACAAAGGCTATAAATGGGTGACTATGCATAGCAGAATGTAGTATAATGGGCAGGAGGTAAGTCAGACCACTGTGTCCCTTTAAGACCCCTAGAGTATTGAAAAACTATGGGTAGTATCTGGGAATAGCAGGCAGAAATCTAAATAGATGCAAGAAACATGATTGCCCTATTAGATAGAAAAAAACGTGCAATTTCCCCAGTGGGATACTAAATTTCCATTACATATAAGGAGTGGGGACTATAAGTGGACCTCCCTGCCCCTCTAAAAGTTGTAATATGGCTTGAAATAATGTTGTTAGAAATCATAGAGTCAATTCTGCAGCAGAACCTATATTGTTAGCTTAATCAAGTAGCAAAGTATCTGGAAAACGAAAAATGAATACAGTTTCCCAATTAGACACTTAGTCCTGTGCTACAAATTCAAATCCTGTCTGCTGCAGAAATGCTGGCTATCTGGTTTAGGCTGCTAGATCAGCTGCATTATATTGAAAACACAGGGATGTCTGCCAGGTCTTGAGACACTGTGAATATACCTGTCAAATAGATAATCTGTAATCCCTAGAGATAGCCCAGGTAAAGATAGTGCCATGAGGTATCACAAGTTAAATGTTGCAGCAGAGCCTATTTTACAATAATGTAGTGCAATCAAGTAACAAAGTATCTGGGGAAACAAAAAATTAATATAGTTTCCCAATTAGACACTTATTACTGTGCCACAAATGCAATCAAATCCTATCTGCTGTAAGGTTACTAGCTGTCTGGTTGGAGCTGCATTGAGTTGAAAAGCCAGAAAAGTCTACCAGATTTAAAACACTATGCTAGTTATCAATTTCCATATATGATTTTTAGATAAATCATCTGCAGTCCCCAAAGGTAGCCCAAGAGTTAAAGAATGTCACATAGTATTAATTAGTATAAAGTTAGATAAGCTTAGTTAGAATCCTTATTTTAAAATAAAATAAAGCTTGGATGCAGCGTCATCCGCTCAACGCGCGTTTCGGCGCTCTGTTGCGCCTTCTTCAAGAGAAATAATGAATAGGAGAGCCGGCTTGTGTTTTAAAGGGTGAATGGCCGCCCTTGTTATTACATCACATGGCCAATCCCCTCACGCCACGTCAATCGTGGGTGTGTTTGCGGCCAAAAAGTGGGTGGGGGATAGAGGGCCGTCCTCATTATGACGTGAAACGGCCACTCCGTTACCGCCATGTCAGGAGGGGCGTGGTCGTGTGACTAGCGGCCAAAGGCTGAGTCAAATCATCAGAGTACTTGGGAACTATCTATAGACCCGCCTCATATCGTTCCGAAACAAGAATAAATATACAAAGTATATACACTGAGGGGGGAGATGTTCAATATGCAAAGTACTTACAATCAATCAATGTACTTCCCGTCAAAAGCTAAATGTAAATAGAATGTATTTAACATTATGAGAAAGGCCAAAAAATAGTAATATATACCAATGAACGGATTATAAATGGTACGTGGGAAGCCAGGAACTAAATATGAAGGTAAAATTAAAAGATGGGAAGTATAGCGTGATGCGTTTCTTCTGGTCCCATTAACTGAATCATTGCTTTCGTAGCTATGTGCTAAAAAAAAAGGGAGATATGTTTTCCATCAGGTTTTCACATCAAGTACCATAGAGGATAAGGTTTCCCACTTTATTCCCACATGTGCTGTTACATTGGAAAATTGAACTAAAGAATTAGATCCTAGTGATTATAGTAGATATACCCTATTTAAATAAGGGTGAAAACAATAGGACTTTCTGCAAAAAATACCAATAGTATGTGTCGGATCAAATATCTTATCTTACTGGTATATAGAGATACCTAGTTGAGTTTCACTTTACCATTTAGAAATAAACTAAACTAAAAATTCTGTCTATAGACAATACTGAGACAGATACATATATACAAATATACAGATATACAGAGGGGGTCAACCCAGAAAGGAAGAGAAAGAGAATCCTTCATTCAGTCCTTTCGGACTTAGCGTTTTAGTTGATATATCGAAAAACATTCTCTCTGTCTTAAAAATTTGTCATAATCACCTCTCCTTCCATTCTTCTTTACCAATTCCAAACCGCAGAAGAGTAAACCCTTTGAATCACCTCCATGGTGTTCTCGAAGGTGTCTTGAAATTGGTTTGTCTATTGGGTTTTTGGGAGATCTGATATGCTCCTGAATGCGTTTTTTGAAAGGGCGGAATGTTTTGCCAACGTATTTTAGGTTGCATTGGCAGGTCAGTAAATAAACTAGACCTGCCGTATTGCAATTAAAAAAGGAGACTATTTTAAACTCCCTCATGTCATCGCTGTCCCACACTTTCTTTGAATCCCTCTTTATATATTTACATGTGACGCATCTGCCACATCCAAAAGTTCCAATCAAGGGGTTATGAAGCCAGCTTTTGGGGGAAGAGTGTCTAGATTGTAAATGGCTAGGTGCCAAAAGATCGCAGAGATTTTACCTCGGCGGGCTGTCAAGGTCTCGTTAGGGGCCACCTTCGTGTAGATGTTCATTGCTGGTTAGCAGTGGCCAGAAACGTTTTAAGGACCTTTTGACATTTTCCCATCCAGCATCATAAGTGGCTATCAGTCTTATAGGTTTTTGTGAGTCTTTGCATGCCCTATTGGGGCAGTCTCGCTTAACAATGTGTTTTGGTCAGATTCCAAGGCCCTCTTGTAGGCCCGTTTAAGGCACTTATTTGGATAGCCTTTATCTTTAAAATGCTTTCTAAGGTCCCTTGGTTTGATGTTAAACTCCTCTACGGTGCTACAGTTATGTCTCACTCACTTTCTGCATGGGTAAAACCTGTGGTTGTACGTGGCAATCAGGCACCTGAAGGAATCTTTGGGCCCTCCCTTTCATTGTACAGATACACAGGAATTCTTCTTTTTTTTTCTGTTATACTAATATATGGGGTTATGCCTCAAACCCCTCCAGCCACGGGATCCCAGCGCAATGTCACCAGTTTTGCAAAGTCCCCAGACGGTGGTAGTGCCGCTACTACAGGGAGCCAAGATTGATGCACCTAATAGCAGGTTAAAGAGGGTTGATTTCTACATTTAATTTTTTCAGACATCACAAATGCATATTTATTTAATATAGGAGATTTAAAAAAAAAAAAAACAATTAAAATTTAACTCATGGTAAATGACAATTCCACTTTAAACTTGACCTCTGTTTTGATTACGTGATCAGTTAGAACCACCGCTTTGCATTTTCTGAGTTCCTACAATGTTCCCTGTTTCTGGGCAAGAATCCCAGGCTCTGGGTATCAGCAGGGTTTCTGATGTGCTGTAAATTGTTCATTTTATATGAACTTTATCTGCTGGTATTGCAGTAAAAGTTGTACAGTAACGTAATTAATGACGGCTGCATATTTTGAAGTGTTGAAATTCCCATTAAATCATCTCTCTGATCTGTCTGTTAAAAACGTAAGTGCCTGAGCGAAAATGGAAAGCAGAACAATTTTGGACATGCATTCCATAATTGCAAATCTTTCTGATTTGATCTGTCAAGCGATCGTGGGACCTGATTGTCATCTTGTATGTAATGCCGTGATAAACGACAAGATTTTGATTTGTGGTCATCGCCGCACTTGTAAACAGATGACATATTTTAAGTTGATGTAATGTCGAATGGAATCCTTTTTCAACAAGTCTGAAAAATTACATTAAATTTATTACTCTACCTGAGACACAGCACTTCTACAGGTATTTTCTTCACATGGTACGTGGAGTCTGACAGCTCAGCAGAAAGAGTTTGGGCTTGTAATCAGAGAACAGATGAGCTTTGTTGTAACATGGCATTTGTGACAGCTGGTGTGTCAAGTTCTCTTATTTTAACGAAATGCTTGGAACTTTACAAATCAAAGTGCAGGTTGACTGTTGGTTAGCACAGTCTTTTACTCTGTACAAGTGATAGAAAACTGTATTTATACAATTCTTGAAAATATTTTTCTTATGTAAGGATTTGCTTTGATTTAATAATTACTATAAGCTGGTTTGATAGCTTCACATACCTCTTGATCTGGGGCCTTAAACACCCGGTACCGTGCTGAGATTTTTATTTATTTATTTTCCCCTGGCGTCTTGCTTCTGGAGAAGCTAGTGAATAATCCACAGAAAACAAAGCATCAGAATATCATTTATAAGGAATATGTATTTATATGTAAAGGTTTAATCCAAGCTCCATTACCACTTCAGTAATTTGAAGTGGTCATGGTGGCTGAAGTCTATATGTGCAGCCAATGAATGGCCACAGCATCAACATCTGGGGTCTAGAGGCTATGTTGCTTTTAGTAAACATTTAATGTAACTTACCTTTCCTGAGTACTTATCTTGGCAACATATGTCGTTGGGTTAGCTTCTCCAGGTAACCACTGATTGTAAAGGAAATGTACCACAATGGCACATTTAATGTGCGGTCTGTGTTACATAGCTCCTGTTAGCCATCACTCTAGTCTCTTTCCATTCCATAATGCTTTGTATCACTGTTGGGAGGTATTGCTCCACCAAGAGTCTCAACGTTGACTCAGCCTTTCATTTTTCCAAGGTCAGTAAAATTAGTATCATTAAGTTGGGTTGCTCATATGGCTGCCAGGCCATACTGGAAGCCTATATAAAGCTGTATGTACCCTTACTAGAAAAATCCTTTTTTTATTTCTGTTTTTTTCTAAATGTTATTTCCCAGATCGCTAAATCATTTGAGTGGGAATGTTGATGCTTTTTAAAAGAACATTCCAGGATTGAAAACTCTTTAGAGCAGATCTGTCACTTTTGGGGGCATTTGTATGCTTTGCAAAGACCTCCAATGGTGCAGTGAAAGATAGGTTTACTTACCTTAAGCTTTCCCTCACCAGCCTCTACTTCCAGCTGTCATTCTTTGGCTCCTGGCACTTCTTCTGCCAGGGGCCGCGTCAGTGCTGCAATCTTGCACTTGTTCAAGAACCCAACACTGTGTGAGATCTATGGAGGATCCCACGAGACTGCAAGAGCATTCATAGATCACGTCGTGTAATGAGTGAGACGATCGCACAGCCATAATTTGTGACAGCTGATGGTATTGGACAAAAGTTGACGGCAGAGCACTGCCTTTTGTCAACCTCAGGCTGTCCATAAGTAGTTTTCATTAAAATCCCAATGCAATCCAAAGCTACCTATATTATATTACAAAGTAGGGACTACTCTAAATTTTTTCTTTATGAAATACTCAGAAGTGACAAAACCTCTTTAATAATCTAGACCACCTGCTATATGTGTACCAGATGCAGGAAGACGTCATGTCTGCCTATATCTGTAAGGTCCTCTATTAATCAATGTTAAGAACCATTTTGTAAAGTGAAACTACATTCTTTCATGCGGACAGCATCAACACCTTTAAGTGTATAAAGACATTCTGTAATTTGTCATACAGCTGTTCATCGAAAGAGGTTGATTTATCTTTGTTCTTTCTGGTTTTAGCCCCAGTATTTTAACTATGAAGATTATCAACTTGACTCTAGGTAATAGAAGACAAGTTCTCTTTACTGTCTCATCACGTCACAGCGTTCTTCCTAATGCTTATCTTTCGTCGTCTTAAATTTAAATGATATGCCAACAAATAACTCTCATCACTGAGGAGCCTTGCAAGACAATGCCCCAAGGGTCGTTAATGTATTAACGGAATTAATCTATATTTACAGTAATGATTAAATGGTCTAGATCCATTATTTTAAAGATGTGAAATAATATATTGCATTTGGTTCAGGTGTCCCTGGATGGCCTTAGGCATTATGTTTTCAGTGCCTGATACATTTAGATTATTAGTAGTGTGTAGATATAGTTGATATATATTGTAAAGACTAATTTCCAGAGCACTGGCAGGAAGTGATCTGACATCACATACACTGGAAGGAAGTGATCTTATATCACATCCTCCCAGAGGTTCCACGTTGGAAAGGAACAGAGGCTAACAGTTCAACCAAGTAAGGGGTTTGCACTGTTGTTGCATATCCAAAAATGTGATCCGAGTAGGAGAGATCTTAGTTTCCCAACACAGATCACACAGATTTACAGAACCCCATTAGAGTCTAGTGCTCCACCGGGCGTTTTAAAGGGCTGGCATTCTCAATTCTGTGCATAAAATAAGTCTGACAACAGATGTTAAAATCTTATCTTTGCAAGAAAAGAGCATGCAAGGGGAAGCTAGCACTCCCCTCCCACACACTCTGCACTGCCTCCCTCTGTTCTATATTGTTATTTTTTATAATTTTTATAAAAACCCTTCCCCACTTCTTCCCCTCTCATAGCGCACTCTCAGCTGGCGAAGTGGTGCAGTCACAGGCTTCTCTGTGATTTTCACAGTGACGTCAGAAGGGGGCATGGGAAATCAGTACAGGGAGCACCTTCTCCACAGTGGCAATTTCCCTGACATTCCAACCCAGGCAAGCGAGATACAGAAACAAAGTAGAGACTGTATTTCTCCTCTGCCTGACTATCTTCGACTTAGGGCAGAGTTTAAGGGTCAATTCCAACATCTGTCACTAGTTACGGCTGCAAGGAATTGGCTGTGTTTGTGGAGAATCCTGTCTCACGGAATCCTCCATAGACATCAATGCTGTACTCTTGCGAGTTCGGCAAAGTCCCCAAATGGTGACAGTTCTTCTTCAAATTAAATTCTCTTATGCTTTAAATTTAGCAAATGTGTAGATCTTTTAAAAAAAAGCTAAATAAGCAATGTTACCTTCCTTCACTTGGCAATCATGCTTTAACCATCAGATTAGAAGTGAAGAGTATGAGCATAGCAAGACCAGATGCTGAATTGGAAGATTTTGGAAATTAAAATGAAGTTGTTTTGGTGCTTAGAATGTCCTTAAGTATTTAATTTACCCTTTTTGAGTAATATTAGAGAAACTACAGGTTCAGCAGGGAAGGCATATCAGTGAAGGTTTATTGGAAACACGAGCACAATAGTAAATATTACAGTGATTTGACCTGAAGCCGTAACAGGTATGGCAGTCCCACATCCATGGAGTACCAGGCTAGGCATTAAATCGCTGCTTCATTTTCCTGGAGCCCAACACCACATTACATTGTGAGCCCAAATCACATTACATTGCCCTGTGAGTCATAAACCTCCTGAAAGTACATGTCCTTTTTCCCAGCAATATTGTTGTAAAGACTCAATGAGTATCATGGGAAATGACGTCCAATTAACCTCTGCAGTGCCAAGTATTGGCATCAGTGCTGTACAGGTAGATGGGACATTTATTTAGTCTACATTTGGAATAAATGCTACATTGTTTTTTTAAACACGTATGTAGCCATTTTATTTTGTTGCTATGAGATATACTGCTTGGCTATTTCTCTTACTGCTACCATAACTGTAAGTTTGTTTTGCTTGCTACTTGATGTCTTCACATTGTAATTTATCTTGTATTGTCGGTAGGTGACTGTGGGGACCATGTGGTGGTGGTAAACACCAGACATATTGCCTTCTCAGGAAATAAATGGGAGCAGAAGGTTTATTCCTCTCACAGTGGGTAAGTACACCTGAAACCTCCATTTTGTTCTAGTGTCACATTTCTATAGACACTGGGGAAAACTCCCATCAAAAATAATTTCCCATGGGGTTAGTTCACTGATCTTGTGATGTAACTATATATGCCAGATGTTTGTATTTAATTATTTAGTTTAAATACACACAAAAACGGTGTATATTTCTTAAGACTGATTAAATTACTTACAACTCCTTACAACAGTCCTTTTAATATGATAGCCAAATGTACAATATTTACAGGTAACAATCTTGAGTAAATAAAGGTGGATAGCCAAATGTACAATATGTATTGGTAATATTCTTTATATGGGTGTTATTTTTACCAGGGGGACCTGTAGTGATTTAGAAATGCTCTGTTGTGCATTTAGTTGGAACATTCACAGAGCCGGCACTTGTTAATTTGTAATTTACACCTTCCTCTTTCAATCTGTGAGAGGTACATTCCATAACTGCACATTTTCAACGGAAGGTCGTAAATCTTATCAATGGCATGTGATTTAAAATGCTATTCGCTTCCATATTATTAATGTGTTCTGTCCACTATTGCTATATGTCTTATTCAATGCAGAGATTGTCACAAAAGACACTAAATTTGCCTCTAGTTACAATGTGTATGCTGTAAAGAATGCAAACCTACATGAAATATGTTTATTTTGTGTTTTAATTTTAAATATTACAAATAAGCCTAATGTACACTAAATATATAAATAAGAAAAAAAGTATCCCAGCAAGTCCACAAAAAACAATCTGGGCATCATAACAAATTGTGGCTGGAGCTAACTTACCTTTAGGGGTAATCTATTCACGAACAGTTTAACACCAAATCCTAATTTCCAGCTGTTTAATGGACGCCGGCCTATAAGAAGGGGTGCACATCACCTCGTCAAACAACCAAGGTTGAGTATGTCCAATCACCATGGCAGCACAACACGCAGGTGAACACCTCCCCATATCCTTCAGAGAGCCCAGACATCACTCTTCCAAGCAAAAATATATACTCCTTTGGGTGTAACCTCTAATACCTGCACCACACTGTAGTATAGTGCCAACACATTTGAGTAAATATGCAAAAAATATATATATATATAAGTTCTTCCTTGGGCACTGCATGGCCCCTATCTACAATCATGTCACTAGCACACCTGGAAAGTCAGTCAAGCATACAAATTAATTGTTATTGGTTTATCTCTGTTTTCTTTGATGTATTGTTACAATTATGCAAATGTTCAAGGCATGTTACCAAGGTCTCTGTGGAGCTGGATCTATAATTTCCTGCACTCCTAACAGACGCACTGATTGTATCTGCTCGCCGGAGACGCGGGGTGTGGGAATTCACACCAGTCCCTACACTTACTATTCCTTCTACAGGGTTTGACCACACCACTAGGTTAGCCTGCATGCGACTCTGACTAACTGTCAATTACCTCTACTTACTCCTTTTACCCCGCCAGAGTTCAAACAGCGGAGCTGCCCGGTGGTCAACCCCAAACCCTACTGGCCCATCGGATAAACCCAGTAGACTAAATCCTCTTATCCCATATATATCGCCCAGTTCCCCCAGGGCTCCCCTCTCTCTTTCCCACTCCACGGCCCTAGGCCTCTTTCTCCCTCCTATAACAAATTAGCAACATCCCAGACCAAATAGTGTATTTTCCAGAAATGCTTCACAGCTCTGTATAACCATTCCCCGTCACCAACACTGGATGACTCTGCGTCCTTCCTGTCCCCTATGACCCCAATCTGGAGAAACAAGCTTTTTACTCCAGGCCTCACACCGATCCATTTTGCCAACTTGGAAAATAGAGACATCTCACGGTTGGGCCACTTATATCACGATAACAGAATCATAGAATATTGTGACATACCCTACAAAAACGCCTTTACAATGTATGATTATTCCAGATACATCCAGCTAAGAAGCTTTGCATCACGCTTATTATCAAACAAGCAGGCACTGCCCCCTTAACACAATACGAACTCGATTGCAAAAAGCACTCCTCTAGGAAGGTACAAATCTCTGACCCATATACCACAATAGCGACTCATACAACACAAATAACGCTCCCCTATATAACAACATGGGAAACATACTTAGGCCCCCCTCCCCCCCCGACGAACCCTCTAACTGGTCAGACATATGGGAAGCCTCAGCCTCCATATCCATCTGTGTGACTCATAAGGAACATGCGTACAAAATGTTATTTCAGTGGTTTTTAACGCCTCAGCGCCTAGCTACCATGCACCTAGCACCCTCCAATTAATGCTGGAAGTGTTGCGGGGAAGTGGGGACTTTCCTCCACTGCTGGTGGGCATGCCCTAAACTAAAACCCTTATGGCAACGCATCACAGCACTGATTGCCAGACTGCTAGACAAACTGTGCCCCTTAGACCCTTGGATGTTGTTTCTCTCCAGGCCCATGGACTCTTTTTTTACCAGAGCAGAAAACAAGTTAATAGCCCACATAGCACTGACAACAAGATGAGTAATAGCCGAACTATGGTCAACACTGCACATACCTTCACACACTACATTGCCAAAAATATACAGGACAGTGCAAACATGGATAGCCTAACATCTCAGATTCACGAGATGAGACACCCAAAGAGTTCTACGAGACCTGGTACCCATGGCTAGTTGGGGATACAAAATTACCCTGGAAGAAGTTACACACTCTCATAACAGCCAGACTTGGATGACCCTGGAACCCCCACCACTACGGCATGGACTGGCACAAATTTATCCGGGCTGAGCGCACCCTTTCCTCCCACCCTCAACCCCACTCCTCCTCACATCTTCCCTTTATCCCTTCATTCTCATAAAATTCCTGCCCACCGTTGCCACTCTCCTATCTTCACTCTCTCCCACCCTACACAGGCCACACATACACTTACCCACGCAACCACTTATTAACCCAGGGCCCGAAGCGGAGCATGAGCATACAGGAATGCATACAGAAAACCCACCCTACATTAACAACTCGCCACAACGAAAAACCTCCTGAGCAACAGCACTTAAGACCCAACACAGTCCTAGCACACCAAAGGACGAACACAGCAGACTGACCCTAACATTTACAGGTCGACAGGCATGACTACCCCAACACTAGCAACAAATTATCCTCATATGAGCCCGCTACCATCCCAACAAGCATCCGGCTCTACAGACACAACTAGTGCAAAGAAAACAACAGATTTTAAGCGAAGAGTTAGCCGGACTTAATGTACACTTTGAAAACTTGACTAAATGTACCTGTATTGCATAACCTGGGATAATCGCTTATGTTGGAATGCAACTCTAAAAGTTTGTTCCTGTACTGCCCCTTGTACTATTTCTGTTTTCTGCTACCTTTGTTCTATTTCTGACATCTGTATTTTTACATACAACGAACAAAATAAAAATAAATTTAAAAAAAAGTGAAATTAATAGGTAAAAACATTTAACCAAACCTAGCTTTTCTCCAGACATTTTAACTAATTGCATGTTATTGTTTTTTTTTTTTTCTTCCAAAGTTACCCAGGAGGTTTCAGACAAGTGACTGCTGCAGAACTTCATCGAAGAGACCCAACAGCAGTAAGTGGTTAGCAGCTTGCTTTGTATAGTCAAGTGGTTTAACATGTTTATTTAAAGCTCAGTCCAAAATGTTGTAAATAATATTCAGATTAAACTTTATTGTCACTCTGCAGCGTACATACAGCGTACAAGACATGGAAACACAGTTAGCCCCTGGACAGAACTACAGTATATTTTAAGTATATTAGTAAATTTAGTAAATTTTAGCAGTCCTTACTTAATTCCATAATACATCTAATACCTAAGAAATATAATCCATCCATCATTACAATTTTTTTAACAGTCTTATAATACATATAGACATTACACAATACTGCCACCAATATTGTATAATTCAACTCTATAGCCTTTAACCCCTGATCCAAATTAAAAATATCTATCTAATATAAACCAATCAAACCTCCTGCAAATAAAGTGTTTCAAACTACAAACACGATTAGCACAATCTAGTGCAAACAAATTCCGTAATCTCAGCAGTACACCTTTATCATTTGAGAATAGGTGCATGCCACAATCAACTAATCACATCCATCAAACATAGAATACAAACCGCAAACACGTTGACCAACAACATAAAATGCTAATTGTGAGAACATGGGCCATATGCACAAAGTGCAAGATGTGTGCACACAAATCATCTTGCCTTTTCAATGAAGGATATTAGTATAACCCCTTGACCTTACAAGTGTCACTGTGCTTCTCACCCTGGACCTTCTTAGAAGTAAGGTGAGCAAGTTCATAAAAAACTTTGAATTGTAGTCTTTCCCAACAGTTGAAATGTCAGGGTGAAAATGTACTAAATTGTTAAAAAAAAAAAAAAAAAAAAAGGCAATACTGTAATGAATATACAAGGTTTACACCATTAATATATTGTTAAATTTCGAGTCCATCTAAGGATTTCTCAACCATGATCAAATATTTAAATTTGACTCAACTCCTGGGTTCAAAAGCTCCACATTACTGACCAGTTTCATCCACCCTCTTTGATTTTAAGATTTAAATTTTTTTCCTGCTGTGAAGGACAGCATTTTATGTATGTATTTACAAAGTCTTCCTCCCACCCCTTACCATCACTTAGAGCTAAATTTACTACTTCAGTAAATCATTTTATGATGTTAATACATTTTTTCGAAGCCTGGGGGAAGAATGCGTGTTTAGATCTCAGCAGTTAAGATTTCACCTGCCGCTTTGCAGCGTAATTGCCAAAACTGGACATATTTGCTGCATATTTTAACTTGAAATGAAATCTAGGTGTTGAAGTCTTATTTCAGTGCTAGATAAGGGTTTCCTAATGTTCTAGAGAGATATTCTGCAGTCTGTAAGACAGTGACACAAGACAATTTCTTCTGGGGGAGAGGGCGGGGGATTGGATCTGACGTCCAGCACATTGAATTTATGGGAGTTAGTCAGAATCGGCAAATATGAGTTATAAACTATACCTATTACGCTGTAAATAGAAAATGATACCTTATCAGAGTACACAACATTTTTTTGTTTAGAAGAATATTATAACAAAAGTAAAATAAAATAAAACATGCTCACTACAGAAATCTCAAAGACACACACAAACACGTTTGCCAAACATAGGGAATGGGTAACGAGAATTTAAAAAATAATGGGAAGCCTGTTTTTAATTTGCACTGTTTGGTGCTTTAAGAAAATGATGCTGTCTGTCCAGGTTCCTAACTAACCACACATACTTTATCCAGTGATATCTAGCTGCTGTGGTTGCCAATAACAGTATTCTATAAACAGTAGTTGATTTTTTTAAAATTTTTTTTTAACCATTCTAAAACTTCTCCATTAAGCGTTTCTCTTTTTTGCTCCAAAAATGCTGCTTAATATAATGTTGTGACTTTGTTTTTTTTTGGGTACCAAAAAAGAGAAAAGGGTTGCACTCAATCATAAAAATCACAGGGTGCTAACTGAGTATGGATCAGCATACCCCATAGAACATATATCAAAGAAAACAATCTCAATATGCCCGTGGTAGAACGAGCCCCAAACATGCACGCGCCCTTCTTCCGCGGGCATATTGGGCCACTGTTATGGATGATTTACAAGGTATTTTACAAAGTATGGTTTCATTTATATTTTATTTTTAGTTACTTGGTATACAGGAGTTTATTTATAGATTTGCCCATGGTATGTGAACACTTTAGTGGACCTTCTATCATAATAGAGGGGTGTGCACACTTTTGTGACCCCCTCTGTTTATTCTAATATGTGGATTCCATCTATCTCTTGTTTTTTGTTTATTTTATATGCCATGTACTGGTTCTTCTGTTGTTGAGGCCTTCAAACTGTTTGCCTTATCATATCTAAGCTTAAAGGACCACTAGAGAAACTGCTATGTTTACTATAGGGTTAATCCAGCCTCTAGTGGCTGTCTCATTGACAGCCGCTAGAGGCGCTTCTGCGCTTCTCATTGTGATTTTCACAGTGAGAAGATGCCAGCGTCCATAGGAAAGTATTGAGAATGCTTTCCTATGCACTGGCTGAATGCGCGCGCGGCTTGTGCCGCGCATGCGCATTCAGCCAATGACGGAAGAAGAGGGAGGAAAGTCCCCTGCGCCGAGGGAGCCCAGTGCTGGAAAAAAGGTAAGGGATTAACCCCTTCCTCTGCCTCAGCACCACAGGAGTGCGACCCTGAGGGTGGGGGCACCCTCAGGGCACTATAGTGCCAGGACAACGAGTATGTTTTACTGGCACTATAGTGGTCCTTTAACACGTGTAATCCTCCCAATATGGTATATTGACACCTCCTTTGGTATCCTGAATTGGGTTCTAAATTTGTTTATCTGTTTGACTGCATTAAACATGTATTTGTTTGTTTCAGCAAGTGTTCCTTGGTCATATATTGTAGTGATCCTCCATGCTCTAACAGGTTATATGGAATTTCTGAGCCCACCTTTCTTCTTATCAATGTTCTTATCACAGTTCATTTTGGCATGCCTACATCATTGACAGTGCTGCTTGTCATATGCTTTTAGAAGTTCCCAAGATACCATTATTTTTATGTATTTATTTTATTACTGGCATTTATAAAGCGCCAACATATTCCGCATACATTTAAACACACTTTGTTTTTATGAGTGCATATATTTTTTATTCTAATAAATCTTATCCAAAACAAAATGAAATCAAGGCCATAGTTTGTAGTCCAACAAGTAGATCGACATCACTGGCAATGTTGGCCTCACCTTTTTCATTCTACAACTTATGTTTCCAATAGGCTCTGCACAAATCCTATGAGATAATTAATCCAAACAATATTTTGGTGCTCCAGGCTCAGGGGGTGGCATTCTCCCTATAATATTTCCAAAATGACTTGATAAAGGCTGTCTTTATCGGCCAAACGTCATGTTGCGCTTATTCCAATAAAAAGAATGGAGCATGATGTGTGGCTCTCTCTGCATCTCATGCTACAGCAGGCATTACTCCTTAAAGAGAAAATATTGGGAAATTCAAAAGCAGAAGGTAACTGCTAACTATTTAATAATTAATTTAGTTAACCTGCTGCTAATCATTAAACATGGGAATTGAGACTAGATAACTTTAGAAAATGGCTGAGTAACACTTTAGCTTTAATTATAAAACAAAAAAGGGAAAACATTGTTAAATATTACATAATATGCACTGTGTAGCTGCTATATGGCAACATTGTAACTTCATTGTAACTTGGATCTAAAAGACCAAGAAGCAATTCAACATGTTACCTTAAGAACTAACCACAAGATGGCAGTGTAAGATAGCCATATATCTTTGCAACAGCATGTTTATAGTAGCACTAAAACTGTCAAGTTGATGCATTGGAGTTTAAGGATGTTGGTATCGTCTTAGTTTTGTTATTAATGTTTTCACTTGTAGTGTTTTTATACAGTTGTCGCTTGAAGAATAGGGGATCAATGTCAGATTGAAAGGTTGTGTGAGAATTTCTAGAATATAGTCTGTGGCTTCTGTATGTACTGAACAAAAAAAGATTTTTTTTTTTTTTAACCCCTCTCTGATATTATCTTAATCTAGACTTTGATCATAGTAAAGGCCAGTCCCTGATGTCCCCAAGGTGCCCACACATCTAGCTAATGTGTAAGTGTAAAATGCTCAGGCAATGAATGTTGCCCATATTTGAACAAAAAATAATATTGCTAATGTGCTAAATGAGGGGGCAGAACTTGGGCACTCTTTTGTTGTGTGTTGAACTACTCAAATTGTTTTGCACAGAACTGTGTGGAGCAGCAAGGGCATGCTGGCACTATAACCACTACAGCTTTAGTTTTTATAGTGATTGATTGCCTACTCAAGTTGACGTATGCATTCTGCACATAAAACCATTTTAAAGTGAACCTCATATAAAAAAAAAAACAACAAAAAAACCTACTTGAAATTGCTCTTTTATACATTGAATACACCATATATCCTAAAAATAAAATGGTATCCTAAAAATAATATAGTATACTCACTATACATATTTACCCACTTTTCTTATGTTCCAGTGCCCCTTTATATGTAACACACACCCTCTGGCCACCCCGCGCTCTATCTCGGCTCCTTCCAATGTCCTCTTTGATTTGCCCTGCTTGGTTTGCATCCCCAACCAGGACAAATCTAGTCAGTGACATCAGCATGCAGGAGTTTCTATAGTAAGTTTCCATAGCAACCATAGAACATGCGCTGTGGTTGCAATGGGAGGTTTCTTCTGCTCTCCCTTGTCAGTCAATGCCTCGGCATGCCAAGGCATTGAATAAAAGCTAGGAGAAAAAAACTGTTTTGAAATGGGTTTCTTTCCTAATCTATAATTTTTTTAGCAAAACTGCTATAGCAATGCATATATAAAATTGTATTCTCAATCTAATGAGCATAAGTTGTGTGGGGCATGACAGGTGCCCTTTAAGAGTCTTCCAAAATCAGTCAATCTTTATTAATCTTTTCAACTAGCGCAACATGTGTTCCACAGGGTTTACTCCTTGTGGGACACATGTTGTGTCCCCGTGAACAACATCAAGTCTGTCTGTACAATACAGCCATAAGGAACCTGGTGACTTCAATGAAAATTAAACGGTTACCATTCTGTACATGCACAAGAACTCCCATTCATTTTCATGGGAAATGTTGGACATGTGACAGTGTGAAATAAAGTTGAACACTGAAAAATAACTCCCTCCCCCTGTTTGCACACTTTAAGCGAGCATGTAGACCAATCATGTGTAAGTATTCCAAAATGTTGTGTATTTTGCATGTGAACCAAAAGTATGCCAACAGCTTCTCTCTTTAAATCATCTTTCTAATCAATGGAGCGCTTTTAAGCATTTGTTATCCATTGTTCAGTAATAAACATCCGCCAAGTAACTTTAGGTTCCTGGGCTGCGAAAATCTTCCTGTTTAGAAAATCCCCCGCCCATGCATTCTTCTAAACGCTGTAAAGGCGAATCTGTTGCCCGTGGCATAAATTCCATTTATAGTCACCTAATTCTGGTATTACACTGCAAGTAGGGGAGTTAAACTGTCAGTAGACACACTCACATTCCTTCCTTCTAGGTAGGCTTTAATCACTCTCCTGACAGACAGTCCTCAGCTGTTTTTGTAATCTCTGTAAATAACACAAATCTCACAAGATCTCACTTGTCTTCCTTGTGTTATTCTCACACTCCATTGGAAATCAAGTAAACATATCATTGTAGCAATGATCTACATCCAAATATCTAAAATCAGGCCAGTCTTTACATTATTATAATTGTTATTAGCCTTTAAAATACTAAACAAACTATATACAGTGTATTTATACACCCTATAAAGTATGATATGCATACATCCGGTTATCTCTATTACTGACAAATGAGTCTACATAGCGTCTTGAAAGTAGCTAGCCCTTAAACCTAGGTCCCCCCCCCCCCAACCCTAATTACCTGTATTGCTACAGATTCACAGCCCTAACCTCCTATCAGGGAGGATTGCAGTGGCCTTTAAAACAAAAGGCTAATGCCTCAGCAATCACAAAGGCAGCACGTAAAACTTTGTTTTGATGACGAGATTTTAAAGTGAACTTGTAATGAAAAATGTAATGAAGTGAACTTGTAATGAAAAAGTGAGGTTGGAGGCTTCACTGCCAGGCGTCACTCTGTTCCTATACTCCCTAGCTGGCTAGAAGCTCTGACAATCGAGTTTCCATAGCAACCACAGCGCATGCGTTGTGGTTGCTATGGGTAGAGAACAGCGGCATCTCCTGTGGGAGGTCTCTTCTGCTCTCTTGTCAGTCAATGCCTCAGCATTGACTGACAGCTGGGAGAAAAATCTTTTATCTAATTATATTTATAGATTGCAGGTATATGCAATGTAGTTGCTTATTATATTTGAGATGCATTATGCCATAACTGTTTTGAGAACGTTGTGTGTGACAGTAGGGTGCTGTGGGACTTTTTTTATAGTCCTTCTGTGCATCCTAGATGATATATTGTTCCGGTTTCCTAAAGCTAACTCAGACGGGCCTGTGACACCATCTGAACTAAGCTTTTAATTTCTGCACCTTGAGCATCAGAACATTAACACATGGAACCCCCTGCTGAAATTCCACTTTTAGGGTCACCAAATGATGTTTTTGGCATTATAAAACCAACACAGCTCCAGAAAGCAAACAGCTGCTTTACTAAAGTTGATTTTCAAATAAAAAAAAATGTGAATGTATGCATTGTGTGGAATGTCTGTAAATCCCATCCATGCGAACCTATTTAGTTTTCTAGACATTTTGGTCTCTTTTAAGACTGTTAGCATAGACTAGGAAGTATTTGAATTTCCTCTAATGATTCTCTGAGCCTTGCGTCTGTCACTGTTTTTTATTACGTTGTGTAGCTAAATCTATTCATAAAAGTATAAGGTCTGTATATTTGACAGCTTTGCAAGTAACTATTGCATGAAATCTCCCTCAACGCAAGAGCAAACAATCGACTGCTTAGACAGTCCTACTCCCCTGGCAGACACCTGAATAAAGCCCCATTTTATAAGAAGCTCAGGAGAAACCAAACTAAGGTTATACCATGGATTGGACATGACGGAAACCTGGCATGTAAGCACGAGCATTAAAACATGTCTGGGCAAGAGAATGTCATCTGCAAAACACAACAGTTAGTTAGGGATATGTTATAATGTGAAGGACTCACTTGAGAATAAAAGGATGCACCAATTTGATCTGAGTTTTGCTAGCATAGAAAAATAATTTTCTATTCTTTGGAAGCGACACTAAGTTATTTAATTTCTTAAATAAGAGCAAATGTCTGTTAAATGGACACTCCAGCCCCATAAAGGTCTCCAGCTTGCTGGAATGCTTTATGCGTGAAGCCTCCCTTTTTTTTTTTTTTTTTTTTTTCATGTTAATTTTAAAATATATATGATTTTTTTAAAATTTATTTTAGATTTCAATAGAAATTGGCATTTTTATAAATTAACCTTGTTATACCCCCTGGCTGTTAATCAGACATCCTGTCCTGTTACTTCCTGGTTTCATTAGCTCAGTGGAGCTAAACTCAAGATGCAGCAATTGCCCAGAGCACCTACCTTGCAAAACCTTCTCATTGAGCAGCATTGGGAAGTCTATGATTGGACAGCCACAAAAAAAGTCTGGGCGCATTTAAAAGGGGAGGGATTACAAATGCTTCGGACAAGAGAACTCGAGCTTATGCAATCTGTTTTTAGATATACGCGCTATGAAAACGTGCATGATTAAATTATTAAAGGTTGGGAAGTATGTTGTGGTTTAGAAATATACCCCTCTCTGTCTCATTAGAGACAGCCACTGTCGGAAGATTTAGAGCTGCAATGTAAATATTGCAGTTTCCTGGATGTTTAACATTGCAGCACTAAGTGCAAAAGGGACACAGCACCCAGACCACTTCAATTAGCTTAAGTGGTCTGGGTGCCTACGGTGTCCCTTTAATATTTTTATCTTAGCTGTGATCTTTCCATTATAAAATATAGCTGTCATTATTGTATTTCTGTTTGGCTGTTTTTCACTCTCTACAATCCATCTTGGAATGATTTTATATGTGCAACCTTCTATTTCTAGTTATTTTTTTTTAATTTTATTTTCTGGTGCCTGTGTAAGTACCTGGAAAAAAACACACAGACCCAGAATATACACTCCTAGAAGCACTGTGGCTATCATTGGCACTAGCAATATTTCTGAACTATGCATCTCATGATGTTCTGTAACTCAGCAGGTTGACTGATATTTAGTGGATTGCTTTTCTCAAACATCTGCAATGCCAGGTTTGGAAATCATTGATACACGTAACAAAGCGTATCTATAAACATTGACGTGACCGGTGAAGGTTGCTATGGTAAATCATTCTATTTTATATATTTATTATCTATGTGTATGCAGACATGTTGTCATTTACTTAATATATATGTTTAGTGATTTAAAACTTGAAGTAAAAATAAGTACATTTTTTATGTTCCATAGATTGTGAAATTGGCTATATATGGAATGCTACCGAAAAACCTGCACAGACGAACAATGATGCAACGATTGCACCTCTTTCCTGAGAACGTAAGTGTATTGTTGGACTTGTGATGTTGGGTTAAGGTAGACCCTCCCTCTTTTTTGGTCTTATCGGTGTGCAGATTGTTTAAAAAATGGACTTGTACTTGTATGTAGATAGCTAAGCATTTTACTTATATAACGGTAGATGGTGAGATTGAAACACAATGTTTAGGCTATTTATTGGCATTATTTTAAAGGGACATATTGGGCACCATAACAACTTCATTTTAGGGGATTAAAGTGTTTCTGAATGGTTTAACCCCAGCTCATTCCCTGTTTGAATGAGGATGCCTTAGACGTAGCGCCGTTTAATGACTGAGAGCGTTAGCGGATAATCTCCACCTGCCACTGGCTTCCCATTGATATAACTGCATGTGAAAGATATGCAAGTATTTATTTTAAACTAAACAGTAGTGATGTCGCAAACTTGCGGCGAACTCCGGTCAGCTGACACATCCCTGCCAATCTCCGGCAGAGCCTCCCTACCAGACCCTCCCACCTCCTGGACAGCATCCATGTTGAAGCTGCCTTCAACATGGATGCTGTCCAGGAAGTAGGAGGGTCTGGGAGGGAGGGTCTGCCGGAGATTGGCAGGGATGTGTCAGCTGACCGGAGTTCGCCACAACGGTTCGTGGCAAGTTCGCGAACGGTTCGCGACATCACTACTAAACAGTTGTTGGAAGTTTCAACAGGACAATGTTTAGATTGCATCTGTACCAATGTGAACCCGAAATTCTCTTCACATGATTTTGTGGGTTGTAGCCTTCATCAGGATATAAATGATGTACATAGCAGTAGCTCAGGGGCACACACATGTAATTTGAATTTAATTATGCATTTATAAGTGGTAACACATAGTAAAACAAAACATTTTCCATATACTTCATTGTTAATCAAGTCTCCATTTCACTGGAAAACACGCCACTACAGGAAACAATTAATTTTGTTGGTTAATTATAAAATTGGGATCACGAAGACCAGTTTAATATTAAACTGGGGGACGATATCATAGGACTTAAGGCAACATACACACTACAGCGAACCACAATGATTGTTTCTTTATAAAGGGACACTATAAGCACCAACACTGCTGCATTCACTGTAGTGGATTGGTGCATATGTGCTGTCCTTTATTTCTTACAATTTAACACATTGTTGTTTGTCAAACACATGGCTCCAGTTTTTGACACCGGGGCCCCATGGTTTCTAGTTATGCCTCTGCTTGCAAGGATTGTATTTTCACATATATTCATAGCAGCTACCAAATATTCAAAATAAAAATTTAATTATATATATGTAAAATAAGTTGATAATGAGGCAATAGTCTGCAATATATGCCTGACTTTTTGAAAAAGACTGTTAAAGAAAGGCATCTTATTTAATACATAAATATATATATATATATATATATATACTTTTTGCTTAAAAATCAATACAAGATTTATGTTCACGTACTGTGAATTTTTATAAGGAATTAGATCATTCTATGTCTGTTGTGATTTTTCTTGACATGTCATTAAAAATAGAGGTCATGTATGTTTAATTCCCTCATTTTTCTTTTTCCCCCTTTTTTCTCTGTATTATTGTTTATTTTATTGTTAGAATTTTTTGTTATTATATTATTAATATCCATGCAATGTTTGATTATTATAATTTTGTTAAAAATTTTAAATGTAAATAAAACTATTGGGGGAAAAAAAAACCTGATTCTTCTCCTAGAGAAGTAATGAATTCAGCACGTCTCTTTGAGAAGACTCCAGTATTTCTGCATTATATTTAAAGGAACACCATAGGCACCCAGCCCACTTCAGCTCATTATTATTATTGCCATTTATATAGCGCCAACAGGTTCGGTAGCGCTTTACAATATTATGAGAGGTGGGATTTAACTATAAATAGGACAATTACAAGAAAACTTACAGGAACGATAGGTTGAAGAGGACCCTGCTCAAACGAGCTTACAGTCTATAGGAGGTGGGGTTTAATTCATATTAGGACAGGAAATAGTAATCAAATAAGCAATCATTAAAGGACCACTATAGTGCCAGGAAAACATACTCGTTTTCCTGGCACTATAGTGCCCTGAGGGTGCCCCCACCCTCAGGGACCCCCTCCCGCCCGGCTCTGGAAGGGGGTAAAAACTTACCTTTTTCCAGCGCTGGGCGGAGAGCTCTCCTCCTCCTCTCCTCCTCTCCTCCGCTGAATGCGCGCGCGGCAAGAGCTGCGCGCAGGTAAAGCATTTACTGCCCTATGACGCTAGCGTGCTCTCACTGTGATTTTCACAGTGAGAAGCAGCGCCTCTAGTGGCTGTCAATGAGACAGCCACTAGAGGATTAGGGGGAAGGCTTAACCCATTCATAATTATAGCAGTTTCTCTGAAACTGCTATAATTATGAAAAAATGGGTTAACCCTAGCTGGACCTGGCACCCAGACCACTTCATTAAGCTGAAGTGGTCTGGGTGCCTAGAGTGGTCCTTTAAAGTGGTCTGGGTGCACTGTCCCTATTGCACTTAGTGCTGCCATGTAAAACATTGCAGGTCCAGAGAAACTCTGTTTACATTGCAGCACTAAGACAGCCTCTAGTCTAGTGGCTGTCTACCAGACAACCACCAGAGTCACTTTCGGGATTTTATCGGACTCTGTGTCGCCTTACTGACACTGGACGTTCTCACGATCTGCATGAGGACATCCATCATCAGTAAAAGAAAGCTCTGGGGGACCATGTGCATTGGGTCGTCCCCATTTCCCCACCCCTTTGATGAAGTCTGAAGAGGCGGCGCAAGAACCACTCTGTGACCACTCTGTTCTGCAGCTAGCTCTGCCCCCCTAGATTTAGTAATTTGATTAGACTATTATGTCAATATAAATCATACTTTCAATGTTATCCCCTTTTTGTTAATTTTGGCTGCTAACCAATCTGAGATATTTTGATATTGATGGCTGATTGTATTCTGCTATCAGTATTTTTCATACTGTCTTAAAGAAACACTCTAGTCTCAAAAAAGTGCAAGTTTTCCCAGATGATGCTAGTTTTTTTTTTTTTTTTTAATGTTCCAAAAATATGTTTACCTAAGAACCATAACAACTTTGTATAATTGCAAAAGATACAGTTAAATAAGGCTGACCTGTATTTGCTAAAATCTCTGCAGCTACAAGCCTGACCCTGGAGCCTAGAACTCAAATAAAGGACGCAGTCTCATATTTGTTCAATTTGTTCATGCAACTAGGATGAACCTCTCTCCTTCCTTAGACAATAGTGCGCGCATGCAAGAATAGCGGCTCTGATTATTGCTAAACAAAACCTTGACCTGGGCTGCCCATAAACAGCTCGCAGCCGCAGTACATTGGAGTGGAACTGTAGCTAGAGGACAAATTAGCTGTCCCTTAAACCTCGTTGAAAAAAGGAACACTGCCTAAAGGATATAAATATGAGTATAAAAAGATAAACTTTAATAGTGAACGAGATACAAAGTGATTATTTTGCACATTCACTCTTGGTACGTCTAGGTATTTGCATACAGAGGCATCAAGAGATATTTATGCAGAATTGTAAGATTTAAAAGGACAAACAACACTTGATTCAGTGAAGATGTCGTCAGCAAATGTCAATTGTATCTACTGCAACAGTTGTCTCGTGTTACAGTTAGTATAGAGTATTCTGTTACAATGGATCAAACTCTAACAGATATATACTGTCTGCAGCTGCAGTTTCTACAGAATACTCTTTTACAAAAATTTAAAAACGAAAATTAGCCACTAAAATCGTTTTGACAACACAAGGACATATACTGTCTAATGTTTTTGCCTAGAAGTATGTTGTAGTTAGGATATATATCCTTTACTTGAGAGAGCACCTACTCTGGTTGGTTACTAATATATCACCCCAGTGATGTTGTACCATGAAAAAGTAGATAAGAAGAAATAGTTACTGTGCCTTCAAGGGCACCTACCAGATAGGAGGGCTAACTACAGGTAATAGAGAAAGGAAAGAGGGAGAAAAAATATATATATATATGTAAATGTCCTTTCAGTTATAACTGTGCCTTCAAGGGCACCTCTCTAGTATACAAACTAACTAACTAGCGTTAAATAGCTGTAGTCACGGTGGATATAATGTGTTGTCTGCTACACATTATCTAGTGTCACTGCGCTGAAAGCGCTTAAAAGAATGGAGCCACAGAAATTATATGCGGCTAAATCCTAGAATCCCTCCCAAAGTACACCAAAAGCTAGTATAGCTATTAGTTCCAATAAGGATGTCCAGAGATGATTGCTGCAAGTGCATAGAATGTGATGCTGGGAAGGATCAGAAAAACCCCAACGCACGTTTCGCCGGTAAGGCGGCTTTTCAAGTCCCTTAAACCTCTGCTGGATCTTATGGTCTTAGATCAGACCACAACTACCGGAGCCACAGGTTCCTGATTCGCAGAGCCCTTACATGGTTATGGAGCAGCCGGCCAAATGCAGCACTTGTCTGTGCAAAAGTTCTAGGTAAGTATTTTATTTCTTGCATTATTATTATTATTATTATTGTTATTATTTTCAACTTAAAAAAAATAATAATAAAGAAAAGAATTATGTTTGCCTTTAGTTCCTACTTTTTTTGTTTATTGATTATTCACGCACTGATCACCTTTGTGCTTCTCATTGTTTAAAAAGTAAATGGATGCACTAGTGCAAATAAATGTAAGCTCCTTTCTATTTGCTCTCTTTATTTTGACACGCCACTTTGACATTAGCAGTGCAGCATGAGAGTAGCTAGGGTGTATGCACTGGGAGAGACCTAAACTGTAGTGGGTTTTGGTGCATAACGCACTCCATTAAAGAATTGCTCATGCTAAAATAATCTGTGGTGATCCACAGACAACCTCATTATTTGCCTCGCAGTTCTTTTTTGTATAACATTTGTATTGTTGGTGAATTTAACTTTTTTCTTTCATTTTTTTTTTTCTTTCTAGGATATTCCTGAAGAAATTCTGAAGAATCTTGTTACAGAAATCCAGCAACCGAGGAAAATTCCCAAGAGACTGGATGAATACTCCAGGGAGGAAGTTGAAGCATTTCCCAGACTTTGGACTCCGTAAGTGTGCATATATTGTTATACTTATTATTATGATATTTATATAGCGCCATCAAATTCCACAGCACTTTACAATGTGTGGACGAACAGACAGTAGTAACCAGACAAGTTGGACACACAGGAACAGAGGGGTTGAGGGCCCTGCTCAATGAGCTTACATGCTAGAGGGAGTGGGGTAAAATGACACAAAAATGTAAGGATAGTATTAGACTAGTGACAGTTGCAGAAGAGGAGTCAGTCAGGAGCTATTAACAGTTTAATTGATACGCTTTTATGAAGAAGTGGGTTTTTAAAGATTTTTTTGAAGGAGTGGAGACTGGGTGAGCATCTAACGGAGGAGGGAAGCGAGTTCCACAGGAACGGTGCAGCCCTCGAGAAATCTTGAAGGCGAGCATCAGAGGTGGGAGTACGGACAGAAGACAGACGTAAGTCTGCAGCAGATCGTAAGGGCCTAGATGGGACATACTTGTGTATAAGGGAGGTTAGGTAGGTGGGGGCAGGATTATGTAGAGATTTGAAAGCAAGAACCAGAATTTTAAATTGAGCTCTATATTTTATTGGAAGCCAATGTAGGGACTGACAGAAGGGTGAGGCATGGCAGGTGCGGGCGGACAGGAAGATGAGCCTCGCCGCCACATTCATTATGGACTGTAACGGCGCAAGTTGGGAGCACGTAAGACCACTGGGAAGCGGATTACAGTAGTGAAGGCGAGAAAGGACAGTGTAATGGACCAACACATTAGTCGCATCTGGCGTTAAGTAGGGGCGGATGCGCACAATGTTTTTGAGATGGAAATGACAGGTATTGGCAATAGAATGAACATGAGGCTTGAAGGAGAGGTTGGAGTCAAAGAGAACACCTAGGCAGCGAGCCTGCATGGTGGAACTGATGGTAGCACCGTGGACTTGGAGGGAGGGAGACACAGGAGTAACAACACTTGAGGGAGGAAAGACCAGAATTTCAGTTTTGGTCAAGTTTAGTTTAAGGAAGTGGGCAGCCATCCAGTTAGAAATAGCAGAGAGGCAGTCAGAGACACTAGTCAAGAGAGATCAGGAGAGGACCGGTAGATTTGCGTGTCATCTGCATAGAAATGATATTGGAAGCCAAAGGAGCTAATGAGTTTACCAAGGGAGGCAGTATAGATGGAGAACAGTAGGGGACCAAGGACTGAACCTTTGGGGACACCAACAGAGAGGAGTTGGGGAGAAGAAGCAGAGCCAGAGAAAGAAACACTGAAAGAGCGCTGGGAGAGGTAGGAGGAGCACCAGGAGAGCAATATCTTGTAGACCGATATTGCGGAGGATGAGAAGAAACTGTTGATGATCAACAGTGTCAAAAGCCGCAGACAGGTCAAGGAGAATTAGGATAGAGTAGTGACCACGAGATTTTGCAGCGAGTAGATCATTGGATACTTTGGTCAGTGCTGTTTTCACAGAGTGCTTAGCACAGAAACCAGACTGAAGCGGGTCTAGCAGATAGTTGGACTCGAGGAAGTCTGTTAATCTCGCATACACAATTCTTTCAAGGATCTTGGATGCAAAAGGCAGTAGTGAGATAGGACGATAGTTGGATGGGGAGTTAGGGTCAAGATTGGGCTTCTTTAGAAATATATTATCTATAACAACATTTAAATGGTCTTTACTCCGGAAAATAAAAACAGACATATTGGTGACCTTTATTCCATCACATTTTTGACTTTATATCCTCACATTTTGGCTTTTTATTTGGAAATAAAACCAGATACAGAAAAATGGTGATTTAACATTTCTTTTAAATGCCAGCTTTTCTACTTAATTTCTAGATAATGTTTCTGTTTTAGAGTTTATGTAGTAAATGTATAACAAGTTTTTTATTTTATTTTTTATTTGATCAACAGTGGGGGTATGTTTATATGCTTGTGCTTTATCTAATAAACTAATGTGTAACATCTACAGATCACAGATCATGAGAAAGAAAATTTAAAACTCTTCCAAGCATACTCAATTATACTGAAAGACTGCTTTGATCAACAATCCTTAAATGTAATACAGCAGTTTGCAAGTGTGTGCACACAGCATTATCCCTCTTAACAGATCCAGACCACATTTCTCTAGGCATCCTTTGGAGCTAGCCTAGCGTGCTATTTTAAAGATATCATTTGAGTTGAAGTGTAGGTTAGGATCTAAGTGAAGCAACTGTTTAGCAGCATAAAGTGTTTCAACTTCTTGGGTCTCATCTACATTACATTGGCAACACTCATTTAAAACACTGTTTAGTAGACAAGTCTACTACAACAAAATATACTCAGTATTGTCAATTTAGATTTCTGACCTACATTTATGATGATGTTCATACACTATAACAGCTTCCACTCTTCTGGGAAGACTTTCCTCAAGATTTTGGAGTGTTTCTGTGGGATTTTTTTGCCCATTCGTCCAGTAGAGCATTTGTGAGGTCAGGCACTGATGTTGGAGGAGAAGACCTGGTCGCAATCTCCGTCCCAGTTCATCCGAAAAGTGTTTGATGTGGTTGAGGTCACTGCTCTGTGCGGGCCAGTCCACAAACTGATCAAACAGTTATGGATCTTTGTGCACTGGGGCACAGTCATACTGGAACAGAAAAGGGCCCTTCCCAAACTGTTCCCACAAACTTGGAAGAATGGCATTGTTCAAAATGTCTTAGTTTGCCAAAGCATTAAGATTTCCATTCACTGCATGGAAGGTGCCTAGCTCAACCCCTGAAAAACAGCACCGTATTATTATCCTTCCTCCACCAGACTTTACAGTTGGCTCAATACAGTTAGTCGGTAACGTTCTCCTGGCATCCGCCAAACTCACTCGCCCATCAGACTGCTAAACAGAGGAGCGTAATTCATCATTCCGCCGTACACGTTTCCACACTTCCCGAGTTCTTTACACCACTCAATTCACCACTTGGCATTGTACTTCGTGATTTGAGGCTTGCATGCAGCTGCTTGAGGGTGAGACCTAACATATGTTAAGTGATACATGATGAGTAGGGATGCACCGAAATTTCAGCTGCCGAAATTTTCGGCCAAAAATGGGCCTATCCTGTTTTGGCCGAAAACTGGTCATATTTGCTGAAATCTCCTGGAACACTGTCTCTCTTCACACCAAGATACAGAGAAAGATAGACAGTGTCACCACAGTACACACCTGTTAAAGTGATCTGAACCTGTCCTATGGGGCTCAGAAAAATGTGAGTGTACCAATATAGAACTATATTGACTGTATGATATTGGTTATATTGCACCATAAAAGTGTTTATTTTAGGTTATTTCTACCTTACCCATATAGTAAGGGGTAAGTGATTTAATTTATAGTGCTTCACAGTTTGACTGGAGTGGGTGTATATGCCACACAGTTGATGTTTTATTGTACATATTGTTGTGAATGTGATAGACATTCACACAAAGGTGGCAGCAGCTTATTATTCAATAATTTTCTGTTCACATTCAAATTAAGCGCCTGATAAACAAATATACATCTTTCATGGAGCATTATTTAGTTTACATTTTTTTTCTATACTGTATGAAAAGTAAAACAAAAAAGCTTGAAAATAAAACATTTATACAGCCCTAGTGCTAATGCCAAATATAAATCAAATCAATCATCTTTATCCATCTCTCCCACTGTGTTGCCTTAAACGCAACAAGTGTGTGTGGGTGGGGATTCTGTAAAATTAATCCATCAAAATTCTTGCTTCATACACCAGTAATAATGGGGCAGGTGGCATGGAGCATTAACTTTGTACGGAATAATTCTAGAGGTCCTTGTGTTCTCCTTGCATCTGCAGGTTGCATATGCAGTAGGACCATTGATTTCAAGTGTGTGTGGTGTGTTTTTGTATGTGCTTACTGCTTAAAGATCTCCAAGGCATTAACCCGTCTTAAACACTGGAGTGAAACCTCAAAGCATTGATATAAGAATCTCTGACATCTGAAACTCAGGCAGTCTGCAGGCAGGCCATGAATCACAATGTGTGGTTAATCCAATGTAATAAGTACATTCTGTGCATTTATTTCCCTATTACTTGCTTAGTTCCCTTTGTCCTCGCTTGCCAAAGCTTTCCGGTCTGCAATGGGGTCCTTCTATAAAGATCTCTTTATATTGTATCCCCATGTTCTCTTGCAATCATTGTTTATCCAGGATCTCTTGGTCCTCGGTGTCCATGTTTGGAGTATGAATGTGCTATGTATTTAAGTTCCCTTCTTAAAATCATCAATAGAAATGAATCGCAACCCTCCATTTCCAGAACTTTCAATGTGTTTAGGAGTGTTAAGTAATCATAAAAGAATGCTTTGAAGTCAAATGGAAATGTAGAACTCCATCTCCGGTGGGAAGCTTTGTCACGCCTACTGTAGCATTGACGTCCTGTGAAATAAGGACATAGGGATATTTCTGGGGAAATCATTATGCAGCTTTTTGGAAATAGCCAGCCAAGCTTGAAATTATACATTCTAAACCATGAAAACCATTTCTCTGGACGGCTCATCTTCATCCCTAGTAATTGTCAAGTGCTTTAGAGAAGGAGATCTGGTGCTATGCGAGTCATTTTAATTTCAGAGATTTTTTTTTTTTCCCTGCTTATTCTATTCTGCTTCTCCCTTTAATGGGTTTTAGCATTTCAAACACATTTGTAGTCTACATGCCTATTATATATTTTTATTAGGGATTTTTTTGTTGGTGTTTGATTGTAGAACACATCTTCCGATGTCAGATGTATGGTCAAAGTGCTGCCTTTAAGAGTCTTTGTTTGGACCCTTAAAATGTCTTTGCTCTGTACAATTTAATTGTTGATGTCATCGCTTACAATGTTTGACGACCCTGTTCTACATTCTATTTATTTGTAATTTTTTTGCTTTGTTTGATAATTCATAGAAACATATTCATTCTGACTGTAAGTGCTACGTTCCTTTGGACTGCAAACTTTACATAATTATAAACCTTTTTGCGGATTTCTGTTAGTAAAGGCATTGCACTGAAATAGAAAATAAATCTAAATGAGATATATTTTATGTGATTAAATTGCTGCCATGCCTAAATAGCATGTAAGATCCGTGCTGCAGCCATGTAGTATAAAAAATTGCTCATAAAACAACACAAGAACAGTGTTTTTGTAATCTGCTCTAAATCTGCCATAGGTTTTCTGGTGCATGTTACAAAACCAGGGTTTCAAAGTATGTTACCAACATTCAATTCCATATGGGGTCCACGGTTAGCTAGCAATCAATGTGCGTTGTAGTACTAGTTTTGATTTATTTTGTGGTTTGTTTTTTAAATGCTTAGTGGAATGAGTTCTGTTCAGCCACTTGTGAGTTTTAGGGGGAATATTTGACTCTCAGGAATTTTGGAAATATTTGAAATGCATTGATAACACTTCAATAGGTTACATGCTGGATATGTTAATGCATGCTTGGGGCCACCACGAGCTGATGGATATTTTGTTACTGTAGTAAATATATATCATTGTGTTACATTGTTTTTTAATTATATTTTTTTACTGGTTCAGAATTTAAAGAAGCCTTGGTCCCTTTCAAGGAAATAATGTTGAGCTGTAACACTTGAAAGACAGGAAGCAGAAATTCATGCAAAACGTTAATATTGTCCCTTCAACGGATGGGAATTTGGCTGAGCTCCTCCAATGACCAGAGTCTTCTTGTTTATTGAATATATGCAGACTATAATGTTCATTGAACAGTCTGTAAGGCTAGGTTGCCAGTGTTTCTGCCTACATATGTTAACATCGAACACATATACCACAGATGTTATTAAATAGGAGGTAAATGCTAGAGCTTCTTTAAAGTGCCCTGATATTCTTATCAGTCATACCGAACAGCGTTTCGATGGCCAAACAGTTATATTAAGGCATGTAATGAAGGTGTGACAGGGGAGCTACTAGAACATATCGAACAACATTTCAAGTAGACAGAGTGACACTTTAATTGTATTGGTGTGAGTGGAGCTGTGACCAGGGGTTAGGCTGTTCTGAGAAATTTGTGTTTACTTACCAATAACAATTTATGCATCTAAAATGAAATTTGGAGCAAAAATAATGCAAGTGCTCCACTGTTTTGCAAACATTTCTAAATCAGAAATGACACAATATTCTAGGTTTTATCGTGGTGAGTGTTATACAATCCTGAAAATTAAGCTTTTTAAGCTCCCAGAACAGGAAAGCCTTGGCGCATGAAGGACTTTGTCTACCAAAGAGGGACCACACATGAGACATATCTATCAAGGAAAGAGGGTTCTAAATTCTATAAGACAGTATAATACTTTAGGGTAGATATTTTGTAAACTAAACTCCTTTCAAAAGTTGATGGATTAGTTAACGGATTAGAAACCCAATCTTGCGGTAATCAAGAGGCTTTTGGATGTGTTATTTGGATTAATCCCTCTACCCGACATAATGGGATTCAGTGCTTAGTCTTGACATATAGATGATCAGAGGTGTTTAATAATCTTGCTATCCTTTACAATAGTATCAAGATAACTTGTGTGTTGAGTTGTTTTTTTTTTTTTTTTGTTTTTTTAGCAAGAAAGGTAATTATAAGTAAATTAAGTCCTTGAAGTTGTATAATTTAGTTTGTTTAACAGTAAGAATTACAGGAGAATTACATGCATTGTTTCTAACTAAATATTTGAGACAATTTAAATCATTTTGATTCAATCTAAATGATTGAACCTAAGTTGACTTTGTCAATAAGCTTCCTGCTCTGGGCAGAACTATGATTATTATTTGCTGTTTTGAAGATAATTTCTTTTTGTAAATTCTTGGCTTTGGCATGACAAAAAAAGTCACATAAGTCATAAAAATCTAGACTGATTATTTAGCTTATTGCAAAATGGCCCTGTTGCCTGGGGGCTAAACTATACATACTATAAAGGTGTAGGGAATAAGTTCACATCCCAAAGACCAGAATGAGAGTCTCAAGATTATCGGTTTTATATTTTTTGTTTTGTTTTTATGTTTGCATATTTTTATCTTACATATAATATATTACAAAATGGAAGTTACTTCCAGTCTTCCTTTTAAAGGAACTTTCTCAACCTTATAATATGTTCAACTCATTGACCATGGCTCACCTTTAAAGGGATACTCTAGTGCAGGGAATATAAAGCTGTATTCCTGGCACTATCATTCCACCTGCCCCCCATTGAATCAATGCTTTCCTATGGGAAAAAAATCTGACACTGGAGGTTCTCATGCAGAGTGTGAGGACATCCAGCGACAGATACCGGACCAAACCAGGAAGCCCTCTAGTGGTTGGAGGCAGACTTAGTGCTGCAATGTAAACATTACATTTTCTCTGGAACTGAGATTTTTAACATTGCTGCACTAAGGGCAATAGGGACACTGTATCCAGACCACTTCAATGAGCTGAAGTGATCTGGGTGCCTACAGTATCCCTTAAGGATTAAACCATTTTGCCAAGGTTGGGGCTCGGTTGCCTGACACTGCTGCCCCAAGTTTCCTTTCTCTCTGCCTCTGCAGTATGAGGAAGGTTATACCGGGACGGCCACTGGTAGGAGCAGAGGATCAGGTTTTTCTCTGAGATATATCTGACCTACCCATTGAGACAAATAGCACATACTATTGTACAACAAGTGATTGGTTGACCGCGTTAGCCTATAATATGAAAACTGGTAAAAGTGTTCAGACTTGATATGTCTCTATTTGAACCAGACAGGAGCTAGCTAAAATGAATTGTGCTACCTCCCCATACTATATACTTCACATAGTGGTGATACTTCACTAGGATGAGATCATCTCTCTGCCATTGTGACAACCATGGAGTTTTTGGGCAGAGGCCATCAAAATCTTGCTGCATCTATGTGAACCCCTTCAACAAAATAATGCTTAGATTAAGATATAGAACCATAGGCTACCCATGAACTGGTCCAATTTGTTTCATTTCCTGTGTAATAAGGTCCTGATAATGCCTAATGTCTTCGTCCTATGTTTGCTATTCACGCTAACCACATAGTGAAAATGTTGTACATAAACTTTAGAATTCCGTTTCTTCTCATCCTTTTATTTATTTGGCGGTCTATTCACTAAATTCCGAATGGTGAACACACAGCATCTGAATGCTGCTTGGCAGTTTTAACCCATTCAGATTTGTAGAACAGGCAGATTAACCTGAATTAACACTTGCTTTTGGCTACAGTTCAGTTGTCTGTTTAAATTATCTGCATTCCCCATATAACATGGGTGATTCAGCTCTTTGCAAACCAGACTAGCCTCATTTGCTTATTCAAATTGCACCTAAAATGCTAATCCCATATCATCCTAATGCCACCACAAAACACCATGATCATGTTAAGGATACCCCAAGCCTAAATGATTCCCGTCCCAACATTAGTGCGTATTTTTGTGTATTTTCTTAGTAGCAGTGACATTCAGTTCCAGTCCAGCTGATCTATTTTGAAATAAATCTCACTGCAGCAAGGCGATCCATTCTGCTCTAAATAATGTAAATAATGAGTTCTCAGTGAACTCCGTGAAACACAAAGGACTTTTAACAACTCAATGTAAGCGAATTAAGCCAAATGCAATCAGCCAAAAAAAGCAGTTTCCTAAAGACTGCTTTTAAGTTGTATTCTGTACTATTTCTAACAGCTGATTTAACATCTGTAAAACGGTTCCTGGCAGTTTACCAGTTCCCTATATTTAAAGGTTAATCGTGTCAGCAATTTAAAAAATGGGGATTTACACAGAGATGTAACACAAATTTTGAGAATACTTAAAATGAACCAAAGGCGCTTTTCAGATATTGCTGACACCAGTAATTTGTATAAAAAACTAAAAACTGTAATTACCCTATTTACAAATCAATTATATACAAAGAAAAAGGTTTCAAGCACCAAATTATAGGGAACACTATTCTAGCTGTCTGGTTGAGAACCTCAAGACAGGCTCATTTTTGAGTTTCTAGCTAAGACAGATGGTTATAACGGCTAAAGGTGTGAAGATTCCCAGAAGTCTATACCAAAAACACAGAACGGTGATTATATAGAAACTATAGAATGTTAATCATCAAGCTGACAACTTAATTAACTTAACAGGTCCATAATACCTAAATAAAGATGGGGATTAAATGAAATAGCACAGATACGTTCATGTAAGTAAAAATAAATGAATGTTATTTTTATTTGCATTTAACCCTTTAAGGACACATGACGTGTGACATGTCATGATTCCCTTTTATTCCTGAAGTTTGGTCCTTAAGGGGTTAATGGGCACTCTAAGCACCCTAGTTATTAATCTCAGTCTAGTGCTTATGGTGGTTGATAGCATTGGAAGACCAGCACTATCAAAACTATAGCTGCTGACTAATTTGGACCGAGTTTAAATTAGCAACTTGGAAATATATTGTATTATCCAAGTGGCTGTAGAGGGAGAAGGCTATATGTGCAGGGCAGAGCCCCTTGATTTTTCTCAAATTGTTCCCTGTAACTGAGCTCCTGTACTCTGACAGAGTACCTCCGCCTAATCCGCTTACTAGGTGTTGGGGAGAGCGCCTGGAACGCTTCAGCCCCAGTTGTCAAAGCTTGACTGGGGTATCTCTAAAACTCTTCCACCCAACCAGACTCTTCTTCCAGGCAGGTATCGTCCCCTCTGCCTATTCCTCTGCAGCTTTCCTTCCAGGAAGGTATCGTCCCCTCTGCCTATTCATCTGCAGCGTTCCTTCCAGGCAGGTATCGTCCCTCTGCCCATTCCTCTGCAGCTTTCCTTCCAGGCAGGTATCGTCCCCTCTGCCTATTCCTCTGCAGCTTTCCTTCCAGGCAGGTATCGTCCCCTCTGCCTATTCCTCTGCAGCTTTCCTTCCAGGCAGGTATCGTCCCCTCTGCCTATTCCTCTGCAGCTTTCCTTCCAGGCAGGTATCGTCCCATCTGCCTATTCCTCTGCAGCTTTCCTTCCAGGCAGGTATCGTCCCCTCTGCCTATTCCTCTGCAGCTTTCCTTCCACGCAGGTATTGTCCCCTCTGCCTATTCCTCTGCAGCTTTCCTTCCACGCAGGTATTGTCCCCTCTGCCTATTCCTCTGCAGCTTTCCTTCCACGCAGGTATTGTCCCCTCTGCCTATTCCTCTGCAGATTTCCTTCCAGGCAGGTATCGTCCCCTCTGCCTATTCCTCTGCAGCTTTCCTTCCAGGCAGGTATCGTCCCCTCTGCCTATTCCTCTGCAGCTTTCCTTCCAGGCAGGTATTGTCCCCTCTGCCTATTCCTCTGCAGCTTTCCTTCCAGGCAGGTATCGTCCCCTCTGCCTATTCATCTGCAGCTCTGCTCATAGTGATTGCTTCTGTCTTTCATTTGTGGCTCTCAGGCTTAGCTCTCTTCATTTGCCCCTGGGCTAGAGGGATCGTGCAGCCAGCCAACAGGTCCGAAGAATCTGTTACTGGGATCCCTAAAAATCCACACAGGACACACTGTTCCAAAAGGAACTAATATTCCATACTTCATTTTTACTCGAGACTAGCCCATATGCTCATAACATTTGCTGTGACACTTCATTGAAATACAAATATAAAAAGCATTAGTAAACAAGCAATTAAAATGAATACATGCACTATATAATACCAGTTATGGTTTCAAACACAGTAAAAAGCAATTATATATAATTTTCTACGTATTTGGTTGTTCTCATTTGCATACAATTCTTATGTAAATGAACACACATCTAGACAGCAGAGGGAGCAGGAGAGTTATGCAGTTACATTGAATAGTTTGCACATTGATTGCTGCTGTCACACACTGCTTTCAGGGACTCCTGGGACCAGGTCCATAGAGAGGCCTTCAAGCCTCTCCAAAAGACCATGGCACTCCCAAACAGTGCTGATAAGATGTAAAATGCTGCCCACATACACTTTGCACCATAACTGAGCTGTTGTGGTTATGGTGCTTTAACTTCTGCAAGAAGTGAGAGCTGCAGCTAGTGAAGAAAACAGCACTGTATTCTGACTTGAATCCTTTCCTGTTTTCAAAATGAGTTTGTGTTTGTAAATACTATTATATTGATGTATTAAATAACACATAACTAGTTGTAAATCGATATATGATTAGTTTGCATGATTTTTTTAGTTTAGTAATTCTATTATTTTTTTTATATATAGCTCAATATGTCTAAAACTGTTATTCAGTTTTTTCCTTCTCATCTTAATCTTTTTTTTTTTTCTTGTATTTTTTTGGTGGGGAGGGTTGAGAGGGGTGAAATACTCCTAGTACCAGATGGTTAGTTCTGAACTTCTTAATTATTGTATTTATGAAACACATTATCTGTTCTTCATTCTGTAGAGCTTTTAAAAAAGGGCCATTCTTAAAGTCCTTGTTCTGACAAAACACCTCCATGGTTCTTTGATGTTTCAACAACCGTTAAAAGCAATAAAACTCCCAGCTTTGTAATTTCCCATATCCACTAATTAGCATAATTTAAAAAAAATTATAATATTTACTGAACTTGACATAATTCAATTAGACTGACAACCGTGATGGACTGCTGTAACTCTGGTCTGTGAAGTTAACACGATTAACCACACTTCTTTTAACTTGAAGTCTAGATGCATTAAGAAAATGCCCAATTTTCTGTCCTTGGGGAATTTATTTCATTGTTGATATAATTAAGTTTTCACTATTTAAGAAACGCGGTAAAATAAGAACGTGCCTGCTTGTATCTTTTCTCACGTACATAAGATGAAATGTTTCAGAATGTATTCCATTTGATATTCTGAGAATTTGTGTAAAAAAAAAAAAAAGGTTTATGAACTTTACATAATTATTTGTGTGGCATTTATTTACCATAAATGGGACAAATGAATGCCACACAAATCTAAAATCCATCAGTCCTGATAACAAGGAATATCTGGTTGTTACTATACATTATTTATAAAGTGCCATCACATTCCACAGCGCTGTCCATGGGCACTACGGTACAAGTAAAAAGACACAATGCAATATAACTGAAGCAACGCAATATTTGACAAACAAATACACTTGGAGATGAGGGCCCCAGTCCATTGGGAAATAAATTAAACAATAAAATAGTGTGTGATATATAGAAAAATGAAGTTAGTGAGATTGACCTAGCACCTGTAAACGGTAATATGCTATGAACTTGATTTCCATTGTGAAGAATGCAAACATTGATAACAAGTCTGCTGTTCGTGACAAGGGTGTCACGACTTCTGGGACTCTCGCACCGGCGTGACCACATATGTTCAGTGTGGCCACGGCAAAATAGACAAATTATACGCAAAATAAATCGCTGCACCTTCCTCTTGTGTTCCGGTCCCAAGCCGGTGTGGTGTTCTAGGAGAAGCCGTCCACTGCGGTTCCGGTTTAAATACCATATATATCTCCTACAACAAAGATGGCGCCGAAGAGCGTGCAACGTCAAGTCATCAACACGCACGCACAATTTGGGATCAGATCTGGAAAAATTTAATAATACAAGTGGATTTATTTTGGCATTAATGGAAATTGCTTATTTGGCATGTACTAAATACAGCAATTGAAATACATCCCAAACATGGAAAAACAGTGATGGAAATATTGCACCGAGTAGCCTGATTACTTCCTTATGGTTATGATCAGGAAGCCTAGCAATTATTGAGTGCCCAATTCATTCATATTTGAACATACTACAGAAGAGCATAAGGGGGCATTAGGGTGTTCATCCATGAGCTAACGCTTAACAGGTTGGGGATTATACAGACAATGTCATCTTGCATTACCAGCAACATAGAAGACATAGAAATTATTATATAACTGTAGCAGAGCTCCAATACCTCGGCTGGGTATCTCCACTGATTCCTCCTTGTAGCTAGAAGAAGCGCTGGCTCGTGATTATAACTCTCCCCCCAGTAACTAGACGACACATAGTTCTGGGAGTACAACTATTTTTATTAAGCCTAATGCAGCCTTTCATGATAGGCTCCCCAGCATAGGGATCTCCATTCAATACACTAAGTGCCCTTCCAGGCCCCTCTGTCGCTAAACTGATTATCTCCCAGGCACAGAGGGCTCTTCACAAAAAACACCTAAGAAACACAAGAAAATTGCACAGGAACCCCGGATAGATCTGGTCCGAACTCTCATGTTGGCAAAAATAGCGTCTGGATCCATGAAGATAAGCCAAATCGCCACCGGGGTAAAGTTTTGACCAGCCGTGCATGAGGTCTAAGCCCAAAATAGTTCCAGCACGAATGGGGCCTTTGCCGGTCAAATGTCGAGAGCTCCTGTGGTCAAACAAAAGGTGGCTCCCTCTGGCTCTCTGGGAGCAATTGTTCCATTTAGTGCCTTCATGCCAAATAGGGCTGGTCAGGAAGTGGGGCAAAACAGTGAGCCAAAGTGACAGGCCATGCGAGGTAAAGTGGCTGAGTTGGAGATCCATGCGGTTTGCGGCAAAATTCCGCTGGGGACCTTTTGCTACTTTGTGTGCGAATGCCTACCTGTAAGATGTCCACTGAAAAAGATATGTTTTTCTTTTTTTGATATTGTCCAATATATTTTGCATACATGAAGTTTTTCAAAGCTATGCAGTAGGTATCTTTAAACAGCTTGGCTCAGTAACTCAAACATAAAAAATATAAATTTTTATGTAGGAGTCACTCCTGCCAGTGTTGGCAGCCCCTTATGCTTACCAGGTTGTGCCTTTAGGCTGCCCGTCTGACTATAAGTCCTGACTTACTTAAAAAGTCAATCTGATTGATTGGAATTGCACATGTAGGACAATTATTGACGGAATGGCAGATTGACGAAAGATCTTCATATTTTATTAAATAAGGACTGAAAATTGAAGTGTACTTTGTTGTAAATCTTTGTATGGAAGAATATTTTTTTTTTCTCTTCTACTTGATTTTTTACCCCTTTTAACTGGGAGTTGAATAATTGATATTAATACAATACATTTTAAAGAGTAAGGGGTACTTAATATAAAGGACTATGTATTTTTGTAATATTTTTAGAGTTCATTTTTTCAGAGGCATAGATAATGTATTGCATTGCATTTTGTTTTGTAATGGATTTTGCAGGTTTAGTTTGTTAGATTAAATCGTTTAGTTCTGTTTTAAAAGCAAACCCACTTTCTAATCTACAAATGCCGTAGGCATTTAGATAAGCTTAATAAAGATAGTGTTCAAAATATCATCTTTCTCCAACAATTCATTGTTTTTTTTGTAAAATAGTAGAATGTCAAAACCCTAAAACACGTGTTTCTAATTAACGAGGCGAGACTGAGTGACATTCTTACTGTTCAAGAGATTAAAAGGAAATGCTTGGGTAGACTTCAAATGGAACCCAGTGACAACAAGTAGCTTGGTTTAACTGTGATCTTTCCTTCAAAGGCAACAGAAGACATGCTTGACTTTCTCAAAGCTTGGTTAAGCACAGATAACAGGAATGTATTTGAGGCTATGTTCAGACATGAATGAAAAGGAAGACATTAATGAATGGTGGAGAGTCTTACAACTGGTAGTAAAATTTGTCAAATCCCATCTGCTATATTTACAATCAAAATTTACCTTTGACTTGTTTATTCAATCATAGGGCTTTCTCCCCATTTGCACAGTGCGTTGCTATAATGTTCTTGGTTCCTCTCCCCGGGTGCTATATAAAAGGACAAAAAGGGGTGACTATTGATGAGTAGCAAAAATTGCCGATTAGCTTATTGTGCTGGGCTAACAGTAAGGTGACCAATTAGGATTTTTTTTTCGGGGGAAATACGTCAATTTCCAGTTTTCCAGGAATTCTGATCATGTGAAAAGTAATAATATATGTGTGTCTGTCACGGTACACTCAACTATATATATATATATATATATTTCAAACAAAGGTTTCATTGCCTTAAAATATCCATTTTAAGCATTTGCCCACTCCCACCAGGTGTCAATCGGTTGTAGATGTCAAAGCAAGGACTGAGTGATAGGGAAAAGGAGCGAACCTGCTCTTCTTTACAGAGACAGTCGACTAGTGAAATGCCCAACGACCTCTGACTGTGGCCTCAATGGGCAAGGGGTAGAAGTCAAGTGGTAATATGAGTTCCTAAACAAAATAGATAATTTACTTATCACTATGAAAAGAATATATTTACTGCTTTAGAAGCTGTTCTATATTTAGGTGTTTTGACAGGTTGACTTTAAATTTGAGTTCTGGCCCTTGCTGTGTTTTTGCCAATGATCTCATTATAGTAATATTAAACGTTAACATTTTTTTTAATAATTCTTTATTTTTGTTGTGCGTAAGTTTATAACAATTGCTTGTGAGGTACCCCAACGGCAATCCTCTAGCACATTTCAAACAATGTAACGTGAGGGTACAGGAAAAATCTAGCACAAGTTTTTATATATAGATATATACGTGGTTAAGTCGAGTAGTAAACAACATGTGTTGTGGTAGTTTAGTCTCTTCTATGACACAATAGCAACAATGCATAATAGTATGGTTAGGTTGTGAATAGACATAAGCCTACAGACATTTGTACAGTTATACAGTCTAGTAGGTGTATATACAGGCAAGCCCTCAGTTTCTCTATAGACTTTAAACAGGCTGGGGTTGCTATATTATTCCTCACCAGCTAGTAAAATAGTGCCCATTCGTTGAGCATTTACATAGTAATAGTTAACGATCTAACACATGCTTAACTTAGGTCTAGATCTAGGTTCTGAGTGGAATCAATTGCTTATACAAAATCTATCGATGGGTTGGGGTTTTGACTTCTCACCGAGGAAGTCGCGGGGGGGCGGGGGCAGGAGAAGGTATATTCTCCCCGGAGCTTGTGGTGTTCTGAGGAACAGTGACGAGACAGCAAAACATAAAGACCTTAAAAAACAAGTATAGGGTAAAACAGTAGGTGAGCCGGCATGCACGGCTCGAAAGCGGAGGCAGTGTCTGATTAATGTATGAAAGTCGTTGGCAACCATTAATGCTGTTCAAAACAGCTCTTCCTCAGCTCCTGTGGAGGACATATAGGAGGTCGAGGGTCTGGCAAAGTGGGCCGTTCAAGTTAAGGCTCCGCTTCTCTCAGAGTTCCTAGGAGTGAAAGAGATTACGGACTCTGGGTTCCATGTGTGTGACGTCGTGGGGTTCTCCCTTGTTGGGGTTGGAGCTGGCATCCCCAGTGCCCTTAGGAAAGGTTCTGCATCCTGTAACGAGGAGAGGCTGTGCGTGGCGCCCCCCTTGGTCACTGTCAGAGACCTTGGGAATGTCCATTTATACTCGAGCTTTGCCTCTCTCAGCTGAGTTGTGACTGGGGCCAGAGATCTGCGCCATAGTAATGTGTTGCGGGTCAGGTCGTGGTAAAAGGTAATGTGAGAGTTTTCAAATGTTAGCGGGGTCTTCCCTCTGACCGCTGTGAGAAGCTTAATTTTGTCGGTCACGGAGTGACATCGGATAATGACATCTTGAGGGGCGTCCGTTGGTGCTTGTCTGGCTTTTCTGATTCTGAAGCAGCCGTCCAATACGATTTTTTTTGCCTGGGCGGATGGCAGAAGCGTCGCTATGAGACGTCTGAGGTAATGGGGTAGTTCTGATGAGTCTATGGTGTCTGGGATCCCCCTTAATTTTAGGTTAGCACGTCTATTGCGGTCTTCTGTTTGGTCCAGTCTTGTGATTAGGGTGGATTGTGCGGCCTGCATATGGCAACAAGTGTCTTTTATCTCTCTCACCTCTCTTTGGAGGTCTAGGATGTCCTCCTCTGTGGCCCGCGTGCGTGCGGTCATTGCTTGCATTTTCAGACTTTATTAGGTTGATATCTGCTGCATGCATTCTCCTCATTTCCATCAGGAGGTCGGCAATATCTTGTTTGGTAGCCGGGGTTTGTGTGTCTTGGCCGGCAGGTGACTCTGTGGCTTGGGGAGCGGTGGATATTTCTAATCCAGCCCCATGCTGTTCCCCCTCTTCTGGAGAGGCTGGTGTGCGTTCCGCCGGGGTCGCCATCTTGGGCGCCATGGGCCTCTGCAGCATGTCGCCGATATCTTGGGTGCCTCTGCCGGCGGTTGGTGGAGGCTTTTGGGACCTGCGACCCATTGTGTAGCCGTCCGGTTCCGCGGGATCCTTTAGGAGGTTGGTGTCGTGTCGAGTGTCGAATGCTGCGGCCTCCGTCGCGTACCTTGCGGTTTGGAGTGTCAGGTAGGCCCCAGATTTTCGCCGGGTCTTTTTACCCGTTTGCGGGAACTGGAACGGCATTCGTCTGTACCGCGGGTTCCAGGGGTACTCGGGTGGGTGTTTGAGTCGTCGGATGACACCCTGGTACCTCGGATTGAAGCGGGTTTCTGTCGATTAGTCGGAGCTCTCTGATAGTGCGTCCGTTCAGGTTCAGCTCCAGGCTCCGCCTCAACATTTTATTTTATGTAGTGTTTATACGCATTAGCTATTTGGTAATACTGCATGCAAATAAAGTATAGTGTATGATGCTTAAAAAGTATAAAAATATTGACTTTTAAAGCAAAAATCCCAACCCCATCCCAACCTAAGCTCATTTACGTTTTGTAGGGGCATGAGTATATACTGTTTCTATCAATAGGCAGCCAATGATCTGCTTAGAGCTCACAACCGCCCAGCTAAACCTACCTCTTACTGCAACTCAGAGCGTAAGGAGGCAAGGGGACAGTAATACTTGGCTAAACCAGGGTTAAACTATTTTGTAAAATATTTTAACCCCTGAAGGTAAGACGGCGCTTGTACACTCCTGCAGCCATAACAAGTTAAATGAGCTTAAGTTGTGGGAGGTTGCAAAGTTGCTTTAAGTGCATGTTAAAGGGACACTATAGTCACCCAGACCACTTCAGCTCAATGAAGTGGTCTGGGTGCCAGGTCCCTCAGGTTTTAACCCTTCAGATGCAAACATAGCAGTTTCAGAGAAACTGCTATGTTTACATTAGGGGTCAAGCCAGCCTCTAGTGGCTGTCTTCCGGCAGCCACTAGAGTCGCATCTGCGATGCTGGAGGCATATTATGCCTGCATCGCGCAGAGCGTCCATAGGAAAGCATTGATAAATGCTTTCCTATGGACACTTTGAATGCTCGCGTGGCACTTGCCGCGCATGTGCATTTGGCTCCTTTGACATCGGACGGGGGAGCTGACGTCGGAGTGGGAGGAGAGGTCACCAGCGCCAAGGGAGCCCAGCGATGGATTAAGGTAAGCTGCTGAAGGGGTTTTAACCAGTGCCACGGAAGGGGGACCCTGAGGGTGGGGGCACCCTCAGGGCACTATAGTGTCAGGAAATCCGCTTTGTTTTCCTGACACTATAGTGATCCTTAAAAAATACACAAAAACATCAAATTCAGAACTGCTAGTGATACCAACTGAGGAAGCCGCAACTGTTGAAACGCGTTTCAGATTCGAAGATATGCCTATACTTTTGTCACTGCACTTTGTGTGTTTTTAAATATCATTTGTTTACAATAAATTTTATTTCCTGGATAATTCAAATGTTCAAGTGTATGTTTGGAAGGGGAACACCACCCTGGAATTTAGTGTCTGCCTTACAAATAGAGCCTAAAGAAAAAGGCTTTTTAAAAAGTGAGTGTATGACCTTTCTTTATTACTGTAGTAATAAAGCCCAAGAAAATCTCTGAAGAGCGGGAGTCCCCAGATATTAAAGACTCCACAGACCTTCATTATTGAGCCATTACGTTTTTCTCATTTTCCCATTATACATCCCATTTTTATTATAGACTATCTGCACTATGATATTTTTATTTTTGAGGTTTTCTACAAGGATATAGAAACATAGAATATGACAGCAGATAAGAACCGTTAGGCCCATCTAGTCTGCCCAATTTTCTAAATACTTTCATTAGTGCCTGGCCTTATCTTACAGTTATGATAGCCTTATGCCTATCCCGCGCATGCTTAAACTCCTTTACTGTGTTAACCTCTACCACTCCAGCTGGAAGGCTATTCCATGCATCCACTACCCTCTCAGTAAAGTAATACTTCCTGATATTATTATGTTTAAACCTTTGCCCCTCTAATTTAAGACTACGTCCTCTTGTTGTGGTAGTTTTTCTTCTTTTAAATATAGTCTCCTCCTTTACTGTGTTTATTCCTTTTATGTATTTAAATGTTTCTATCATACCCCCCCTGTCTTGTCTTTCCTCCAAGCTATACATGTTAAGATCCTTTAACCTTTCCTGGTAAGTTTTATCCTGCAATCCATGAACCAGTTTAGTAGCCCTTCTCTGAGATCTGGAAAATATCCTTCTAGAGATCTGGAAAATACTGTTGGTTTGGTATAATTTTATATATCATGTTTTATTATTGTATTTATTATTGTGTTTTTGGGGTATATGCCACTTATATAGATTGAGCACATAACACTTTTTTTTCTTTTAAATAGTTCTTTATTTTTTTTGGTGCAGGGTTAAACATACAGGCATGTATTGGCCTCTGACAGAATGATTGATTGACATAGGATAACAAGAGTACTGCACCTTTTTTTCTTCTTTTCTTTAAACATTGTAGATATGTGCATGTCAGGCAAAACGCTAAATAAAGTAACAGGTAACCGGTAATCTGAACTGCACAATGAATGTGAAGCTTAGGTGTAGAAAATAATAATGATGAACATTACACAGTGCATGTAAGTGGTTACTAATGATGCCATAAGGCATGTCCTAGCATAGGTGGTGATTACAGCAGGAATTATACTAAGAAAAGTATGGAGCATAAGAGAAGTATCATGCTATAGATGCCACTGGATGCAAGTAATTAGGCTACAGCACACATTTTATGTGAGGAGATTAGTAGAGTAGAACAAAAATTATAATAAAGCAATATTAAACTACCATATATACTCGAGTATAAGCAGAGGCCCCTAATTTTACTACAAAAAACTGGGAAAACTTATTGACTCGAGTATAAGCCTAGGGTGGGAAATGCAGCAGCTACTGGTAAATTTATAAATTAAATTAGATCCCAATAAAATTACATTAATTGAATATTTATTTACAGTGTTTGTGTATATAATGAATGCAGAGTGTGTGTTTGTGTGTGTATATAATGAATGCAGAGTGTGTGTATATATAATGAATGCAGTTTGTGTGTTGTGTGTGTGTGTGTATATAATCCAGTGTGTGTGTTTGTGCAGTGTGTGTAAACTGGATGATGGGAGGGCATTTTTATTTTAATTTTTTTAATTGTATTATATTATTTTAATATTATTATTATATTATTATATTATTTTAATATTATATTATTTTAATAATATTATTATTATTTTAATATTTGTATTATTGTCCCCCCTCCCTGCTTGTTGCCTGTTCAGGGAGGGGGGGACAAAAAAACATTTAAAAAAAAAATGCAAATATTTAAATAATAATAATATAATAATATTATTTTATTATTATTAAAATAATATTAAATCCCTGGTGGTCCAGTGGCATTGGCAGTTCAGTGGGGGGGCTGGCAGTGAGCTCTTGCTTACCTTCCTGCAGCTCCTGTCAGCTCCCTCCTCCTCCGTGCAGCTCCCCGGTCAGCTCCGTTCTGCTCACAGTGTAAGTCTCGCGAGACCCGCATGTAAATTGCCATAATACAGACTGACTTGAGTATAAGCCGAGTTGGGGTTTTTCAGCACAAAAAATGTGCCGAAAACCCGGCTTATACTCTAGTATATACGGTAATAATAAGGCTGGTGTCGCTGTAGAGATTGCCTGTAGCCCACTCAGAGGGGGAGGAACAGTCACTTGTCAACTGGAGTCCAGCAATCTTGAGAGGGTCACCACACCAGACCCCAGCCGCAGCATGCTCTGACAGGAGGTACCCTGGAGACCGATCCAGACCAGTTGCTGACGGTGTGACTTGTGATCTCTCTGGTTCAAACTTCCGGCACTGCTTATTCGGAGACCTCCTTCCGTGTGAGAATTGCTGATGGGGACCGCCCCAGGCAGCCCGTGATCCAGGAATGTAGCAGCTGGCTTGAAATTCAGACCGTCTGGTCCTGTATGCCGGACGCGGCTTCTGTCACATGGGAGAGGCTGCTTCGGTCAGCAGTTGGGACCCATAAGTTCTCTCCTTGGCACTGAGGGGCAGGAGGTGTTTTGCGGTTTCGCAGTTGTGCCCAAAATCGTGCACACAAGTTGTTGAATGCTTGTAGAAGCAGGTCCACCAGGGTAATAGGCCACAGCATTGCGGCCATCTTGAGTGGTAGGCCTCAGTCCTCCTGGTCGATTAGAAGTACAATGCCTTGTTGAGCAGGCCACAAGAGTTCTCCAGTGGGGACCGAGATATCCCCCACCAGTCCAAAGGTGGGGGGAACGGGACCCAGGTGCAGACTGTCGTCGAACTAGTGTAGAGGAGCGGCCGCCTCCCCCACCTCCAGTGTGTCAGCAGGCCTCAGAGACGACTAGCACGGACTGTATTCAGCAGATCCAGACCAAAGCAGGTCCAACAAACTATATATTATTCCCTGGGTGAATAAGTAGGATTTGAGAAGAAATAGTGAAAAGTCTATTAGTAGGCGTAATAAGAGGTTGTCTGTTAGGAGCGCCAGCCAAATGCGACTGTCTCGATCGGCTGGCAGGCCCCCACCCACAGAACGCTTTTTGTGAAGTTACTCCACTAATTTATACACGGATTGTGTTATGAAAGCTCTCCACTTTTTTCACTTCAATTGTATTACAAAGCTTTGGCAAAAAAATTACGATTTGGAAAAATTCCCTAATTTATAGTCATGGATTGGAATCATTGGCTAAAATTGATTTTAAGTTTGTTTTCAGTTCAATAACATTCAGTGTTTAGTGAGTAAATGTCAATATATTTTTACGTACCTTTACATGCTATTCTTATTACTATTACTAATTAAATTCACATGATATAGAGCTTCTGAATATAAAAATGGTGCAAACCATTTGACCTTTTAAAGTGATTTGATGAAATAATGTATTACTTATGGTGAGTATACAATATAATCTAAGACCTACATTACATTTTATGTTTGGTTTAATATTTTAGCTTTTTTATCTCTTGGCAATATAGAGGTTTGAATTATGGAAGCAGTCATAGGATAGGTGCGATCAAAGTTGTGCATTACTACAATGCTCATTGTGGTATCCCAGAATTTCTGTCACACAGGATCATGTTAGAATTGTCAGCATGTTATGAGTACATGTGTGCGTGCCCCATATTTTACATTCAGACGTCCAATAAACATGTTAGGAAATAAGCATTTATTAGCCATGACACTAAAACTGTATGGATTATATTTTGTAACTTACTTGAAGCAGAGTTTGCACGTCACATATTTGTGGTTACAAACACACATTCATGCACATAAAGAGTGACTTTTATTTAAAGGGAAAAAAGTGAGAAAATTACAAAGGAATTCTCTGTTACAGAACACCAAGTAGCTCAAACTGTCAATTATCTGTCAAATACTATAGGGTAATAACCAAAAAACAAACTACACCTTGTATAAACATTATTTGGAGGGGCTTAAACTTCTGACCATGAGAGTTTTGGGCCTTAATCTATCAAATGCTTTAACCGGTTTTCCACAGAGATTAGTAATCATTATTAGGATATTATGTTACATGAGGTAATACGATCTTCATTTCTCGATATATCCATATTCACCTATACAAAACAACATGTACAGGAAGAATAAAGGAATGCAATTTTGCAAAAAAAAAATCAAATAATAAAATACATGGTTATTAAAATCTAAATCACTTTGTTGATTGATATTCTTAGAAACAGGAAAATAAAAAAAGTTAGCAGAAATAGTTCAGTACTATATAAATCTGGTTCAGTTCTGACAATACCGAGTTACACACATAATCCTGACCCTGCTTTTATCAGCTAAGGTAAACCATTTGCTCTTGGGAGAGATGTATAGTTAGTTAACGTTTGTTACGTTAAAACACATGCATCAGTGCTTCCTTTAAATTTATTTGTAAAAGTGTTACGGTCTCCTTAAACTAGCAAAATATAGTGTTGAACGAAAATGTGCTAAAGGGATTTGAAGTGAGCCTTAATGCATTACATTTTTTTGTAATGTGTTTTTTAATGGATTAACAAGGAAAGAACAAAAATACACCTTTAAAGTTCTTTCTGCTTCTGCAAATATACAGCAAGCAGAATCACCAGACCGAACCCATTCCAGAAGAGGCTCCACCAATAAGGAGCCTTCATTCCTGTTCTGTTTTTTTATATATCATAAAGCCCGATGCTTCTCCAGCAAGTGTTTATAATAATGTTCGGCCTTATACTAGTTCCACTTAGTCTGAACTGTACTGCAGATATCTTGTTTACAGTACCCATCACAGTGTTGTGCAGAAATCTCACGAGCCGCAGTATGCTGGTGAGTGTGATTGTTGCTTGGGTCGTTTCTTGCCTAGGATGCCCACATTCTATCACAAAAAAAAAAAAAAAAAATCCTCCTTTGTTGTATCTTGGAGGCAGGCTTGCAGCTACAGTCACTTTTACTAATTGCTGTAAATTAACTTGTTATCGTGTCTTCAGTGACCATTTAACCTCTTTGTATTTTAGCACTGTAAATAGCAAGGTCAAATTAACATTGGGTTCTTGCAAGACCCTACAGTGAATGCACAGTCTTTTGTTTACCTCCTGTCTACAAGGGGATGATGACAGCTGAGAGTTGAATAAATGGAGAAAAAGCTTTTTACTAATATACTTGAGATAATAATTCTATTATTAGCGAAATTTGAATCTATCCTTCAAAAAGGCAAAACAAAAGGTGCAAATTGACATCTTTCTTCTCCCTTGGAGAGAGACAATATCAGCCTGTCATCAAATCTTCCACCATGCGTCAGCTTACTGCTCTCAGCACATGAGCTAACCCTGCATAGCACTGCTTCACTCAGGCAACCTGACGGGAGTTCCTGTTTAGAAACTCCCAGCTCTCTAGCATTAGTGGAGTAGTAACATAGAAACATAGACTGTGACGACAGATAAGAACCATTCGGCCCATCTAGTCTGCCCAATTTTCTAAATACTTTCATTAGTCCCTGGCCTTATCTTATCCCACGCATGCTTAAACTCCTTTACTGTGTTAACCTCTACCACTTCAACGGGAAGGCTATTCCATGCATCCACTACCCTCTCAGTAAAGTAATACTTCCTGATATTAGTTTTAAACCTTTGCCCCTCTAATTTAAGACTATGTCCTCTTGTTGTGGTAGTTTTTCTTCTTTTAAATATAGTCTCCTCCTTTACTGTGTTTATTCCCTTTATGTATTTAAATGTTTCTATCATATCCCCCCTTTCCTCCAAGCTATACATGTTAAGGAAGGGAGTGGAAAATTCACCAAACCTGAAAGACTTTACGTAAAGGGAAACTGGAGTAAATATAACCCCCCATTTTTGTAATGCATTAAAAATAATACAGAAAAAGAACAATTTGAAGTGATTATAGTGCTTTAAAACAGAGCATTTATTTGAACCACAAAATGTAATACTTACACACATTTGCAGTTTGTATTTGTTATCAACCGTTAATAAACTGATTTATATGAGCTGCGCGTCTACAGACGTGGTGGATGTTGAATACGGCACCAGCAGTACTGTATGGGTTAGGGAACTTAATAAGTAGCTGTCTTACATTAAATATAATTAAAAAAAAGTCTGGCCCTTTCCATAATGACTACATGACTCCTGTTTTTTTTTTTTTTTTTTAACGATTTAATCCACACTGTTAGACATTCATGGTTGGTGACAACATTTTCTCCCAACCAAACTCACATCCCCTTTCTTTGTCGGTAAATGTTATTTTATAAAATAAACTATTTTAGCATGTAATTTATGCACGTGAAATCAATTTAAAGCTAGTGTTAGCATTTGTCAAACTAAATTTAAAAAAAAAAATACATATCTATATGTATGTATAACTATGCACGTGTGTATTTATAAAAAAAAAACGGGGTATTGTATTTTTTAGTGCTTAGTTCATAAAATTCATTCAACTATGCTATATGAAGAGTGGCAGTCCAGGTATTCAAAAGCCTTTCATCTTCTGAAACCGAATACAATGTTTACCAGGGGTGTCTGTCAACCTGAATTCACCTTTGGGATATGAATTGCAATGCTCTTTCATTGATTAGCAAAGTGTCAGATGTAAGTGTGTTGGTCTGCTGTATTGAGCTCCAGAATACACTTACAATTAGTCTATAAAATAATAGTAATTGTAATACTATTAAGTATTTATTCTATTTAGCATTAAATACTGAATAGCTATTGAAATACAATATATAAAAAAAAAAAGAACGGAACAATTAAAGGACCACTATAGTGCCCTGCTGTTTTCAGTTTACACTCGGCCCAGTTTCCTGTGAGGAGGGCTATGTACAGTCCACTGCTGGACTCTATCAGAAATAGACAGAATAGTTCCGGCCAAGTTGTGTATTCAGTGTATGCACACAATGTGAAAAAAAATTTGTATAGGCGAACCAAAAATGAGATGCCTTTCTGCCATATTAACAGCTTTGATGAGTTCTCTCTACAAATGGCGGCTATTATTATTTTATTATTTATATAGTGCCAGCAAATTCCGTACAGCTGTACAATGGGGTAGGTATGAGCCAGTTTCAGAGTTGAAATTTAATGCAAGGAATGCTTTGCACCATTTCATTGTCAATCATGCAAACTTGTTATCTTGCTTTGACTGACTTTGTAATAATGTGTCAACAGGCAAATAAAATGTATGCATATATTTAATAACGAATATATATGTCGGAAATCGCAAAGAATAATTTTTTTCTTTCATTCGATGATAGTTGCCAAGAGTACATAAAGGGTTACGGAATATAGTGTAAGAGACCATCATTGTAAATATTTACATTTTCTGATTGGCCCTGGCTTTGTAACGAGTTAATAGATTCTTCAGACATGTTTTACTTTATCTTATTCCACCAGGAGATCGTAATATAGTGTGTGAAACTTTTCACAATTTAACTTGAAGTCCGTCCGTTCGCTTGTTAGTTTATATTGGCAGGAGGCAGGCTTGGCTTTCATAAATGTGCTGATTTTTCCATGTTGTTGTTGTTAGAGTGTTGAAATGAAATGTAAAATTGAAACATTTTGCTCAGAATGCTTTCCAGCTAACTGAAAGCTTGGTTTGCTTTTGAGAATAAGAGAGGAAGTCCGGCTGTGTAGTTCTTTGGAATTCACCTCTTTCTTTTTTTCTTTTAATGTTATTTTATCCTGCGATCGCCCTGGTATTCGGAGTTTCTCATATTTTGGATTTTGCTAATCTCTCGTCAGGGTACTGTAACAATATTAAATAAATAGTGAAGTAAATGTCTGCCACTTCGAAATGTCTCTTGTGGTCATATGATTGTACAAGATATGAAAGAGTATGTTTTCAGCAGGCACTTTTGGTTAGTGGATTTTAGAGTGATATTTATCCACCGGAGAGACTAGCTATGAAACGGTACAGACTAATGTTATCTCAAGGGGGGAACGGCCTCTTAATTGTTTAGTGCAGTAATAGAAATATATAAATTGCCTGCTGATGTACTGTTTAGTAGGTCTGCGGAATGCTCTCCCTAACTAGGAAGAGACATCCAGTCAGGAGTGTATGTAGTGCCAGTTTTTATCCCACAAATTCCTTGCCAGCAGTTTTTTTTTTTGGAGGTTGAGTGGTCTACCTGGCGCGGTTTCCCTCATAACATAGGATTAGTGGAGCTGCTCTGTAAACTGATATGAGCCATACTGTGACAGCATTCTGCTTACACGATTAACGGCCCTGAGGGTCTGTCTTAGAGTTGCAGTGATTTTTACAAATTGCTGCAGTTCTTAGCTGCTTTGAAAGCTGAGAGTGAGTGCAAGATAATCTGTGCACCAGCCGTTAAAGTATGCACAATTGTGATGTTGCTTAGAGTGACTCTTTAAACATAAGCAAGCAAAATCCTTTTAAAGGAGCTCTCAAGCACAGATTACTCTCTTCATATTGTCTGTGTATTAAACATAGGTGCAATTTCATACCCACCAGCATCGGCGTCCAGTGAAGCAGTAAAAGGAGGTATGCGAATGAAGCAAATAGTCACTATATATAGGGTGAGGTAGAGGCAAAAAATGCCTACAAAATTCAAAATATAAACAAAGAACAAGTTAGACCTGTGCTGCAGATACTCCACACTGAAGTCCCAACAGTGTATATACAACCAAAAAACAAACACAAGTCCTGCACATCCAGTATAGGTGTGCACACCCAGGTGCTACCACAATTTATTTGAGGACAAAGTTAAAACAGCAAACGTTTCGAGCAGCAGCCCTTTCTCAATGCTAATGTGTCAACAGGCAAATAATGGACATTAGCATTGAGAAAGGGCTGCTGCTCAAAACGTTTGCTGTTTTAACTTTGTCCTCAAATAAATTGTGGTAGCACCTGGGCGTGCACACCTATACTGGATGCGCAGGACTCATGTTTGTTTTTTGGTTGAAGCAAATAGTCACTGAAGACTCCCAAATGAGGTAGACCCACTCAGAAAGGGTGCAAAAAGGAAACAGAGAATGCATGCCAATCATGCAGGAGAGCCCACATAGCACAGACCATGCATAAAGCACTGTTGTAGCGCTCCTTGAATGGTCCTAGTGCACTGAGTGTATCACGAGCGCATATAATGACGCACTTTCACTCACACTATGGTTTTTGATGACAGATCGATAGTGCACCAAGGAACAACCAGGATGACGATATAGAACCCTGAAATCGGGAGGTAATTGCTGAAATTGGAACTGCTGGGATTCCTGCAATTTTAGTGTGTGTAGTGGACATACATGTGCTAATGTAGTACTGACTGTAATGTGTCTTTATTGCTTCAAGTCCCAGGGCTATGATCATCCTCCAGTGATAGTCTCCCAAACCAGAACTTAATTGAGATTATGAGATTTTAAAATCAATCCAAAGTCTCAATGTGACTATGAGCTGTTTGCACAAATGATTGAATGAAAAGCTGGTTCTTCCTATTCCCTGCAAGGATGGTTTCCCCCTTCCAACAACTGGATTGTATAGATCATATATTATACATGCCAGATATTAGCATTTGATCTCAATGATCAGACACTTGTGGACTCTAGGCATTTTGTTGGCTGCGGCCCTGCTCTGCATTCTCAGAGGGCATGAATGTATATACCCTTTATATTATCTGCTCGACCCACTTCAGTCTGGTTTCCACTCTCAGCACTCTGTGGAAACGGCTCTGACCAAAGTATCAAACGATCTACTTGCTGCAAAATCTCATGGTCACTACTCTATCCTAGCTCTCCTTGACCTTTCCACTGCTTTTGATACAGCTTCTTCTCATCCTCTGTAATCTCAGTCTACAAGATATTGCTCTCTCCTGGTGCTCCTCCTACCACACCCAGCGCTCTTTTAGTGTCTCTTTATCTGCCTCTTCCTACCAACTTCTCTCTGTTGGCGGCCCCCAAGGTTCAGTCTTTGGTCCCCTACTGTTCTCGATCTAGACTGCCTCCCTTGGTAAACTTATCAGCTCCTTTGGCTTACAATATCAATTCTATGTGGATGACACACAAATCTATCTGTCCTCCCCTAATCTCTTCCAGCCTCTCTTGACTAGTGTCTCTGATTGCCTCTCTGCTATTTCTAACTGGATGGCTACCCACTTCCTTAAGCTCAACTTGTCCAAAACAGAACTTCTGGTCTTTCCTCCCTCAAGTGTTGCTACCCCCGTTTCTGTCTCCCTCCACCTTAATAGTGCTACCATCAGCTCCACCACACAGGTTTGTTGCCTAGGTGTTTTCTTCTCCGACCTCTCCTCCACCCCTCATGTCCAGTTGATCGCCAAACCCAGCTGCTTTCATCTTAAAAACATTGCGCGCATCCGCCCCTACTTAACGCCAGATGCGGCTACGGTGATGGTCCATGCCACTGTCATTTCTCACCTTGACTACTGCAATCCACTTCTCTGTGGTCGTACATGTTTCCAACTTGCCCCACTGCAGTCTATAATGAATGCGTCAGCGAGTATCTTCCTGTCCTGCCCGCACCTCCCACGCCTCACCCCTCTCAGTCCCTGCATTGGCTTCCCGTAAGATATAGGGCTCAATATAAAATTCTGGTTCTTGCTTTCAAATCTCTACATAATGCTACTCCCACCTATCTATCCTCCGTAATACACACAAGTCTCGTCTAGTCCCCTACGCTCTGCCGAAGACCTGCGTCTATCCTCTGTTCGTACTCCCACCTTTGATGCTCGCCTTCAAGACTTCTCTAGGGCTGCACCGTTCCTGTGGAACTCCCTCCCCTTTTCCGTTAGATGCTCACCTAGTCTCCACTCCTTAAAAAAAAAAAGCATATAAATTAAACTGTTAATGGCTCCAAAACCCCAGACTAAGTCTTTTAATTGAATACTATTCTACCAATCTACTTCCCTAATACTTCCCTTACCTTTTATGTCATTTTACCCCACTCCCTCTAGCATGTAAGCTCATTGAGCAGGGCCCTCAACCCCTCTGTTCCTGTGCGTCAAACATGTTAACAATTACATGTTTGTTAATCCACCCATTGTAAAGCGCTGCGGAATTTGTTGGCGCTATATAAATATAATAATAATTATAATACCCATAGCAACTGTCATAATTGGTATTAAGACTATTGTTTCAGTATATTTTTTAGCATTTGGCTATTACAATGTGTATGTAAAATGTCATGTGAAGTGGCACCTTGTGTATATTAGGTGTTAAAAATAAGAAAATACTACATCATTATTCATGATGATTTAAATAAACAAAAAAAATGGTTTTAGCCCCAGTGTATGCCTATTACATATATTGTGTCCACATTTCTGCTTCTTATCTTATTTGTGAGCTGTTGCTAATGCAATCATTATTTTTATTTCTGCAGGCCTCCAGACTTTTTAATGAAATAACGTATGCAGAAGATGCCCAGTTGTCAACGAAAAATACCAAGGATAAACAACGTCAAAAACCAGGCGCTACACAATTCCTGTTCTAGACCTCAGTTAATGTTTATTAAAATGCAAGCATTTTGTGTTAATAAAATTTTGAATATGTCTATTTGTTGTCAAGAACATTTACTTTCCATTCGTGATTGATGTTTTGGATCCTTGATTAACACTTTGCACAGAGGAAATCAGCTCATAATTACCGACCTTCTCAATGAGGACTTGCATAACTACTTGTTCTGCAATGACAAAAAAAGGTTTTGATCTGTTTATTAACACAAAGGGATTCTTCTTTGAATCACTGCAGTTCGGAACCACGCCAACGAAAGTAGACCTGATAGTAATTGTGTTTTTAATCATTATTGTCATAGGATCAAAACAAGTAAGTGTTACACTGATCCTCCATTAAAATTTAGACTGCAGGTTTGAAGTGACGCTACCATTTTAATGTCTTATACTAGAAAAAGATCTAAAATAGATACCCTTTGGAGTTTCTGCCTTTGCTGCAGATCCCCCTCGTTTGCAGCTTCCTCCAGTAAGCATTGTCCGAGTTAGGATGAACCTGTCGGCAAATCCTGACTGTCTGATTGTTTTCATTTAAAGCTGAGCATATCCCATCTCTGACCTTCAGTGGTGTATGGGTCATGTAGTTCAACATTAATTAGATAAGGTGAATGAAACAAAGTCCTTAACAGACAGCAATGATATTAGATTGTGCCATTCATAGTTTTGTGAATAGTGTCGTGTAAAGGAATCTGCTAGAGAAGATCAGTTATTTGGATACCATACAAGTAATTGATTGCACAGAGGAGAAGTCGGAGGTAGGCTTTAAACTACAGTAGTTTTCAGTAAATGGCCGCAGTTGTAAGACAGTCTTTGCAATGAGATAACAACGGGATCTCATTGCAAGAGGTGTAGTTTACCATGGTGCTGGGAGCCTTATAATATTGTCCTTACAGGAATGCTCCAACATATTCTTCAGAAGTGATTCATTAGTACCACATACGGTACATAAAAATAAAATCCTATGAATGTATGTCTCTAGGACAGTGATGGCGAACCTTTTTGATCCCGAGTGCCCAAACCGTAATACATGCCAATTTTTTCCCCTCAAAGTGCCAAAACGGCATTTAAACCTGAATACTGAGGTTTAAGTTTAGAAAAAACAACTCATACAGTTGTCCGAACTAATTAACATCTCTGTGTGTGTGTATTAAGCAGTTTGTGTGTGTGCTCGGCAGTCTGTCTGTATGTGTATTTAGCAGTCTGTCTGTGTACTTAGCAGTCTGTCTGTATTTAGCAGACTGCTGAGTACACAGTCTGCTGAATACACACACAGACTGCTAAATACACACACACACAGACTGCTAAATACACACACACACACACACACACAGACTGCTACACACACACACACACACAGACATACTGCTGAGTGTACACACACAGACAGACTGCTGAGTGTACACACACAGACAGACTGCTGAGTGTACACACACAGACAGACTGCTGAGTGTACACACACAGACAGACTGCTGAGTGTATGTGTTTGTGGGTGGGGTGTTTGTGTGTGGGGTGGTGTGTTTGTGTGTGGGGGGTGGTGTGTGTGATGTGTGTGTGTCTTTTTGTGGGGTGATATGTGTAGGGCAGGGGTGCTGTGTGTATGTCGTCCCCCCTCTCCCCCCTGTTTTCTTTCCCCCCATCCCTCCCTCATTTTTTTTCTCCCATCCCACACTAAGTTTTCTCCCCACATCTCTCCCTCAGTCTCCTTCCCCCCATCTCTCCCTCAGTCTCCTCCCCCCCATCTCTCCCTCAGTCTCCTTCTCCCTCCCCCCATCTCTCCCTCAGTCTCTTTCCTCCCTCATCCCTCCCTCCCATCTCTTTTTTCTCTGCCATCCCACTCACTCATGTTCTGTTTCCCTCCCCAGTCTCATCTCTCCCCATCTCTCCCTCAGTCTCCTCCCCCCATCTCTCCCTCAGTCTCCTCCCAGTCTCCTTCCCCATCTCTCCCTCAGTCTCCTCCCTCCCCCAGTCTCCTCAGTCTCCTTCCCAGTCTCCTTCCCCCCATCTCTCCCTCAGTCTCCTTCCCAGTCCTCCCTTCCCCATCTCTCCCTCAGTCCTCCTTCCCCCCATCTCTCCTCAGTTTCCTTCCCCCCATCTCTCAATGATCTCCTTCCCCAGTCTCCTCCCCCAATCTCTCCTTCAGTCTCCCCATCTCTCCCTCGGTCTCCCCCCAATCTCTCCCTCAGTCTCCCTCCCTCAGTCTCCCTCTCCCCAATCTCTCCCTCAGTCTCCCCCCCCCAATCTCTCCCTCAGTCTCCTACCTTGTAGCGTGGCCAAGCGCCGCGGAGCTCAGTTTCCTGTACCCGGCGGACAGGAAGTGCTGTCTCTGTGAGCACTTAATTTCCGTCCGCCCGGGTACAGGAAACATAAGTTCCTGTACCGCGGTGCGCTCGGCCACGCTACACAGAGTGCCTGGCAGGAGGGAGCGCTGTGCGCTCACCTCCTGCCGGTCACTCCGGCTTCGCGCCCGCCGGGCCGGTGCGCCCTAAGGCGGCCACTTGTGCCACCTTATGGATGAGCCGGCGGAGCGCACGGCGACCTATGGCCGCGTGCCCACAGAGGGGGCACGGCGTGCCACCTGTGGCACGCGTGCCATAGGTTCGCCACCACTGCTCTAGGATGTCCTTACTAGCAATAATTACTGTTTTATTTCACTGAGTATCCGATCAGTCTAGAATACTGAAAACCTCCAAACGGGTAGTTAGAAGAGCCAATATGTGTTTAAGACACGTGAATTTACTTAATTGTAGGACCTTTGTTTTATTTTTTCACAAGAAGAGCATACCAAATAGCTTACTTACCGTAATCTAAAACCACACTTAGTATTATAATTTAATTAAACCATTTTTACTCTTTACTTTCACAACTTAAAAATATGCAGCCATCTAATAACTTAACAAAGGTAGATAAAGGATCAGCGCTGCGTGATCTGATGGGAGCTAAAGACAGATGCAGAGTTGCAACCTATAGATATGAGGTTCCCTCTAAAGTCCTCAAAGAAGAAATGGCAAAACAAAAATAATAGGTCGCGCTACAAGAAAAATGAATGCAAATGGAAATAGATGAATATAATGTACTCACATACACTAAAAACGTAAATAAAAAGGAGTATATAGATAATAGTCCCAATACTTGGTATGCTTCTTATGAGTTCCAATGGGTATGTGAAGACTTTGATGAATGGTATATCCAATAGCAGACTGGATCCTCTAATGTTGGGGGAGTCTTGACTCGGTGATAAACATAGAAATAGGAAAACAGAGACAATCCAATAGTGCAGACTGTATACTAATAAGTAGGAATTGGAAAAATAATAGGGAGGTAATTCACTCACCTATTCAAGAGCATAAACTCTCTTATGCTCTTGAATAGGTGAGTGAATTACCTCCCTATTATTTTTCCAATTCCTACTTATTAGTATACAGTCTGCACTATTGGATTGTCTCTGTTTTCCTATTTAGCATGAGGACGTCCAGCGTTGCTTAAAACACTTTTCGTGTTCTAAGAACACGGAAGTCCCTCTAGTGGCTGCCTGATAGACAGCCACTAGAGAAGAGGTTAACCCTGCAAGGTAAATATTGCAGTTTATAAAAACTGCAATAATTACACTTGTCACCCAGACCACTCCAATGGGCAGAAGTGGTCTGGGTACCTGGGGTATCCCTTTAACTAAGGAGGAAAGAAACCTCAGGGCCTCGGCCCTGGAATCAGGTAAGTAAATAAAAAAGTTTTCTACCCCTCTCATATACAGGGGTGGGAGCCGCGGGCGCAGAGGGACATTATAGTCTTAAGAATATATCTTTTTTTTTTTTTTTTTTGACAATTTTTATTTTGTTATAGAAACAGTGGATGGGGAGGGAAAGGGTAACAGGGTGACAATGCATAGTATGTATTCGGTATCAGTCTTTATCATATGGCTGAACATTATGACAGCGCTGCCTCTGAGGCTACCATACAGAGAGCATAGTGTGAACTTGTACGTGCTTAATTAACATTGTACCCAGTCTAGACATCTACAGTGGAACAGACATTGAACTTATTTACAAGGTATGGCAAGTACTATGTTTGTAACTGTGTGTGCCTTTCTCTCGGTGATCACATTCTGGGTTACTTGTATGGGCATCTAGGTGATTGGGTTATTAATTATGCATTATGTTGATTGTCCAATGTGGTCTTTCCCTGCTCCTGGGGATGTTGGGACCTGTAGCTAATCCACATGTCATACATCCGTACGCTTGTTTGCCCTGTACTCACATGGGATGTTGCAAACCGTTCGTAAGCTACATTTGTGGAAATTAGACTTAGCAGCTCTTCCAATGTTGGGGTCGAGTCAGACTTCCAGTGTCTGGCAATTGACGTTTGTGCTGCTATCACTATTAGAAACATTAGTTTACGGACATGTTTTGGAAGATTGGGTGGCATAATGTGTAGTAAGTAGGACTCTGCCGTTAGAGGCACATGAGTTTTTGTGCTGTGTTTGATTATTTCTCCCACAGTTTCCCAGAAAGCCCGGAAATGTGGGCATCTCCACCATATATGGAATGTATCCCCCCCGTGTTCCCTGGCATCTCCAACATTTGTTACTAGTAGAATGGTACATTTTGGATAGCTTATTGGGTGTTAGATACCATCTGTATAGTATCTTCCTTGATGTCTCAAAGTGTGAGGCGCACAGCGATGAGTCCCTGTATGCAGTGAAGGCCCTATCCCACTCCTGTGATGTCAATTCCCTTCCTAAGTCTTTATGCCATTCTTTTTGAAAACCCCAAATTTGATTCTGTGTATCTTCAATGATTGTGTTGTAGCAGAATGAGAGGGTTCTCTTTTGAGGTTGGGGGCTGGTGCATTTGCATTCAAATTGCGTCATTAGCCCTGTCTTTTTCAGCGCATGTAAGGTTTTCAGAGCGATCGCTGGTGACCACTGGGATGGTGAGCACACCCAATGCCTATTTTTATCCCATATTGATAGCATGAGCCTGGTGGTCGGCAGTATCTTGGGAGTTGTGGGTCTAATCTGCTTGGGAGCCCACAGAAAGTGAGTCAGGTGTTTCCCCTCTAATCTGGAAGACTGCATTGTCACCCATTGTGGGGTCTGTGACTGGGCATGGCAACCGATAATGTTAGCTAGTTGAGTGGCTCTGTAATACTCTCTTATGTCAGGGAAGCCTAGCCCCCCGCATCTCACTGTGTGAGACAGGAGTCTCCAGGGGACCCTCGGTCTCTTGTGTTGCCAGCCAAACCGCAGTAATCTCTTCTGTATAGATATTAGGAATTTAGTGGGGACGTTGATTTGTAGTGTGCGGAAGAGGTACAAGATTTTTGTCAGAATCATCACTTTGATGGCTGCACATCTGCCCACCCAGGACATAAATGTTCCTTCCCATTTCTTTAAAGTGTTTACTATGTTCGTGTGTAGTTTTTGGTAGTTCATGTTGAAAAGAGCTCTATGTGTACTGGACAGCTTAATCCCCAAAAAGGTAAGGTGGTCCTGTCTCCAGTCATAATTGAACGCCTTCCTCAGTTTGTCC